CCCGGGCGTTTACGGCGCGAACTTCTGTTTCGGGCACTGGGCGCTCAGGACCATTGTATCTATTATAACAATGCTTGAGTTGGCAATTCCATGGCTGCTTCGGAATCAAAGGGAAGTAATTTTCCTACATCCCTCCTCGTACTCTATCAGATTCAAATGCAAATAAGTACAGAGAATGTTGAGCCGTTCCGTCCCGGGCAAGCGCTTCCCGGGGATGCCAAATAGGAACAAATAGCCTTGCCCACGCGCGCGACCTGCAGTGTTTTTTGCAAATCACTGTAGCTCAAAATTGTACGAGGGTATCTCGTGATCAGGGCCGCGTGGCGCGCGCTTGTGGACATCGCCATCGGAGCCTCTGGTGAGCGCACGGTGTGCACCGTGGTGCCAGTTGTACGGTCGCGACTTCTCCGGCCTTCGACCAACTTGAGGGCACCACCATCGTACTCGAATCTCTGGCACACTCGTCAACGGCAATGGACTGATTCACCTGAGATATCTTCCGTTTGATATTCTCATTCCAGTAGGTCTTCTCCCAGCTCAAACCGGGCTAACACGGAGGATTACAGAAGACATGTGGCTACAGCGGCCGTTCCAGCTCTAGGATACCTCGATCCCACGAGCACACAGCTCTGAATGGAACCATACACGTACAAACGTCTTTCTTAGGTCCATCGACGGTCAAACGGCCTGGTATGTCCCCATCAATGTACTATTCCTTCATCCGGGACCCCAGATTGTCCATAGAACAAAATGTTGACCCAGGCAATGTCTAGTTCCACTCTATCGCAGCCTTGCCGTTTTGTTTGTCCTTCACGAGGCCTTGTGATATGTGGTCTCGACAGGGCGATCGGATTTCGGGGTGCCATGCCAGAGACGCCCTTGGGCCCTGCATCTCTGTTCCCCACCCCGGAATCAAAGGCCGTAATGCGGACCATAGCTTGCAGATGGACCGCTCTGTGATGATGCTCTCAGAAGGTGCTGTAGAGCGGTCCGCTACGAGCTTCGCAGCACAGCCCTGCGATGCGGCACGTATTTGGTTCCGCGAGCGTTGGCGCTGCATGCGATCCGTGTCGCCCTAGGGGATGGGCAATTGTATCCCTACCAAGAGATGCCTCCTTCTATCGTAGGATTCTCAAGGATGCAGCCGTTCGCACCAGCACACTCACAGGTGCTAGACCGCCAGGTTATCGCCAGACAGGCGATGCAGGCAACGCGAAGATGGAGGAACTTCGCTTTCAGGCCTTCTTATACGGCGGTCAGATGAGCACCCGTCTTCCATCTCACGGACGCCCCGATGTCGGACGGAACGCGGCAGGAGTAAGGGCGATATTCTAGGCTCTCGCGCACGCACTTGCACGCAGCTCGACCGCTCGCATTGTGGGTGCGTGTATGTGGACCAGATGCCCCGTCTTTCTATCTGATGTCGATGTGTTGCCCATCCCACTGCACCCCCCGTGCCAGTGCCACTGCGTGCGTCGGGTCTGTGCACGCGCAGGGCCTGCGATGCGTGGCTGGCGACTGGCCTTCAGTGCTTCTGTCATCGATACTTCATCGTGATGCACGTACTGCTCCCTACGACTGCTCCCTGCACGGGGGGCGTGATCGATGCCGCGCGGACACAGCAAAGGCAGAGTCTCAGATGCCCATGTCACGGGGGACGCGTCTTTTCCCCACCGCGTATGAACGGTACAGCCGCGCGGGGGATCTTCGCTCTTGCCGTACGTGCGCGAGTCGCACGGCTGCGATAGCTATCATAGACATACCTGAACTTCTTCACGTCGGCGTTTGTAGTGGCGAAGATTGTGTGGCAGCCCCATACCAGGCAGGAGGCCACTGGTACTGGACACCCGATATCGTTTGAACCGACGTCACAGTACTTACGATTAGTACGATGGATCGCCGCGTTTCCGCGATAGCCCTGGGGCCTGGACGAAAGCGGGCTCTAAACGTGGACAAAGCTGACACGCTGGTCTACCAGCCTATTCTTCGAAAGGGAAGGCCACTGTGGGTATTTTCGTGGTGAGGACGTGGCAAGTATCTGCCGCACGAACTCAAGTATGCCGCGTATCCCATGCGGGTACCGTGTGCACAGAGAGGCTCGAGCGGAACACTCACCGCGGGTCCCCGCAACGGTAACTCAAAGCACGAACTCCTACGCGCGCACACACGCGGGCCAAAAGCTTGCTGTGTAAGTATATGCTATTTCCAGGAACAGACTATACAGCCAGTCCGAGTCCGAAGGGGAGAACCAACAGACAGACCGAGTACACGACTACTGGCTAGCCGCGCCCAAGCACGTACCGTACGCGCGCCCTATCCCAACGATACAAGTACACCCGCGCGCGAGCCGGAGCTGAGATGAGAAAAAAGAAGAGTAAACGTAAAGAACGATGATAGATCGTGGGCAATCGGAACGGAGCGCAATCGCCTCCCATCCAGCTATCGTCGCGAACATTACAAGAGAAATCGTCAATGTGTAGAGTCATGAGCGAGAATAGATGAGCAGAACTGAACGGAGAGTCCACTTCTCCTTTTCGTCCCCCGGGACCAGGCGGACACGCTGCTCGGAGCAGGAGCAGGAACGTGAGCGGTCGCGAGGGCGTCGTGACGAGGAATGATGATCGTGAAGGTGCAAGGCATAAAGGGTCGTGCGCTGAAGTCGTCCGCAGCGCGCGTGCGGGATGTCGGGCGGGAGTAAACGGGCATTGTCTTGGAGGGGCGGTCTGGAGGTATCGGCCATCGTCGACGACGGATGTACTGCCGGAATAGTGAGATGCGATTACCGATAGGGATGTAGGGTGCTGACGATGAGATGATGCGGTGGATGGATGATACGGGATGCAGGGATGAGGAGGACAGAAGAGCAGGTGATACAGTGGTGAAGCATAGATGTATAAACACAACAGCATGTCTATAGTTTGTGGGGCAAGAGGCATGCGGAGAACACGGAGAAGACTGTGAGTCGTGGCCAGCGGAACCCTCGACAGCGGCGCGATCCGCGCAGCCCAGCAGCACGTCGTCCGATACGGCGACAGTCCCGAGGACTCACAGGGGGGACTGTACAACCGCATCATCTCGACGCGCTGCTCGAATCGCTGCGGTCCCGCGCGCGATCGTTCGTGGCCTTCCCGGAGATGTGCAGCCACTGGAACCAGCGACTCCGGGACTTGGCGTCTTCGTCCGTCTCGTCGTCGCTGCCCTCGGGGATGCCGAGGCCCTCTATGTTGGCGAAGGAGATGTAGCCGTCCATCGCCTTGCACTGCGCAGCGGCCTGGAGCGCGTTGAAGGGCGGCGAAGGAGGAGGCGTGAGTGGACTCAAGCCACCAGATGAGCTGCCCTTCTGTGAAGATAGCGGCTTGTGAGCCGACCTCGGAGAGCCAGGCGGCGGCGCGCGGATATGCCTAGCAGGGACGCGCGGAGACGACGAGACACTAGGGGCTGCCCTATGTTTCGCGGGCTCGTTCGACGACAATGACGTCAAACTCGACTGCGAAGAGTATCAAGGACGATCAGCGCCGCCCGAAGAGGAACTGCCACGAAACGGACTACTCACGTCGCCGTTCGCCCCAAAGAAGAAGTCGCCTTCGCCACTCCTGTTCCTGCTGCTGGCCATCGAGTTGCCGCTGCTGAACCCGCTGTCGGGATCTCGGCGCTCGACGCTCCGCGTCCGCCTGTCCTGCGCCCGGGCGTTCTTGAGCACGCCCTCGAGCTTGCTGCGGAGGACGGCCTCGTGAGGGGTGACCGTGTGTGTAGAGCAGTCGGCGTCGAGAGAACCCCTTGAGGGAGGATGGGCGGGGACATGGGAGACAGACTGGGAATGTGAGTGCCTCCTAGGCACGGAAGGTGACGACTGCGCTGCACGCTGGAGCTGTGCGCGCGCCGGCGACGGCGAGGCGGGGGTGCCATAGGGGATAGCCTCCGCCTTGCCACCAGGCGCGGTACGAGCGGAATAGTGAGCATGGCCGTACCCATGGCTTGGACTCGCGCTAGCTCGCCACAACCACTCGCCGGGCTCCTCGTCCTCCGGGCTCTCTTCGTCGACGATGTCGTCGAAGTAGTCGCACGACGAGTCCGACTGGACTGAGGACGAGGTGTTGCGACGATGACGTCGTCCGCCATGCGTAGCGGCAGGGAGACGGCATGGGCCGAACATCTGCGCCACGGCGGGCGGAATAGGAGAGCCGGGGGTGGGAGGACCGAGCTTGAACAACGACGGGGTCGGGTTCATCACCCTCTCCTGCTCTTCGGCGCGGCGAAGGGTGTCACGGAGCAGACGTTCTGAGCGACTGGGTGGGCGAGGCATTGGTGGACGTTGCGGTGGAGGAACGGTGGAAGCGAGAGGTGAGGATGGACGAGAAGCCGATCCTGCTCTTGACCTAGAGAGAGAATGCGAGGTGGGAGGCAGGGGTGGAGAGGTGGTGCTGGTAGATAGCACCGGGGTAGGGGCGTGTATTTGCATCGACATGGCGAGGGTAGGGCGTGCACGCTGCGGGACAAGACCACGCTTGATAGCCAAGAGGGGGGGGGAAGCTACAGGTGATGTCCTGCGGGAGTGCGTGGCGAAGGGCAAGGTATGGTCAGCGAGCGATCGAAAACACGAAGATAGGAGGAGAGGGTATGCGTGCGAGAAGGAGGCTGGCTGCGGTGGGAGGGTAATAAAGGGGAGAGATCCCGAGACACGCGACGGTGCAAGGGAGGCTAGAGGTAATAGGGAGCGCTCGAGATGAACCGGTCCAGAAGCCGGAGGCCCAGTTCCCAGCGCACAGACGAATAAAGTTCGCCCAATACAAAATGAAGAAAGGTTCGCGAACTTAAACGCGGGCTCAAACCGGTCTGAATAGGTTCAGTCAGGGTCTCAGGCAAAGACTTACCGATGGGAGCTCCTCCGCGTCTCGCGCGACGCGTGCGAAAGAGGTGACGGTGACGAGGTGTACTGCTCACAACGCGCCTTGTTGTCTTCGCAAGAGCGGGCGTCGCTTCGGAACGAAGAGACGGAGGCGGAGGGAGTGATGAATGCGCGTCGCCGGTGGATGTGCCGAGAGGAACGGTGGCTTTGAGGCGTGGGCGGGGCGGCGAGGGAGGGGGCGGGCGAGGTCAGGGAGGAGGAAAGGGAAGGAGGCTCGTTTGATGACGCAGGTACTTGAGCAAGCATCAGTGGCGGCAGGTTGGTCGTGCAGCCGGCAGGGGCGTGTTCGCGCTGGGGGGCCTGGATGCCAGGCGTCGGACGCCCCGAGGCAGGCATCCGGCACGCCGGGAAGACCTCGTTGCGGGGCAAGGTCGCGCCTGAATTACCTCGGACTTTGGGTGTCGAGGGGGGCGATTGTGCAGTGAACCCGGGATGATTGTGGCCTTGGGCGACACGAGTGGGAATCCTGGAGGACCATGCGCGGGAGGCGGGCGAAGAAGGCGGGGATTCGCGGTGGTCGAGTTCGAGAAACCGGGCTACAGTGCCGGCGTCCGACGAGGTCTTGCGGTGACGATAGGCATGACTCGTGCTGGCCCGGGCGGTAGGTGTACGAGGCCGAGAGCCATGGCCGGTCCGATAGCGATCTCTGGAGGAAGAGGGGGCGGACGAGAAGTCAGTCATGGCCTCGTGGTTCGCAGTGATGCGAAGGCAGACACGAGGACGAGATGCGCGTGCAGGATAGGATAATCAACGCGTAAGAGGTGGTCGTGGGCTCGTCGTCGTTCCAGTCGTCGTCGTCGGGGTCGCGTCGAGTGTCGTGGGCGGTCCAAGGGGGGACAGGAGATGGAGAGCGCGGTCGGGGGATCCAAATAGCAAGACTGGACAGTAAACAAGCAGCTGGCTTACGACGGCATCATGTCCACCCCGTTTCACACTCATCCGGGCCTGGACCCCAGCCACAGCCCGCCCGGCTCTGGTCACGTCACGCCCGCCTCGGGTCTCCCCAGCCAATCCGCCTTTGGCGCTCCGCATCCCCGGCCACTCCTTGCCCCGCATCAGTACCCCCACAGTGACGTCGGACAATCATGCAGGGTTCATGAATAGCTTCACACTTATCCAGTGGACCTCTAGTTCTTGTCATTGCGCTCGATCTGTCGCCAATGCGGAGGAATTGTAGCCAGCGCTGAAAGCATGGGGATTTATCTTCCGCCCTGGATACGGCGTGCGTAAGCCATGGGACCAAAGGCGGAACTTGCCGTGAGGCGACAAGGCAGGCGCTTCGGGACGAGGTCTCGACCGGTTCACTCGGCGCCCGGGGGCGTGTCACGCGTTACGCCGCAGGGCGGGTGCGCGTGCGGTGACGGCGCGGATGAGAGAGATTTTCGCCCGTTATGGCCGTCGCGATGGGGTGACGACAGCGGCGGTCGGGACAAGGTCGGTTCTGTCCTCGCGCTCGTTGCCGCATGCCTATCGATGGTACCCTTCAGAGTATCTGGAAGTCGTCTTACGGCTCGACAGCATCGTCGTGCCAACTGCGCGTGCCAACTGCGCGTGCCAACTGCGCGTGCCAACTGCGCGTGCCAACTGCGTCTAGTCTGCGGACCGGTTATGCTATCCCCATCTCAATGCCCCCGTCGGCTAAGGGAGTATGTGCCGGCATCGATTCAGACGGATGGCTGCGTTCAGCCCATCCTTCCCTCGTTGCGCCATCGGCGAGCGATTTGTGCTACCCCCAGCTATGCGGGCTATTTGCTGATAAAGGCTTTGAGTACGTCCATTGCCCTATCAAGTCCCTCTTCTCCAACTCCACCGCCTCTTCCTCGCTTTGCGATAGAAAGCTTGCTGTCAACGGACGGAGCACACAGACCAGACGCCATCCGTACCCCACTGTCGTACGTCTTGCTCCTCGCGCAGTCAACGAGCTCATATCGCCACAGGCGAACCAGGCCGTCTCTCTGATCACACACCTATGCGTCTTTCTCGCTAGTCGCCTGCTCACAGGCACCGTCTGAGCGTGCCCCCATGCCTCGGACATCTTGTCGCGCTCGGTGCATGGACAACCCACTCATGACGGAGTCGTGTGATACCTCTCCACGGCCGCCTGACTCCGGCGCTGACTCGTCGTACAGCTCTGTGGCAGTCCGGCGACGAGTTCCCTCGACTGTATATGTGCATTCGGGGCTGTTTCCCAGCGGCGCATATAGCGCATGCGCAGACGTCACAGCGTGCGCTGGCAATATCGCTGTGGCAGCCAACACCGCGCAAGGAAGATCCCGAGAATCTCGAAGGACGCATGTCGGAGTGGTTATCCTCGTGCCGCTGGGGCCAGTACTGTAGTACTTGGAGTCGTCAGGCGATTGAGAGCGTTGCTGCCCATTCCGATCGGACACGCGGGTCTGCTGCTGTCTTTCCAGGAGCAGCAGTCAGCGCGAGGTCGTTTGCGAGGTGGTGCGCTTGCTCGTATCCCTGTCAACCGATCGCAACTGGCTCCGGGTTCGTTTCAAGTTTCACCACTTGCATGCAAGTAACTCAGCATCTGCCCCAGGAAGGCCCCTCGCAGGCACCAATAATGACTGCGCAGTGGCAATGACTCTCGTGGTACACTTCAGCGACTTGATGCTATTGTGACGTCGGTTCGAGGCACTGGCAGAGTGTCAGCAAGGCTTCACTAGTCTCAGAGTCCTTCCGCTAACTATTGATGATTATTATCATCGGCGGTCGAAGGGATATGCGAGGGACCCGCCTCAGCTGAACGTGAACTAGGAGCACTGACATATCAAACTACCCCACCGGTTTCAGATCGCCTGCGAATGGGTTGCGCTCGCAACATATGGATCAGCTTCGGACCCCGCTCAACCCACGATGTCCTCCGTCGCCAGAATAAGCTCGGACTGTCCGACACCCTATCCACCACATTCCGAGGCCGTCTTCCCATGTGGGCCCACCAGGCCAATGGTCCATGCCGTCACTCCGAGCACACATCCGTCTCCGACAGGCACTTCGGAACGTTCTAGCCCTAGCTAACAGCGGGATGGGCATTGTGACACTCCGAGCCGCTGCCATGAGGCGGATATCCCCACACGCTGTCGTGCGCTCCGACGGCTCCTGTGTACGGTCGTCCGCGGCTACTGATGTGTATAACATTCACTTGGTGGACAGAAAGAACGATCGATTGTCGACGGATCATGTGTCCTCCGATACGCGGTGGTGCGTCGTTTAGCAATCCGTCGTGTAGGCAAGTGCCATGTGCCTACACGACGGTGTCAGGCCGACCGCGCGGGCTTTGCTGTACGAAGCGCATGTCATTGCGCGTACGACCCTCTATTCGCCGCCGGATTGACGTATGGCTCCAGAGGTCGCTCTGTCGTGAGCGCTGCCTCGAGTTCTGCCATTTTCAGGGTCAGAAGCCGCAGATACGTAGGGGCGCAGCTTCTATAGAAGCGAAGGCAGGGGGTACCGATCGCTCCTGTCGAAGCTCGACGTATCCAGAAGGGCTACACGAGTCTACTGCTCCTCGAGCGCCGCTGGGTTGCAGCCTTCCTCAACTATATGTCTATGCCCGGCCGTGGTAAGTGGGAGCCTCTTGCAAACCAGACTTTTCTAATCGGTGGACTAGTGTGTAGGGCGAACGCTCATTTGGCGATACGTAAGGGATAGTCTGGCGGTTACCTACAGTCGAGAAGCCAGCTCTCACACACATGTCTGAGCCTTCTCAACGGGTATAGCGTGCCTCGCAGAGTTAGGACGACGCCTGTGAAGGTGTGGGCGCACCCTTGGCTTGCGCGCATCCCACGGTGAGCTACCGAAACAATATCCTCAAGGAGTTCACGTGCAGGTCCATCGGCCATTGCGTCCTTCCTCTATCAAGTCCCTGCAATCCGTGGATGCACAACGAAGCGGAACGTCCAGCCGCGTGTGTAGGAATATGTCAGTGGGGTGGATCATGTCGCTGAGTCTCAATACTAACCTACGTCGATATCGACCTATACCGAGACCGTCCGATACGCTGAGGGGCAAGAATTGCGCGATGTGAAAGCAGAGTCTAATTCACTAGGAACGTGCCCGCCTTCCCTGCGTCGATGTGCTCCTGCTCCACTCTTCAACGTCTGAAAATAGTGCAATGTGGAGCGTATCACGTTGTACTCATGCATCTTACATCACCTTGCTATCAATCGAGGATCTTCGTCGAAGACGAAGGGCCATTGAGCCACTTTCTCTGTTCCTCTGATGGGGCTCGCCTAAGTCTAGGTTCCAGCAAGTATATTGTTTTCAAACTTCCTGGGCTGAGAACCCCAGTGACGTTCTTGTGGGGAAGTATTGATCGTCAGCCGACTTGGCTCACGTGCCAGTCAAGTATTTGGGGACTATCATCAGAAGAACGGAGTTCTTTGACGACCACGGCGGTGCACGCTCACTGGCAAGACACCGAGAACTACAATGTCCATGGAAAGTAAGGCCAGCATGCTGACCTAGTCGTGCCTCTGTTTACGTCTTCGCTCGCGCACTACTTGTTTCAGGACAATATCGCTGTTGCTCGAATATACCACGTTGAGCGCATATGACCGCGCTGAGCAGCATCACTTGACTGTGCAGGCGACGCGCCACGCTCTTCTACCAACAGGTCAGCGTTCCAGTCGTCGCGGGACGCTGCCACTGGATGGCACTAGATCCCGAGCTGGCCACACCGTGCGAGCGTTGCAGGCACATCGTGAGCGTTCTGCCGCCTCGTGTTCCTGTTGCATCATCGCTGAATCGCTCGAGGGCCATAGGCGTGGCTCCGAGCCGCTGCGTGACCCCACAGACGTGAAGTCGCACGTCTGGACAGGTCTTGGGTCGCGCGATCTCTGTCAAGTGACGAGGCTTCCCATGTCGAGAACACCGGCTTGCGCTCGTCCATGCGCGTGCCGTCGAGCTTGTAGTGGCGTGCCAGGTCGGCTCGTTTCCCTCGATGGCCATAGCGTATAACAGAACGATTCGGTTCGAGCGAACGATCGTCGATTTGAACTGATCGTCCCCGTGCAGTCATCAGCATTTGTCTCCGAGAAGGTACGAGGTGTGCCGCCACCCTGGGCTTCCGTACTTATATTGGTATTGGGATCTGCAGCGTTCTGACGCCCTGTGCAGTGTACCCGCAGCACGCCCACTCTACACGCACCACTGTGCCACTCATTCCCATCGATAGTAGGTTTGCTTCGGTCGTCTTTCGAGGGAGAAGGAGGGATCATCTACGGTCGGTGGCTGGTCTTATCGTATCATTTCATCGCATATCATCCTATTTTCTCCCAGAACGTGGTCGCTGCTTGCTCGCTCTGGTTTGATTTCCAAGTATTGGGAGGCGGGGCACGGCGTACACTGATACTCCATGAGGTGATCGTCGCTCACCAAAATCTATGTGACTTGTTAATCTCTATGGCTCATTCATTTCAGGACCATGAGCCGCCTTGTGTGCTGACTCCTCCTTGATCGCGTTATGTAGCCCTGTCGAAGGGGTAGTAGGCCTAGGCCCCTAGAAACAGCGTTATCGCGACGTAAGCCGGGTCAGCGTTGATAGTGTCTTTGCGTCTAAGCTAACTTGATTCAATCATTGACAATCTAATGACTGAGCAGACTTCCTCGTCACAGGTTGGCCTACCGTAGCACGTTGCAGGCCGACTCCACAGCGTCGCCTCGCCGCTGAGGTGACTGCAGAAGTGCCGAGGACACTTCCTCTCCCGACTTCCTTCCAGAGTGCAAAATTATCGGGCATATCGCTCAACTGACTGAAAATAGCACATGGGAACCTTGATGGCGTGGTACATATGACGTCTGTGGTGCTGATGCAACTTGCTTGCGTGAAGTTTGGTCACCTTGGACTGCGGTCGGCGGCACTCCCAGTGACGGAAGTAAGCTGCCTGCATGCCGCGTAAAGCTCGGACCGCACACCTTCTCTGTGCAGCGTTATTGTGCTCGCAACTTGAAAGCGTATTCGCGAGGCAAAAGCCTCCATTCTCACTTGCTGGCGTGAGTGTCAGGGCGGTATTTCCTTGTTTCCTCAACTTGCATCCTCTGTACGCAGCTATGTCCTGGCTTCGACTTTTTCCCCCCTTACGCGCAGGATTCTTGGCCAATTGTTTTTCCTGCGCCGCGGCGCGCATCCAAAGGTGAGACTGGGCTCATCTCCACGTACGCGCTGATGCATGTCCCATAGGCACGTCTAGGTGAAATATCGGGTATTCTATGAAGATTGCATAAGGTATTCTGCGGATACCGTCCGACTTCCATCTATGAACGCAGAGCCACACGGCATCTGTACGTGTAAATGAACAGAAGGTGCGGTCACTCGTACCGGCGCTCCCCCTCTGTACCACTGCCTTGAGACTTGAGTCCAGCGCCACAACCATGCTCAATTGGACATCAATAGGAGGCTTCTAGCGGAACTATGCCCAAGCCCAGTTAACTGCGCGGTGACGCGATCGTCTCGTTTGGTCGTGATCGTCGGTCGCGCATTAAGCATCTCGCCGCGGAGCTGATCGATCGGCATGCGCCGTTTCTTGGCAGCGATCCTTCGGGCTTCGTGCTTTCCTCCTGTGCTGCGAAGACGACGTCTAATCACTTTCCAGCAGAGGGGGGACCGGTGGCCCGGGGCGCGTGTACACTCAGAATGCGTATTGCTGTGATGGATACGCACATACGCAAGCAGAAGATTCGATGCGCGCCCGCAAGCACTCGAAAGTTTCGGAACCAAGCACGCCCCCGACGGACCGGGTGCCCAGTAGTACGCTGTTCTTCGCTTCTGCCTCGGTGGGCCATCCGGGATGCGAGCCGTGCTCCGAAACCAAGATGGACGTGGCGGCTCGCGCGTTGCCGTTAGACTTCGATGAAAACTGACCAGGATCCACGGATGGTGTTGCGCACTTTGTACGTGATGGGTACGTACCGGTCCCGCCAGAGATTAGCCTATAGAGTTCAGCCGCACACCAGCCCCGCACTATGCGCAGGCAGGAACACGGAGGTGTGGACCGGACGATGTGCACGTTGCCGTTGCTGGCGTGAGATCCCCACGGCGGAGCATTGGTATTCAGGTACGAGTCTTGCGAGCTATCAGGCCCTCATAGCGGATACTTCGGGGGTTGTTCCACTAGCCGTTCGGGAGCCTGTGGTAAGTCCGAATGTAGGTTTGGGGCTGCGCCGTGATATCCAGGCTGCTGCATCCGGTCCGGTGGCTTGACCGTGCTCAGGTACTGAGAATGTAGATTTGGATTCGGCATGCCGGATAAGCGAGAAAGGACTTTGGAGGCACCTGTGCGCAATAAAAGATGGTCGAATGGGTGAAGAATTGTATTATATATCAGTGAAGTCGTGCTGGTGAGGGGCATGGCGTCGTTAAGCATAGAAGCATGCTCAGAGTATCTGTCACTACGGCCAATGGGGAGTCCCGGCTGGCCGGCTGGTAGATCACGACATGCTCAGCACGCACAAGCAACGCGAGGCGACAAGCGGAGGAAACGTAAATAAGACCATGGGTGCCACGTACAGATTCAAGTAATCCGTATGACGAGGAAGGTCATGATGAATCCGATCAGCACGACCAACAAGCTGAGCATCGTAATCCACGTAGTGCCCCAGCTTTTCGAGTGGTGATCCCGCAACCGGACACGCTCTTTGGTCATCACGCCGTGGTTGCGCTCCAGCTTCTCCTGCGTCTCCTGCACAACCGCGTTGTCCTTCTCCAGAGCGCTCGCGAAGTGGACGGCGTTCCGCTTCAGCTGCGTCGCCATCTGCGCAAGCTGGGCCGAGAGCTCCTCCTGCAGAGCAGCGGAGTTCTGCATGAACGCGGGGGTCGCCTGTGTGCCGGACTTCTCCGCTGCAGCAGGTCGCGACGGTGGTAAAAGCGCTTCGCTGGGGTTGATCGGGCCCCGCGGGAGCGTATGAGAGTCGGACGAGGTGAGAAGGAGTCCATGAGCGGCAATGGCGGAAGTCTCCTCGACAGGTAGCAAGGTTGCCGTGGGGTCGGATGGACTGGACCCGGTGTCTGGCAGGGATTCTTCAGCGGAGCTGGGGACGGGCACGGAGATGGGCGGTGGGATATTAGGAAGGATAGGGACTGGCTTCGAGATTATGGGTGCGACACGCTAGTGAACTCGTTCGTTAGGTGGGCCGATAAAGGGGCACATAACCGACGTCACCTTGTCCACTTCAGACACAAGACTCTCCAGACGATCCAGGGTTCTCCTGAATTCGTCGTACCGCCGGGGTGCTGCCCTGAGCAAATAGTCAGCTATCTACCCGATGCAAAGTAAGGGTTCAGGTTGGAAAGAACATGGGCTAGATGTGAACGAACACCCCGGGCACGTAGCTACCGCGAGCGCTGTACTGAAACTTAAGGTGATGATTGCCATGTCCTTGCAGATGTGGGTGAGCTCAATACCTGTCCTCGGCATGGTTGTCTTGGTTCAGACGTGCACGACATGGAGTGCAGCCCGGGTTCCAAGAGTAGGCTCGCTGGATTCGACAGGATGGCAGCACCGTTCTTGTCAACCATGGCATGGGTGACAGGCGCCATCAATTGTGAACACTCTCGGAACGGCGTACAAGTGTAAGGCAGAGGCAAAGGGTTGAAAGCCACAGCCGAAGGTTGTGAGCACCAAGTATACTCACGAGTCCACAGCATCATCGTTGACTTCCACATTCTGCAAGAGCTTGCGTGCGTGTTTCACTTTCTAGAAGACATGTCAGGTTGTATAGGTAAGACGACAATTGTCTATGTTGCTCGACAAACCTGTAGAGTACCACGGGTCCGGATCCATGCCGGGGTTGACGTGGAGGAGCCAGCAACGTCTTCCATCCAAGTCTCATCTGCGACCATCTTCTCCAGTCTGTGCACAAGACGCGCAAGGTTAACTCGGTCGTGCAGCACCTGTTCGGTCGACATAGTTGGCTCGTGAAGACAAGTTGCAGGAAAAACGAGAAGACGTGTGTAAGGGGTGGCGTCCGCGGGGCAACTTGGTAAGTAGGCGCGCGGCGCCAGGTTGATGGGCGCCTAGATCCAGAGAGGCTGATGGGCGGGATTCGGGAGCCTGCTGCAGATCGACTCGGACTGCCGCAGCAACCCCCATCTTAAACTCAGGCTGGCCTTTGCGGACTCGCACTTGAATCCTTCATTACATTTGTACCTCTGTTCCGCTTTTCTAATCGCGGTTTTTGTGCACTCTTGGTGACTGTATCGCTACATCTGCTTCGAAAATCCATCTTGTATTCGTAAGCTATGGCTAGAGGGAACAAAAATTACGCTCGTGGTGGCTTCCGCGAGTCTTCCAACGACATGCTTAGAGGGCGAGGAAGAGGAGGAGGACGGGGAGGAAGAGGCTATAGCCGAGGCCGAGGAGGTCCCCCGTACATGGATGAATTTGACCTCCCTATCCAGCAGTGGCCGAGCAGTACGCTTTGTTGTTGTCTTCTTCACGCATCTCAGCTTACCAGCACGTTGGCACTAGATGAGCCTCCTGCTACACCTCCTCCTCGCGGTCGCGGTCGAGGTCATTGGACCCCTCGGGGCAACGGGACGCCTCGAGGTGGTGGAAGAGGACGAGGACGAGGACGAGGCTCATCTCCGCTTCCTTACAACGTCTTTCACAATTCTCGACGGGGGCTAGGATCTCCCCAGGAAAGCGGCAGAGGGAGGGGAGATCGTACAGATAGCCCCCTCCCCTACGGTCGCGGACGCAATTTGCCTGCCAAGCTGAGGGCGGGCGTGCCGCTGTCCAAACTCTTGCATGAAGATAGGCCTCTGCTAAAGCCCATCATTTTCGTGCGCTCTGTTCACACTGCAACGCTCTTTGAGAAAGAGGACGATATATTTCTGCCTGTGGCAGAGCCGACTGGTGAGTTTCATCATATGTCGCTGACTCGCAACTTGAACTAATCCTCATGCGTCATGTTCCATAGTCGATGGGAACGAGCAAAGTCATGTCCCCACTGCAAATGCTGTCTCGCGCGTGTTCAGCACAACAGAGGGAAAAGCACAAGCCGATCTCTCTGGAGAAGAGGAAGAGCAGCTGGAAGAGATCGACTTCGCGGATATCGGCAGAATCCAGGCTGAGGTTGACGCCGCAGCGGCAAACTCGCAAGTTGTCCCCTCAGCAGTGTCAACAACAATCACAGAGTTGACGACTTTCTTCGTCGACACCACGCCTGCACCGGTCTCTACAAACTCTACGACGAATCGTATACAAGTGAACAAGTTGGATGGGGCTCTTGGAGGAGCAGCGGTGGACGACGACGAAGAAGTCATCGTTTACGTCGCCCCTCATCCGCGCACCGGGAAGTCTACTCCCCAGAACGTATCCCCTCCCATTGTACCTCTTCCTTCCACGTCCATCCTGACAGGTGTAGCGATTGGCCCCCCTACTCTCCCAGCGGATGGGCCCTCCGCCACCAGGCAGGAGCGGCGAAGCAGTCCTGCGATGCCCGCAGTCACAAGCTCCTCTCAGGCCGACACTCAACCACAGGCGACCTTCTCGCTCGAAATGGGTACTCTCTACCCCGAATCAGCTCCACCCTCTGCTGAATTCAATCCGTCGCCTGACGCCACCGAGCTGCCCCCTCCACCATCCTTCGACTCCGTCTCGTTCGCATTCGCGAAGACGGCCACGACCGTGAAGAAGCAGTCTCGTCGTCTCCACCCCGTCGGGACACCGCGCGCGCTGCTCAAGCGTTCTCGTCACCCTCGGCGGAAGCCGCTGCGCGGGTTCGGGTCGTTCGGCGCCGCGCACGAGGAAGCGATGCTCCGTGAGGTCGACCCGCGCCGCGACGAGCAGCGCCGGGGCGACTCGGACGTCAACTGGGGTACGTCGGACGAGGACGATGGCGGCGACGGCGTGGACGCGCTCTCGGCGGATATGGGCGGTATGGAGCTGGACGGGGGCATCGACTTGGACGCGATGAAGCGGTTTGTGCATGGCATGAGCGCGCAGGGGTCCGCACACGTTACCATGGACGACGTTGCGGACATCGAGCGGATGAAGCGGGAGGATGAGGAGGAGGAGCGGCGAGGCCCGGAGTCTGCTGATGAGGAGGACGAGGAGGACGAAGAGGAACGGGCGGAGGCGGGCGCCGCTGGTGCCTCTAGCGAGCGCACGGACGAGGAGGATGAAAGCGATGAAGAAGACGAAGAGATTGAAGCGGTACTGAATGCGGAAGAGGAGTTGCTCATAGCAGAGACGATGGTTGGTGAAGAGGACGAAGACGAGAACTCAGAGGATGAGGGCTCCGAGGACGAGGACGAGGACGAGGACGAGACGCCGCGACGAGGTTTCCAAGCCCGTCTTGAGCGGTTGCGCGCAAGCACCAGCAAGGGCAAAGGCAAGGCTAAGGCTACCGAAGATTCAAGTGACGACGAGGCCATGTCAGTGCAGATGACTTGGGCAGATGAAGACGAGGAATGGCTGGCCTACATTGACGTGCGTCCACCCTGGGTTTGTGTCACAACACGCTCACGATCGAGATAGGACATACTGGACGAGAACGCGCACATACTGGGAACTGGCAGCAGGAAAGCGAGGAAGTACATGTTCAAGGCCATCCAGAACGGCAGTTTCGATTTCGACGATGGCATGCTCTTCGTAGCGTCAAAGCCCGCTAGTATGCCAACCTACTGCTCGTATTGGACTCGACGATGACATGTTTGTTCGGTGCAGGGCGTCGCAAGGACAAGGGGAACGACCTCCCTCCCGAGCTCCACGAGCAATGGGAGAAAGACCGCCAAAAGAAGGCCGAGAACAAGCGAAGGCGCGCGGAGGAACGCCAGAAGCTCGCCGCAGACCCCCTGGCCGCACACAAGGGGGGCAAGAAGGGCCGCAAGGCCATGCTCGCGGCCGCGCGCGCCGCGGACGAGCTGCCGAACCGCGTCGTCGACTTCGTCTCGCTCGAGCAGCAGATCCGGCGGTTCCTCGAGGACATCGGCGGACGCGACACCATGGTCCTCCCCCCGTGCGACAAGGAGACGCGTAAGCGCGTGCACGACCTCGCCGGGGCGTTCAACCTGAAGAGCCAGAGCAAGGGGAGCGGCAGCGAGCGGTACACGACGCTGATCAAAACGTCGAAGAGCGGTCTCGGCGTCAAGGAGGGCAAGATTCGGGCCATCATGAGGAAGGCGACGGACGGGGCCTGGGACGCCCCGGCGGCGTGGGGCAAGGGGAGGGGGAGGACCACGGCGAACCTCGCGAAGCACCGCGAGGGCGAGGAAGTGGGCAAGGTACGTCGTCGTCGCTCGGAGAGAAGGACGTCCCTCATTGTGTGATGCATGTGCAGGACGCGGCGAAGATCGGCGAGTCGAACATCGGCTTCAAGATGCTCGCCGCCATGGGCTGGTCCGACGGGAACCGCATCGGGCTCTCTGGCGGCCTGGACGCTCCGCTCACGGCCATCATGAAGAAGACGAAGCTGGGGCTGGGCGCGACGATGTGAGCTGGTGGCTTTCACGGGCAATTGTCTGGTTTTCTCGTGCGTGTGCTCGCTGTGCAGGGACGTACCGCATGGTGATGTTTGTTTCGTCTGTCTGACACGACGATACATAGTAGCTACCGAAGTGGGGCGGCGACTCGCTTTAGCCTGCGTCGCGGACGTGGCCGTGAGAGCGGGTCTGAGATTGCGACATTTGTGCTGTTGGGGTCGGTCTGTTTTCGGATATATTGCACCGTCGAAGCTGCAGGAGCTGCTGATGCCGGCGGTTGGAGATGTGAACCGCAGATAGTTCCTACAACATTGCCGCATATGGCTCAGAGATGTTCTTCTGTGGACTTCGCCCAATTCCCGTACGAGCTGAGAGCTATCCATATATGATTGTTTTCCGCTCAAGTCTCCTTAACCAGGAGGCAGCGGCGTGAGCCAGAAATAGCCAGAATAACATGCCAGTTGTGGTATGCAACCCCGCGGGCTGGCGATGTCTGATGTGCCAAGGGAGCCAAGGCCTGTTATTGATCAGCCGATGGGACGGTCTGTGTACATGTAAGAGCAGTAAAAGTACTAGGTGTATGCGTGCAGATGACGAGCAGGATTGAGTACGTGAACAATTGAGGTTGCGGATTATCTACGGAGGAGGTGACGGCAATTATACAGTATGCGTACAAGTTTTGGTAACGTTGTTGGTAGTTGAGGCGATATATGTAAGACGCGAACAGCAGGTTATTAGGTCGATTATAGAGTAGCCGTAGAGTATTTCGGAGTAGCAGCACCCGTAAACCGGCGGGAAGTTTTGGCTTTAAGAGGTCGAGCGATACGGAGACAAGTGGCACCGGCGTGAGACACGAGGCTTGCTCGGACTAGAGGTATAGCGGCGGGAGTCCGTAAGCATCACAGATTGTACTGCTCAATATGGCGCATGACGATTAGTGAGGCAAGCAGTTCTACACGATGGGACCGTGAGCGTCGGGATAGAATGCAGCTAGGAGAGACGAAAACGCACCGCCGACGAGATGTGGGTATGCCTCTTCGACCGTCAGCATGCAGCCGGACGAGCTGGAGTATTGCGGTTCGCCGGCAGGCTTCATGCTGTACGTCGCAACATGGTAGTTACTTTTCGCGTTGGTACACTGCCGCGCCCTCCCAGTCAGCACCGCACGGAGGGAAGACGTCCGTTGGAGCACGCGACTTACCTGCCACTCGCCGTCGGGCTGGAGCGTCCAGCGGTACTCCTGACCGTCTGCGGCCTTGAACTTGCGCGACTTGCTCATGCTGCCGGTCGGAACATGACACAAAAAAGGAAGATGGGTTGTGGCGCGGATAGGGAGAGTAACTGAAGGACACTTACGAGGCACTCTTCATCAGATAGTGGCCCATCGGTACGTGCTCTCCGTCTGCGAGTTTGATTGAGCCAAGCGCGTTCTGGGGCCCGAAATCGAGGCTGGCGAGGGGGACCAGGAGGCCGCCGCGACCGCCCGAGCGCGAGGAAAGATCGTAGATGACATAGGCCGTATGGTGCGCGTCGCGGAGGGTCTGCTTGAGGCTGAGGTGCATTCGGTTGTGGAGGTCGACAAAGTCTGAGCCGGTGAGCTTTCCTGTGGTGTCCTCGAGGAAGTAGGGCAGGCCAAAATTGGTCATTTTGGGATGGAAGACGAGGGCGATCGAAGGGAGAGGCTGTTGGTTGCAAAGATTACGGTCTGAGGGGAGACAAAGGAGGGCGAGAGTAGGAATATTATGCGACGCGACGGGAGTATTAGAACGACTGTAGAGGTGAGGAGAAGAGAGCGGGGAGGAGAGGGGGCCCCTGGGGAGAGCGGGGATGAAACGATGGGAGGGAGGAAGGGGACGGAGTGGGCGTATATAACCCCGAGGCGAGAAGAACGGTCGGGCAGCGCGCCTGTCTCTGTCTCAATCTCAATCTTGAGCCCAACCGCGCGGCTAGTCCCGATGCGGTCAAACCCCACCGCCGTCTCCATCCCCCCCGCCCTCCGCGCAGTCCGCTCTTCCCGCCGCCGGCTATCGTGCTGTACTGAGACACAGCGTTTCGCGGCCAACAGCAAGCTTGGCCTGCGCAGAGGGCAACGCATGTGTCTATTGTTCACAAACCGCACCCGGGCTCCAACCGTTTGACCTGTCGTTCCTCCTCGGCCTCGAGGACGCGAAACACCACGACCATTGCCACGCCCATCGACCCTCCCAATACGTGCCCCATTCTGCAAGCGACATACCATGTGGCATCGGCCTGGTTGCAGCGCGAATGAGCCCATTCTTACACTCACATCACTCCCACCGACGGACGGGCCTACATACTGCCATGACGATGAGCGTCATGTATCGTCTCAGTTATAGCTGAAGCTACCCACACTCTAGCCATTTGAGAGCGCGCGCGCCGACCCCGCCATACATATGTCGGACCTCGCGAAACACATCGTAGCAACGGGGCGGTAGTAGGTCAGCATCGTCATATCGCACATCAAAGGGCCCTATAGCACCCTTGCGACACGTCCCACAGGACAAGGAGCTCTCCTACACTGACCACCGCTCCTCCATTTCACGCTGGCCACGAGGCTACCGACTACGTGTCGCAGCCTCTCGCGAATCTCTGAGCCCTGACCTCCCGAAGCAGATACACATGTATGACATCAACATGCCCGTAATATTCACGACTTGAGAGCTCCTTCCGACGAGTCGACGACGCCATCTAGCCTTTCTCAGCCAGCCGAGTCGCGGCAAGCCATCTCACCGCAGTTCCTCGTACTTGGTGCAGAATCATCTCAGCGACGCCATCGCGCCTGCCGCCCAAGCGCGCTCGGTCTTCACACTATCCTCCGCCACATGCGCCCCTCGCACAGCGGCACACGACGGCCCTGCAAGGCACCCTTCGCCTAACGGACGGTAATAGCGGTTCGGCTCCTCAATCTTCTACCGTCGGGTCCGCGACGCCTGGAGGGCCGTTCTTGCCATTCTCGCGATGGGGCAGCTGTCGTGTGAGACTGGGAGGGGGACCGCTGACGGTACGCGACGTACGCGATATGCGCGCGGTGATGAACTTGGGCCCCTACGCAATGCGAGTTTGTCAGCGAAGGTCGGACCCTCGCGAAGCTCGTGCGCCGATGCGGCGCAGCGCTGACAGCGCAGGGTCGCCTACATAAGTATTATAAGGTCCTCCGGCGACAATGAACGCAGCCGCGTGAGAGACGTGGTGGAAGGGCGTTGAGTTTGAAAGACGGCTATAAGCGCATTGATGACCCTGCAAGTCAGCCGCCTGGGCGCGAGCGAATACAACCTAGACCTTGCAAGAGCAGGTGAAGTAAAGCAGAAAGCGGTGCATCCAGCCACCATGTTGCTGTTCCACAAGTCTGTTGGCGTAGTGATGACTAGGTTCGCGGGATTGTTCATAGTATCCGAATATATCTCGTAACGCCAAGGAATAGTGTAAGCGACACATGGCGGCTACTCACCAGCTGCATGAACGCGTGTACATTGGCAACGGTCCCATTGGTAGCCCCATGAACATCCTCGCAAACAGCGTTCGACGATTCCTCTCGAGTTCGGAAACCTAAGTACACCTATAGAATATGAACATAACATCGTGGGCCAGTACAGAGGTTCCATGAAGCACAAAGGACGATATCATTCAAACGTACACGTTCAGTCTCGTCCCCATCGAGCTCCCGGTCGATCCCGCCGTGCATTGTCAGCCCAGCGTCGCCGATCCATTTCCCGCTCCCTATTCCTTGCCTCTTCGTCGTAGTCACGATCGTCCTTCTTTGGACGGGGTGGCGTCCTTGACCGAGTGATCCTGCGCGTCATCCGGTCTCTGTCCAACGAATGGTCCCTGCGCGGAGGTGAACGCGAACGGTCGTGATCCCGCCTCCGAGGGGATCGTGAACGCGACCGCCGACGGCGCCGATAGTCCTCGTCGTCGCTATGGGGTTCGCGCTCCTGACGCCGCCTGGCTCGTTTCTCCTCCTTCTTCAGCCGCTTCTCTTCCTTCTTCTGCGCCTTGCGTTTGCGACGCTCCTCCTTTTCAGGGTCAAGTGACTCGTCGATGGACGAAGACTTGAGAGGGACGGCAATGGCATTCGCCCCCGTGCCTGCGGCCCCAGCAGGGCCCGGCTTCGCTCCAGGCGCAAAACCACTGCAGCATACGTGTGAGCAGACGACGAGATGCGGTCGGCGAGAGTACGCACAGCGCCGCCGCCAAGGCTTCCTCCTCTGCTTCCTTGATCTTCCTCAGCTCCTCCCTTCGCTCCGCGTCCGTTTGAGCCTTCTCGCGTTGGTACCAGTGCACGTCCTTGTTCTTTTGCCATCTTCCGGTCGGAGCGTTGATGCTGTGGCCTAGGTAGTTCTGATACACGAGAAGTCTTTTGAGTACCGCGTGCGTTATAATGGGATCCTTGTTCTCCGTACCTCCCGGTCCTTGTCTTGCGATACGTCGGACCACTTGAACTCTGCCTGACCGCCACGGGTTCCTCCGCGAACAGGCTCAAACATCACGGAAGGGTTTTCTCAGACGTTTCAAGAGTATGGAAACAGCCTTGCAAACTCGAAGACGACAGTAGAAGATACGAAGCCGGGGATGTGAGGGTTAGCAGGGCGATATTCTGGTTGGCGGTGACACTGGTAGTAGCACTGTAACAGCAGGCGTCTGATGCTGGCCAAGCGTTGCACGTGACATTACCACCTTGAGCCGGAGGCGCTACTAAACTTGAGCATGTAGTGGCTATTCTAGGAGTCACCCCCATCCTCCGACTCACACATGTGCGGCGAAACGCGGGCAAAGCGCCAGGCTCCGAGCAGGGAAAGTTGTGTGGCATTTATGGACAACGCAACCTGACCCTAGCATTTTCAGTGGGCCTTTGTATCCCTCTTTGTGATTTGGGAAATATTATGGGCACGTTGCATGGCACGTATATTTAGCATAGATTTCCTCACCTGGACCATCGCGCTTTGCCTGCCGTGTACTTATGTAGCCTTGTACATGCATCGTTTGCTGAATAAACAAAGCGCTTCGAGTCAACATGGTGTTTCCGCACAACGCATCATTCAGCCGTCGGGACCGCACTTCGGGACGCTTGACTCGGGCGTTTCACTGAGGACTCCAGTGGTAGCCACTTACATATATGCCCCCTGTCCAACGATCGGCCTGTCCCCGCATTGCCTCGTTCCGCTTGCTCTAAGGACGAGGAAATGTCTATACACCGCGGTCAATCTCTGTCAGTCACCTCGCGGAACGCGGTGGCTCATGCAGATGGCCTTTTTAACGGTTTACGACCACTGCGGGGGGATGGCAAGGGAGGTTTCAAGGTTCACATAGTTGGCAATAGCGGTATGTGCAGCCTAAGTTGTACCGTGCTTAACCTGACAGTCATTACAGGATCGGGCAAGGTGCGTATTCACGGTGTCATAAACGCAGCACCGAATTTCCATCAAACGTACGCAGTCGACGCTTGCGCTCGAGCTGGCGGCGCTGCTCGACTTGCCCTGCATCCATCTCGATCAGCTATTTTGGAAGCCGGGCTGGCGCGAAAGCACGGACGAGGAATTCCGTGAACGCGTTCGTACTGCTATAGATCAAAGCCCTCGCGGCTGGGTCGTCGACGGTGACTATCAACGGCGTGCAGGGAAAATGGTGTCCGAAGAGGCGACCGATGTGATCTGTAAGTCTCGTCGTGCTCCCTCGTTGCGTCGTCCGGACCGGTGAACGTACTTACACGACGCCTTCTGCGGCTACGCGGCAGGGCTCGATCCACCGCTGATCCTCTACTTTCCGCGTTTGCTGCTCAGGACGACCATGCGGTTGTTCCGGCTCGTCCCGCCTTGCAGTCCTGGCTGCGAAGAAATGGCGAGCGAAGCGTTCTTCTCCCGCAACAGCATTTTGTGCTGGTATGTAGGCTTCCTTATCTGCCTATCGCTCTTCGTGTTGTCTCCGTTGCCTCATCTCCGCGGCAAGCCCGATCGTTTGATCGTTCACGAGTTTGCCTAACGTCCGCTCGCAGGTGCCTCAGCCAGCACTCAGTGGTGCACAAGCGGGAGGCCGAAAGATACCGCACCGATGGTGTGCATGTTGGCGGCAAGCGCAGGCGCATTGGCGGCTGGGGAGGAGAACTCGCCGCGTGGAAGCGGGACGTAGAAGAGATGATTCGAGCCGCGGGTTCGGATGTAACGTCCGACTAAGAAAACTTCGAATTCGAGCTGGGGTTCTGTGTAGATGCCCCTGGCTATGTATAGTTGCGATATACTAGGTTGGATTAAATGGTTATTGGCCTACGGCGGTCTGATACTCAGCAGGTATCCGAATGGTATCTAATGAGAACTAAGGGTTACAGCTCAATTGATAAATGAAGACGAGTGGCTCCTTGTATAGTCTGGAGGTGAAGTAGGGTTCATATCGGGGACATCGAAACGAGCGTGAAGGATGATACAGAAGATCCGAAGTAGGCTACACAAACAATGCGGATTATAACGAGCGGGGTAATAGGACAGCAATGTGAACATCGACGAGGGCACAGCATAAGTGTACAAGAATGAAGCAGCGAGAGAGAACGGAGCAGGTATATTGGTGACAGCGATGAGCGAGGAAGAACTAAACGACGGAGTGAGGATGACGACGGAGGATAGGGGGCAAGGTCACTTCCTCGGGAAGCGGAGGATGTATTCCGGCGGACAGGCATGCGTCTTCCAGTCGGCGACGAAGCTCATCCCCTCTAGTGCGTTGCCCTGGATATTCTCTTGAGCAGTGAGCCTTATCGTAAGCCGCGAAGCACGCACCCGGGCACGGCCAGAGCGCATTGAGCACGTCGAGGGGGATGAGAAAGGCCTTCGCAAGTTCAAGCGCATGCATGAGTTCGGGATTATACTCCCACAAACCAAGGCAAATCGCGACCTGGTCGGAGAACCAGGTGACCTGGAAGGGACGGCGAGTGAGGAGATGGCCTTGGGCCTCTCCGACATGAAGCACAGACTCCTTGACGCGCTGAGCAACCTGATCCTGATAAAGAACTACGACGCCGTCGCGCATCAGTCAGCTCTCCGCGGTGGGAAATGGAACAACTCACGCCACTCTTCGGCCTGGCGGCGATTGAAGATGGGCGGCAGGACCGGTATGTCGCCATCCTGCAATCTGCTAAAGCGAGTCAGGGTTGAGAAGAAATGGACGGATTGGGAAAAGACATACCGGCGGAGCTCGTACGTAATGGTCATACGAGTGCTGTATATCACGGTTGGCGAGGCACAGCCCGTACACGTCAGTCTGGCACGTAACGTGTGACAGGGAAGGGAGAAAGAAGACGCACTTGTACAGGTACTCCCGACAGACGTACATCAGGCCGGTGTCAAGGTTGCACACGTGCATATCGAGCGCATCCTGGATTTCCCGCGTTTCCTGGAACGCGCTGATAGCGAAGCTTGCCCGCTGGTCTGTCGTGAGAGTCTCGTCCCGCTGTACGCAACTGCAGCTGTTCCACAGAAGCATGCTGCGGCAATACAGCGCCCACACGGATTCCTTCGGCGACTGCTCGTGGACCTGCTGATGCACGACTGTGCTTTCGTACTCTTCCCCAGGGAAGAGGAGCACGTACTACACAACGTCAGCGCCCCATGTGAGTACGTACAGGAAAAACTGATCAAGCCCCGACTTACGTTGGAGAGCTCCGCAAGACTGAGCTCGACCGGCTCCGTATGAAAGGCGGAACAGTGGGCCGTGTAGGCAGAAACCAGAGTGAGCGCACACCAGCATAGTCTGCGGCATTCCTCCTTGCGGATCTGCGCCTCGTCCCAGGTGGGGTCCCAAGGCACGTTGAATGAGAGAGTCACAGAAAGATGGTCGGAACCGATCGACCATCCTACGGGTGGAGGATATGTGGGACACGAACACCTATCAGGACGCCGGTAGCCGTCATGCATGTATACGATGGGCACCGAGCGAGTGGGGAAGCTGCTGGCACGAGGGTCCTCGCGATCTACCGAGTACAGAGACAGAACGTGGATGATACGGTCGAGGAGCTGGAGAGCGCTAGTCGCCTGCTCGGGAGTATACATTGGATGGCAAGAAGACTCGAACAGAGCTAGGATCTGTTTGATACGTCTATAAGTGAGTATCGTCGTACTCACGATCGAGTGAAACTACGCACTAAGGCAGCTTCCGCGAGGGTATAGTCGAAGTTGTGGCTGTGGCATGCGTCTAGCAAACACGCCTGAGCCTTGTTGCGGAAGGTCAATGCGAGGTCTCGTCCACGACTTCCGAGCTCGATCTCGCTTGACTTCATCAACATCGCCATAGCGAGAGCAGACATTACGAGAGACTGCATGCGACCACGGAGATCGGGTTCATGCAGGTCACGGAAGAATAGAGGTATATTGATGAAAGAGAGCCAGTAACTGCTGGTCGTGAAACTATGGACTTGATGAGCACATAGGAAGAAGTAGATCAGCTAATTTAGCACATACAGAAAGTTGAGGTCGGACATGATATCTTGCATACTGCGAGTTTATGTTGAGTAAGTCGCATTTGAGAGGAAAGCGAACAGCGCATACGATTGTTCTCGTGACGTCGGGTTGTACTGATCCAGGAGTTCGTCCCACCAAGAAGAGGGACTGTGTTGAATAGGAGAAGAGAGTGGTATATAGGAAAGCTTGTCTTGATCTTCGAGCTTGTGCGAGACGTTGACGTCCACAGATTGAGCGAATGTCTTGTTGGGGTCGGTATAGTCCATGATCACTGAAGAGCGACGAAACGATGGTGAGAGATCATCCTAACGGCGACTGAATAAATACTCGTCGTCGAATATCAGTCCGAACGAGGGATAGATGAATGCCTCACTTTAGGGTATATTGCCTCGGGCCCTGTCCCCCGCGGAGGTATCGAGGTATCGATGTACAATGCTCCTAGCTGCGGGGGGATGTTCAGGCCATTCATGTCATCCATTGCACCTCGCGACGGGAGTTGGCCTCTCCTGTGGCCGCCTGTTACGTTCTCCTTCACTTTAACATCGAACGAGAGCACGGCGCTCTCACCCTCTACATCAGTCTTCCGCTTCTTCTTCGCTGACCCACTCGTCGGCTCCGCGTCGGGAGGGCGCTTCTTGCACGAGCGTTGCCTCGTTCCAGGTCTCTTATCGGGGCCTCTTCGCTTTGGAACGGCGTCGTATTCGCATTCGTTGTTCCGTCGGAGGCAATTATGGCAGAATGGACGCGTCGAGTCGCAACGAATCTTCCGCGCACGGCTGGTATGTCAACAGATTAAAGGGACATCCGTATCGCATGACAGAGATCAGAAAATGCACTGACCATTGCCGACAAGCAATGACGACGGTAGAGGCCTCCCTCCTAGGTGGGCGAGAGGAAGTTGGGTTGCTGCCCGACGGGTTACCCCGCACGAGGCCCGATGAGGACGACAAGGAAATCTGAGGCTTCGACTCGGCAACAGTCATGGTCGCAGACTGTCGAGAGGGGAACGACTGCGCAGGATCACCAGACAGTCGAACCTGTGAATCTGGAATTCTGGCAGGCTGAGACAAGTGCATGGAATATTCGGTAATGGGGTTCATGACATCTGTTTGGAAGCGAGAAGACGGCATTGCTATCTGAAGCAGCCCATGCCCGTGAAGAGCGAGGTCGGTAGGTGGATGCGAGGGCGATAGATGGTGGTGAATGGTTGTAGGGCTCGGGACTTGTAGTGTCTCCAAGACATGGGGATCTCGGGAGTGCGGATCCACGGCCGGAGCGGCATAGCGAGCGTCAAAAGCCGACGGTGGGGGTAGTAGTTGTGTAGAGACATCCGAGTAGGCGTAGTGGTCAAGATGATACCGGCCTTTTTACGCCAATCGGGCATGTGAACGTTGTGTGCGCTGCACAAGATAAGGTGCACGTACCGTCTGGCGTAGCGTAGGGTGCCTCAAATATAGGCGAGTGGAGATCCGAACCTTCTTCGCTCGACTGGACACCCTCCTCGACCATGTGCATATGAGGGAACGGGGTATAGAGATCGCCGTTCGAGCTGGCGACCATGTCAGGGAAGTGTCTGGAGGTGGGGTAGAAGAGGGACTGGTGGCGTCAAAACATGGGGAGTTCAAGAGGGCCTCGATAGATATGAAAGCCACGCGAGCCTTGCGAGTGCCTATGCAGCCAGAACAGTCTCATACCCACGGGTAAAAGACTTGACAGAGGCGCGCACGCTGCAGATGGATCTGCTAGAAGCCGGGAAGATTTCAACAACTTTGACCAATCGTTCTCGGACTGGATATTCACCAGTATGGGAATCTGCGCGACGGGCGCAGGTTGTCGCAATTCGCCTACAATGCCTGGGATCACCTGCAGATCCAGGATGATGATGACGTTGCGCCCCGTAGCTTTTCTAGACGATTGACATCCAGCCGCACTGGCTATAGGCGACTATACGCTGGGACCAGGATATGTAATCCCGGAGGTTTGGCATCAGCAACGCCCAGGGGGCGGCGGGGCCGGGGTTTGAATGGGCGAGAACAAAAAGTGGAACAGAGCGCCTCGGCTCTCCACAAGTGATGCATCTGGGGAAAATATCGTGTGAATGTATTTTATGATGTTTACAATCCAGACAACATGATGTCTTCTGTTGCAGCTGTTCCAAGAGGGGCGATTCGTGGACCGTTAAGGGAGAGGCCGAGATTCACGCGCTGAAGCCACTGCCGCATCCGACAGCGTGGCTATCCTCCACCCACTCCTCGACAAGCTGCCCACTCATCAACATCTACCCACACCATCTCGCAATGCGCAACTCTCCCATATGGCGCCACATGTGGTCTACCATGTGTAGGCCTAGTAAGTCTTGCAGGCATGATCGCAGGCAGATGCAACTCGCCTGTGCTGACCACACATGTTCCCCAGGGGATCCCACGGAGGGGGGCTTACGAGCCGCTGGTCAATAGTAGTTTCGGGCGAAGACACAGGACTTATCCTCGACAAATTATGTATGTACAAGGGACGACCGACATTTTGGAGCGAAACATCCGTATTGAATTGGTTTCGTCTTCGGCATTCACCTTGCGCGCTCTGCTTCTGTGCTCGGCGGCCGTCCCGCTCCCGAGCATCACCGTTTCCGTCCGTCGCTCCTGTTCGCTGGGTTCTGGACACTCTCTGCTAGGACGTATCTTCTCTCGATGTCCTTTCCGCAGCTCCTTTTACCCGCCCATTTTTTGTGGCATGACGCCAACGCCACGAGCCTGTTAAAGTCCACTGACAGGAATGGTCCCCCGTTCTCTCACGCTCTGCTTGTGAGAAGTCTACCAAACAATCCCCCCGTTCTGTTATCTCCGACAACATTAAGCATCCGGTCTGCCGCACGGCGCCCTTCCTCCACACTAGAAGGCTGTCCCATCGACTTCGTGAAAGCCTTCGCGACGGTCGAAATATGGACATTCATACTCATGCGCGCCGGTCTCGTCTGGCGTCTCAGGGTCCTGCACTTGGGGTCATTCCGCGATAATGGACGTGTTACCGTTACCGCATTCGGGGTCGAGGTCGTATAAGCAACAGATTGAGTCCATTTCGGGCGAGGGAGCAGGTTCTCAAGGTAGGTCAGAAAGTCCTCGGATGATTGGAAACTTTATAGTTTGGTACCACAGAACCGGTCATCCTTACACACGTGGCCAAGGGAATGGCCTGCGAACATTCAATCCGTTAGCCTCTCTTCTCCGCCGCGCATGATCGGTGCGAGCATCCTTCCCGTCTTGGGCGAACCACTCACTGTCAAGGTTTCAAGGGCATATCCCGGAGGCTCTCACTGACAGATGCGCTGACCTTCCAGTTGATTGAAAGATCATTCATTGGGATGGGATACAGGTCAAGTCACCTTGAGGTATCTAGCAGCGCTTGAAATGGTGTATTGCTGACAATGAATCCGTCCGTTCAGCACCTATGGTAATCCTTTTGCCGAGCGTGAACGAGCGAACCTTGACGGTGAACGTCCCGTTCTTGGCGGCGCGAGTCCCCCTGTGTTGGCAAGTATCTATCCGCTCTGTGCCACGGCGCTGCGCATATCTTACTGCATTCACTGGGAAAGGTCTATGTTTCCGCGACTTCCGACTGTCCGTTCCGGGGGACCGCGGTACCCGCTCCGAAGGTACTCTGAGTCGTCAAGGTGCTGTTATCCCTACGTGGATGTTCCTCACGCCTAGCACATTGTGCAAACGTGGGCTATGTCATTTCCTCCACGATCGGCTTATCAACCGTAAGGACCATCGATCTCGAGCTCTGCGGCTATGAACCTTTAACCCGGCATGCGGTCCTAGTATGGCGGCAAATCCGCGATCAAAGGTCGACGTTACTGAGCACTACGAGGCGCTCCTATGCGGCTCGGCACCGCCTGGCGTGACCGGACAAGTTTGTGCTTCCTCCCAGGAGCCTATGGCCTGCAGGAATGCATTGCCCTACGGTCTCGCCCAAGCGTTTACACGTACTATGGTTCGTTCTTACATACCCTTCTGGGGCACGCTGTTCAGGAGAATCTTGCCCAGCAACACGTCTCAGATGTCCACCTGTCCATCCGGACGCTTTAGAAGCATACCGGGGAACAACCAGAGGCTGTGTGCCACCGTCCGGCAACGCCCTGATGATCGCAGGCTTGGCCCGGGATGGTAATTCGAAAGCGAGGGCGCCGATGACCGAACGGTGATAAATTTAACGTGCTTCGAGTCTAGGTGTCCCGGTGAGAGCGGTCTCCTCTCGCGGATCATTGGATGGGGTGGTAGCGCGCCTTTCCCCATGAGGCATGTTGCCGAGTACCATCGTGCGTGTGGTGGGAACGCGCTCCCTCCTGGAGGATCTCGGTACCGAATACTGTGGGGACCAGGTTTTCTGTACGCATCGCGGTCTCACCGACGCAGCAGAGCGCCCTCGCGCAAGGGACACTGAAGGGCCATCTATCTTCCCAGATAGGCCCTGAAGATGAGTGTTCTATCTCGCTATCTCCGCAGTCTGGACCTGTTGAGCAACGTCTTGGACATGCGTGATGTGCTAGACCGCCTGCTGGACATATGCCTACTCTTGTCAACTCAAATGGAACATCGGATGATGGTGTACCCCCAGAACACTACGTAGACCCAGCGTAAACCCGTATCCTCTGTGACCACACGGAACAACATCCCTTTGCTACCCCACGGGACGACCGCTTGGTAGCGCTATCCTGCAGGCACAGTGTACTTATCTGGGCCGTTGTAATAGCCCCTGTCGCGCCACTTCATTGTGTTTGAGACGTCCACCGATGTCGCTAACCATCCTTTCTTCTAGGCCAGAAGACTGCCAACCGGCTGCAATGAATCCCTATAAGTTGGGTACCAGATGAACCTTACCCGCCGTCTGGACTTACCCCGCGCTTCAACCGTGTTCGAACGCTTGCTGGCGGCGGTCTGGGAACTCTGTCCATTTCCTCTTCGCCAGCTCTTCGCCAGGCGCTGCATGTCATCCACCGAACGCGGCGGATCGTCTAGCTGGGAGGCGGCCGGGCACCCCACAGGTCGCAGAGGAGTCTCACGAATACCTTCCAGGTCCGTTTGACACATGACGTTTCCATTGGAAGTTGTGTTGAGCGGAGGGGTCACCCGACCGCTCACACCGAGGATACGTGTCAACCTAGGAGAATAGGATGTGCACGACATGCCTTTCATCGAAGCGGAGACGGTGCAGGTGGACGATTGGATGACTGAGCACGTCCGAGAATGTGCCAGGCTATTTCCTGCTCGAAGAAGTCGAGTCTGGATAAGACGATGTGTCTGGTCGTTCAGGTTTTGGGGTGACGCTGAATACATGTGTACCTTCTCAGTATGGACGTACCTTCTCATTCTTGGATGTATTGCCTCCGTCCTGTTCTTTCTTATGGCTGATGGGGTCCACAGTCCACGACGAACAGAATAGCCACCGCTGTCCGCCGCTAGCGTGCGTCGCTCTTCTTGGTATAGTATGAGAACGATCTCGAGACGACTTCTCATCTGCCCGGACCTAATCCATCTGAGCAATATGAGAACACTGTGTCGTGGCCTCAATTCGTTCGGTACCGACATCTGGCGCCTGACGTTTCCTTGCACGGGGCCTACTGTATCGAGAGAACCAGCCAGAAGTTGATGCGCTCGCTTGCGCTGCTGAGGCCGAGTCTCGGTAGGGGAGATGCTCGTGATTCACACGCCGCAGCCGCGAGTACGGAAATATCAGTCGGCAATGCAGAGTAGCAGGTAGTAGACCTTCTTTCCGCGTACAGCAAGAGAGACGGTGTCTCGATCTGACCACCGGGGGTCGGACGGGTATACACATCGTGAACGTCGAAAGGGCAGCTGGAGGGGTACTAATGCTGTCCTGGTCATGATGTGCTGCGTGAGGCAAGCGAGTCTATGGCTGTTCGCTGTGATGCTTTACTACATCGGAGGAAAGACTGAAATCATATTACCGTAGTACCAGGAGGCGTACCAGCGCGATGAACTCTGTCGGCTATGGCGGGCGTCGGGGTGGGCACGCGCAGTGACTCAGGCTGAGGCAGGCGTTGAGTACACGAGTGTGGCGTGCGATCGCCCGCTATCTCGGCGCTTCGGATCTTACCCCGGGCGCTCCGGACACGGCGCTCATCCTCGAGCAGCGGGATTGCCTTGTATGGAAGCGCCTAAATCTTGCACTTCTCCACGCCGCTCGCTGCCGCCTGCTGCTCGCCCTCGCCGTGCGCGGGGTATCCTCGACATGGCATCCATCTTTCAGCTTGTCTGCTGCTGTTGCGCGAGGGGTGGCCCCTCTGGACAGGTAGGGTAATGCGGTTATACGTTCGGCGGCGGCGAGGCTCACCATACCTGCAGAACGAACCGGATGAACATACGCCTTTGTTTCAGCCCTCGGATGACTCACCGCCGTACGCAGCTTTCCTCCAGTACCTACACGTGGCTAGCTCACGCGCAGAAATACAGCGCTCGGAACTACACGGTAGACCACCAGAAGATGAAGGAACGGTTAGGGCACATCGTTCGTTCCAAGGAAGGGTACGTCCACGAATGCCCGTTGCGAATCCAGTCGCAGTCTCATCTCGGGTTTCCATTTCTCCACAGAAAAATGGTCAATGTCAACCAGCCGCTACCCTTCAATCTCCACAACCGTCCAACTTATGGCCGACCAGACCGTAGCGTCTCTACCAATACGACTCCCCCGCGCCCCACTTCTTCCACATCTCAAAACAATCCCTCGCCCGACTCTCCTTCTGTATCTACGTTCCAGAAACAAACCACGGTCCCTCCATATGTGCCATCTCGAGACCCGTCTCCCTCTATACAAACGAGCCGTTCCACCTCCTCTCTGCATCCGGGCGATGCGTCATATCTTCCACCAGAAGCTGACCCTGATGGAGGCTTTCGACGTGCTATCCTGAACGTCCGGCTCGTCCGCGGACCAGGCGGGTTTACGCCAGGAGGCCGCGCGCGACAAGGGAGGAGCGTAACGCGTGGTCGACTTGGTCGCTTCGGGGAGCATAGTGGTGAAAGCGCGGAGGACGTGAATGGGAAGGGCAAGCAAGTCGAAAATAGCAGAGATGGAATCGAGGTAGAGTCTCCGTCCCCCGCGGAAGAGGGCAGTCAGAATCGCAACCTCGGGCAACCTCATCAGCTGGGGAACGGCGGGCAGGCCGCAGGAAGAGGAAGCCCTGACGCTGTGCCGGACCGTAGAGCACCGTTCTTGGCGACCGAATTCAAAATAGAGGACGTCGGAAGTCTCTCCCAGAGCTGGGGGGAGTGAACTCAGCGCCTCGACTGCCTTGCCCGATGCTGACGAACGGGCGGTGCGACCGACAGCAGCCCTTCCGTCTTGTTTCTCCGCAGGATTTTCTTTGTCGAGTTCTCAAGATGAAACCCACGGAAACCCACGAATACTCACGATACCGCTTGCTCAGCATCCACGTTTCTGCAATGTCTCGCACACCGCTCATTCTGCTATTCTATCGGACAAGGACATCCTGCCCTTCGGTCTCCAGTCCAATCCATAAACCTCACTATATCAGACCTGGATCTACTCACCCATATGCTTACAATCAACGGTTCCGTCATGGCTAGTTTGAGTGTGTCAGAAGTGCTCCTCCCCCTCCACATTGTAGCTCATAGGTTTATCCCCTGGCAATGCCACTTCACGGTATACCTTGTTTTCTCTTGGATGGGTGCAGAGATACTCGCGGTTGCTATGGGGTGCGTAGCAATGTCGGCTTCGGCAATAATCAACCGACAACATTAAGACGTAACGTTACTGCTACTACTACTATCTGGCCACATGACGCCCCCGTTCGACTGCGCTACCCAGTCTTCCTTGCTGCCTCGTACGACCTTTGCTCTGACGAACTCCTCGGTTGGAGCCCTGGCCCGCATCGCACCGTTGTAGAGGTTCGAGATGAGGTCGCTGAAGTCCATCCAATCGTCTACAATCTTGTCCTGCACGTGCTTGAGCAGAACTTCCACCGTGCGCTCATCTTCAATGTAAAGCCGTAGGCTCATCGAGACCCTGTGAACGTCACGCTCGAGCTCGGAGTACATCCGGTCAATATATGATTGCGCAGCTTCGATCCCTGCCCACGTCGAGTCCGGCGCAGACCCCAGACGAGGGAGAATCGTTTTTCCACTCGGCCCAACAGGGTCGTTGTCGAGGGCGTAGGTCGCTCGGACCTTTTCCGCCCACGCCCGCACGCCGCCAGAGACGGCGTCGATGCCGGATTGGATCACATCTTCGCAGGCCTGCTTCAGTTCCTGGTCGATCCCCTGTCACAGAGGCGGATCACGCGGCACAGTGTGTTAGCCTTCCCCGCTCTGGCTGCGCCTGTGGGCTCGAAGAATCGGGGAAGGCACACTCACGTGGCGGACGTCCGTCATGTCTTCGTCACGCGGCATACCGAGGGAAGCCAGGAGGGCGTTCGGAAGAAGAGACGTCGTCCTGCCGAGCATCGAAGCCAGGGTTTCTGCGCCGGTGTGAGCGAGCGGCGCCGCGTGTGGGAACATGTCCGTCGGACTTACCATTCACTCCCGAGAGGTCCAATCCTCGGTCGACATTCCGATGCACGAGGTCCAGGTTCTGGGTCATCTCCTTGAGGATGAGCAAGTGGCGAGCAAGGAACAGTTGTCCCTCAAAAACGGAAGACGGTGGATTCCTAGACTTCAGCGTCTCGGCGGCACCAACGAGGGTCTGTCTGCAATAGTTGATCGCTTCTTGTGCGAGGTCATCGAAGATGGCAGGCTTTTGGAAGAGGGATATTGAGTTATAGAGCAAGGACAAGTGTCGACATGGTACCTTAACGAAGTCCTTGAGCTGTGAAAGTACCCAGACAGTTTTTTGCAGGGTGGGGTACCAAGTCTCCTGTTTGTCCAAAGACTTCAGTTGGAAGACCTGGTTAATGCTTTGCTTCTCCTTAATTTCCGTCCCGGACAGGGGCTTCCGCGCAGCTGGGAGTCCATTGTCAACCTCCTTCCCTGCCTGAGAGGAGTACAAATTCCTCACCGAGGAGCTTGTCGGGGTATGCCAAGTCTTCTGGTTTGGGGACGTAATACCTTATCTCAGACTGAATGACAGATTGTGCCTTGAAGAATAGGCGCGTCTGCGCGTCCTGCAAAACCATCTGCAGTAGGTGGCTAATGTGAAGGGTACGTAACCCCGTCTGACGTCTAGGCTGATCCAAATCGAGAGTGAGCTCATCGAGGTCTCCTTCCTCGTCGGATGGAGACTCTGGCAGTGACGGAATGTCTAGCACCATCAGTGCTTGGAGGACGGTGCACACTTCGCAGAGCGCGGTCAGACGGGGCTCATGCAGAATCCGCGGCCTGAGATCGTCGTAAAGGTAGTCGCAGAGGCTTTCGAGATACTGGCTGGTCACATGTAAGTCGGACCGAGGCGATGCAGAAATAGCCACATCACGTACTATAACTGTTCTTCCCCAGAATTGAAGAAAGCTCGGAACAGTGTAAATTCGTCAGTGCACAGCTGCTTGAGATAACTGCACCCAGCTCTTGTCTGACTTGGAGCGTGAAATTTTGCAGAGAGAAGGGGCCTTCCAAACTCACCAGTTCCACCAGTTCTGTCCTCGCCGGGTCCAAGCCTCTGATTTCTTCCATCAGACGGTTGACTAGAAGGGCTTTGCGAGCTGAGAAGTATGCGGTGTGGCACTCGGCTAGAAGTGCTGCCAGTTCATCAGGGTGATCCCGGGCACGACGCTCTAGCTCCGCAAGTAGAGGCGCCAGGGGTCCTGACACAGATCGAAACCTGGTGTATAGGAGATGTGTCTGAGCCGTAGTCGAGACATCCTGCCAGGGCAATCTCAGACTCGGCAAGCAGGAGACAGAAGAAAATGTGTGCCTTTTCCGATAGCCGTTTGGAGACGTCCGCTGTCAAAGCCCGTAATGATCCCACGAAGTACATTTTTATCAAGGTCATGGCTCGCGTCATGCATTGTTGGAAGCGGAGTAGATATATTTCCGCTTCTTTGAAGTGTCGCTATAACGGGGTTTCAGTAGGGCGAAGAGACACATGAAGAAAGCTACTGACGTGCGCCTTCAAGTAGTCGATGCAGATATCCACTCGCTCGACCATGTACAAGAAGTCTCCTTGCAAGACAAGGGATTCTCCGGGATGATTCAGCATACGCGTCGCTTGCTCCAGCTCCTGGAAGTACTCCAATCTCTCGTCTATAGCAATGGTCATATCCAGTATGCGATCCTATACGAGCTCGTATGAGCTACATTCATACCACTGAGACAGACGGGGAGACTCACCCGTTCCTGGAGGAGTTGTTCGCAAGCATCCTTCAAGCTTCTGCCGCTTTCCTCGACCGACCGCCAGCCCGAGAGCATATCCTCGACCTCTCTGTCAATCTCATCTATGCGTTGGACCAATCGATCGCATGTTTCAAGATGATCTGACACGGTGCCAAGGTGCGCTCGTATGTGCGCTTCCTGGCTGTGCGTAACAGAGCGGTCTATGAGAGCGTACCAGTCGTAAAATTGTTGCGGAGTCTGGATAGGCTGCTTAGGGTGTAGAGAATGTGCGGCTGAGGGTCGATGGCCACCGACAATGTGGGGTGTAGAGGGACGGGACGATTGGCCGAGCTTGCCACGAATGATGGGCGTCGATGGACGAGAGGAAGAGCCTGGCTCTTCAACGCTGAGCTTCACCAGAGGTTAGAACAAACTCTATGGGCCGGCCTATAACATGCGCACCTTAGGTGGAAGGGTAGACCAAGGGCTGGCAGACTGGACAAAGCTTATACTCCTCGTTTCAACATCTCCGAGGGGTGCTGCCGCTTCCCACTCCTCTACAGTGATTGTGGACTTCGCATGGGGAGTCAGCGTAGCGAGGTTTACCGGTCTTTTAATGTTGGCTGCCATGATGGGCCTGTTTGTACCACCCGATCCAAGTTCTTGCCCCCGTAGCTGAGATGGGTCGGACCTTCTACTCAGTATGGCGACAGATCAGCAGCAAGTAGGTACGCTTGCAATGACTACAAGCGTACGCAGGGATCAGAGACAGAAAGCGAGGATGGGCTGAAACTGTATGCATACAGAATTCGGACCGCTTGAGCCCGGCGCGCTCAGCCACAGCGGTTGTTTGGCTGTGTTATGCAAGAGCATTGATCGTTGTTCCCAATTTGGCTGGCAATATTGCATGCGGCAAAACACTCACAAGAGGTGGTGCCGAATCCCGATACTCTTCTTCTGCTTAGGGACTGTCGTAGGAATGTTCCCACTTGTTTCTCTCCCGCTTCCTGGCGAAGTACTACTCATTACGGATGAGCTGCTTGCTTCAGCAGATTTCTTGCTGCACCATATCTTAGCCCGCCATCTGAAGGATTCCAAGGATTCTGCCAGCATGATCGTCTTCCTTTCTGAGGATATAGGGAGATGGAAAGCGATAGCTGGAAAATCGGTATCTTGATTGTCACATACTACGTGCGTGCTTGCTGATCCTATGGTCCACAGAATGTGGATCTGTCTGGTCATATGGATAACCAACGCCTGAGCCTGATCGATGCCATGTCGCTCATCTCGCCTGCATTGGAGTCTTCGACGATGGTTCCACTCCGGGACCTCTACGACGGGATCAGAGACGCGCTACAAAATTATGCAAACCATAGGGAACAGAGCATGCTCGTGATCCTCGACGACCTTGCCACTCTCGAGTGGATAGGAATAGCAGTCGAAAAAGTTGCACAGTTCAGTCGAGCATTATGTGCCTTGTGTCGACAGGTACTTCCCGTTCGCGCCCCTTGAACTGACTCTGACGTTGACTCTTCTAGAGCAATGCCGCCCTTGTTCTACGACACCACATTGTGTCCCCTGGCGAACCGGACGAGGTGTTCAAACGACTCCTCCAGCTGTGCGACTACCATCTTGACGTCTTCCCATTGTCAAGCGGACGCAGCGGCTCAGTGAGCGGCCAGGTATAATTAGTTTGCGCACCAACAGATCTCTCGTTCACGAGCTGATGTCGCATGTGATGTATAGGTGGCTTTGCATTGTGGGCATGCTTCAGCGGAGGCAACAAATCGACTGATCTCGCGGAACGCTGCCGTGCAATATCGACTGACGGATACAGGGAGCACATTCTTCGATCGGGGGACGGGCAATGGCGTGCTATGAGTAACCAGACCTGGAGCAGTACTGTCAATTCAACAGTGCCCATAGCTTGGCGTTGTCTCAGTTGGCGATGTGAACCACCGAGACCAGAAGTATCTGCCGTCATTGGTCGAGACGGTAGAAACCTCCCTGACGAACACAACGACATGTTGGGATGAAACAGGAAGGTGATCGATACCTACACAGTGCAGTAGTCTGCAAGGCTGGTCGAATAATGTAAATGCTTGTTGGTGGTACAAATATTGGATATGAGAAGAGAAGCGCCCACATGGAGTGTCTCCATGCGCCGCGGTGCCACACGTCAAGCAGGTTGCACGCTGCTTGACCTGCCATCCGCCTTGTCCTCCATCCAGCGATCTTGTCTACAGGCTTCCAACCTTTCCTACCGCAGAGTGTATGGCCCTGTAGATCAGGGCCTTCTACATTGCATCTCTGCTCTACAGCAGCTCTCAGGCTACCCAAGTTTGCTCCTGCCAGCCGCTGCATGCTTGCTGTTCGTCAAGATCCTATCCCGTCGCTTCTCCCACCGTTCTACCGCCTAGGATCACTCCAACACATCTTCGTGTCTCTCAAGCCCTTTACACTCGGACGCATGATTCATATGCCTCTCCCATACCAACTCTCAGCCAGCAACCGAAACCTCCCGCGCCGGTCGGACAGTCTACACAAGGTCAACAAGGCCCCCTACTTCTCTGAGGTCGACGATGAGTTGAGGGATATCAGGCGGGTACACTCCCAGGGGCAGGAAGAGGATCTAAGGTATGCTCTCAGCCGGACGATCAACAGGATAGAAGAACTCGTATGTCCCCAAACCTTCGTCGTCCGGACATTTGCCTCACTGGAAGTCCCTCGTGGGCCACAACCATAGACATCAATGCTCAAAGAGGCCTATAAGGCGCAAGCAGATCTCCAAACCGAGCTAACTCTCGCGAAATCAAACCTCCAGATGGCCCTTGCTAACAACGAGATGCTAGAGGATGCCCTCAAGCGCGATCCCGGACACTCCAAAGACATCGGCTGGCGCCGTATGAGTGCCCGCGAACAAAGTCTGAAGGCCGAGGCGGAGGCTGAGCGTAGACGGAGTACAGACAGTCTGACTTCGACCGACGCCTCATCCTCCCCAACGCTCTCCCAGCCCTCATCTGCCGCGGAACACTCCCCTGTTGTTCTGCGATCGGCGACGATGCCATCACCAGCGCCCTCGTCGACTACCGAGAACCGGTTCTTCCGGTTTCGCTTTGGCAATGGACCCTCATCGTCAAGTCATCCCTCCTCCCCGCGGCTGTCTGCGGGACAGTCGCCTGTAGCCAACGGCTCACACCTCACCTCGGCTTCTCTCCCCTCCCTTGTACCTGCACGGGACTGGGACAAGGAGATTGAGGAACTTCAACATCAGCTAGAGGCTGAGCGGAACGCCCGCAAGCAGACAGCCGATGCGAAGGCCTCCCTTGAGGCCGAGATTGAGTCGCTTTCGCAGGCGCTCTTCGAAGAGGTGAGCAGAGTAGGGCTGTCAGATCGCGCTCCTTCTGATAACGCATCCTTCAGGCGAACAAAATGGTCGCCACGGAGCGCATGAAACGTGCCGAAACCGAAGAGCAGCTGCGGGAAGCACGGGAGCAGGGAGAGGCCTTGAAGAACGTCCTCCGACTATTCGAGCACGACACCGCCGCAGGGAAGACACGCGCGTATGTCGTGGATGGGATCAACGACGGAACGCCCGTCGCTCGCTCACGTCATCGAGCCTCTTCATCTGCGGTCGGGATCAAGTCGCCCTCGTCTGGTGTACCGTCTCCGCAGAGCTCGCGTCCCAACACGCCCGTTCAATCACCCAACGACGTGCCATCGTCCGCGCGGACGGTCACCGCGGATCCCTCGTCGACAGCCTCCTTGGAGGGTATATCCATATCCGGTGCCTCTGCCGCCGTGCCCCAGCCCGAACCCACAGCAGCGCCATCAGTTGTCGAGGTGAAGTCCGACGCGTCTGTGTCGACCGGCATTGAGTCTTCACCATTACCCTCCAGCAAGAACACGCTTCCGCACATCTCCCCATCGCCACCTGCATTGTCCGCATCTCAGTCACCTTCACCTGTGCCGTCCCCTTTGTCTGCCCCCGGCCAATTCCTCTTCACGCCTGCTCGGCCCGTGAATTACTACGAGGGCGAGGAGTCCCCATGGGCAGACGCCACCTCTGCTTCATCGGCCAAGGTCTCCACATGACGTCGCCTCCCTTCCATTGCTGGCCTTCGTTGATACACTGATGTCGAGCATCTACCTCTCGTATCCCTCTCTAAACGCTCTGTCTTGTAGTGACACCCAAACTCGTCTCCCGTGTGGCCCAAATGTTGGTCCAAATCTATATTCTGCAAAGTCCATTTCTCTCTGCGTGACTTGGTTTATCCATCGTATGCATCTATTAAGGGCACACGTTCAGAAGATTATGTACAGCGACGTCGTAACATACTTGCTTCCTGGAAGAGGACCAGTAAAAGCGATCTGACATACATCTACACGAGCACTGCACCTTTCCCCCTGTAATCAATGCGCTTGATGCGTGAGCTGAAGTACCAGTAGAGCACACCATGACATCGCTGGGATAACAACACAATAGGCTATGTACAGCGGGAACGCCGGTGCTACTAGTGATACGTACGGCGTGCGCATGGGGAAGGGGCGCAGTTGGACGGCACAACGCGTTCAACAACTAAATGACTCTTGCGGTGGAAGAGAGGAAGCGGAAGAAAATATAGGATACAATAGGCAAACGTACAACCGTCAACAACAAATCAGCATTGTGACAAACAGTTTGGGCGTCTGGGCGGGGACCGACGGCGAGCGGGCGAAGGGCACGGCGACTGGAGGAGAGCAGCTTCGACACGTCCAACACCAGCAAGGCCAGGCCTTGAGAGAAAGCGTGGCTATAATGCGGGGCACACACCATCGTCTCTTATGCGGCTTCGGACATCGTTACGTCGGCGAGGATCGACTCGTCTCCCGCGCCGTTGGCAGGGCTGGCGTCATCGGTCTTCATCGCATCGTCTTTGTCTGCCTTGGTGCCGTTCTCCTTCGCCTCCTCGGCCTTACCGTTCGCTGTGACGGCATCTTCCGTGTCGGCGGCTTTACGGTTGCCGTTCGTTGCGGGCTTCGCCACGTCGGGAGCGCCGTTGGTCTTGAGGATGTCGTGCCACTTGTCGACAAGGACTTTGGCTCGCTCCCGGAACTTGAACTCGTCGTCGCGGGGCACCTTGTCGTCAGACAGGACGTGTATGTGGCGCATGACCTTGCCGATCTTCGAGAACTAGGGCGCGGGCGGAGGGCGGATTATCAGCCTCATTACCTGACACAACAATAACAAAGGGTGATGGCAGAGGCGATCCGCGCGGGAACGCCCCGGGCCACGCGTTGCCAGCAAAGCAAGGCTGGGGCGAGTGCCTCCAGGGGAGGACGGTGAGGGAGCAGTAAGACTCACCAGTAGGTACTCCATGGTCATGTTTGGATAGTTCTCTACCGTGGAGAATAACTGGTCAAGTGCGGGCATCTCCTGCAGACATCGCGAATCAGTCGTCGCTCCTAGATGGGCTTCAAATGCGACCTACCTCCTCCTTCGGGACTGCCTTCTGATTGAGGAATGCCTTCTGTAGCTTATGCCGCCATTCCCTGACCTTCAGAGCCTCGGGGTCGTTGAGCAGAGCAGCTGGGAGATGGTGAAACGTGTATTACACGGAATAAATCGAAAAAGCATATTGATCAGTCGGGATAGCAGGTCAATTGGGCTTGCTGCTCACGATCAACATCATCCTCCTTATCGCGTTTGGCCTTCTTTGCGGGCGGAGGAGAGGTGCGCTTGCTGGCACCCTCGTTCTCGCCCTCGGCGGCACCTTCATCCTCGGATTCGACCAACGCCTTGGACTTGGGGCCGTTCTTCTTGCCCTTTGCAGGGGTCGCCTTGGCTTTGTTAGCAGGCTCCGCAGACGCCTTCTTCGCCTTGGCCTTGGATTTCGCTGGGGCAGCATCCGAGTCACGCTTGCGCTTCTTGGTGGTCTTCTTCTTCTTGTCCTCGTCGTCGTCTGGTTCTTCCTCGCCGTCGCTCTCGAGTTGATCGACCTCCGCGTTGGCCTCCTCCTCCTGCGCCTCTGCTACTGCAGCGTCCTTCTCTTCCTCCCACGCCTTGGGATCGAGGGCGATGCGGTAACCCTTCAGGAGATCGCCAGAACGCTTGAAGGGTTCGGCGATGTAGGCCTCAATCTCGTGTTGCTGCAGCCTGGAGATGTCTTTGGGAACTATCCACGCGCTGTTTTGAGGGCGCGCGGGGCTTCATCAGCACTCCAGCATACGAAGACGTGGATGGGCACTCACTAGTCACCGGCAGGGAAGAAGCGCACGCAATACCAGTTGCCCTTTTTCGTCTTCGCGTTCGGACGCTCCTTCGCGACGGCCTCCGGGACAGTATCAGGGTCAACGATCTACGCGTTCAAAAGGGCGGTGTCAGCACATGGACAGCAATGGGGGATGCGTGGAACGCGGAAACGCGACGGAAGAGAGAGAAGAGACTGACCATGCCGGGCCATGGGGGAAAGCCGCGGACCTTGGCGAGGACGATGTCGCGGACCTCGTAGGTTTGCTCCTTGTTCTGGGACTGGGACTTTGCGCCCTTTTTGCTCATGGCTGGGGACTAACTGCGCGTTGTACGGGGAGGGCGGGAGAGACGGTGTCGGGCGGAGGATGGCGCCTGGGCAGGAGACACTGCGAGCTGGAGGGAGTTGGTGGTCCACTGCAAAGGTTGAATCCCTTCGCTCGGCAATCCCCGCCGTGCGGCACCCGGCCAAGGGGGCCCGTGCGCTTCTTGCTCTCATCCCTCTCCACTGTCGCTCGATACACAGTTTCAAACCCCAGGCCTCTCCCCGCGCTATCTACACACATCAGACATACGGACACGCAGCGCAGACGACATGACACATAGCGGATGTTTTCCGTCCGTCCCCGCCCGCTGCCGCAGCCGTCGCGCCCCCAGGCCTGCAGCGAATCCATCCCAGACGCTCGGCTCGCTCCGGTGGCCTGCACATGAGTCGTCGGTGTCTTCATCGTGAGACAACGTGTCCAGTCGCGGACTGGACGATAACGAGGGAAGGGCGTTGGGCGCACGCTGCAGGGGCTGCCTCCACTCACCCGACGATTGCCATCGACCCTCTCCATCCGTATCATGTGAGCGGGCGGCGAACAGGCCACCGAGCCGCTGTAACGATACCGAGCATATCCATGGATGTGTCCCAAAGACGTACTCCTTGACGAGCCGAAAGTACTGATGCCCTGACACGAGGTGACTAAAGCACACTAGCGTAGCTGAAAGTCGTGCTCACCTTGCTTCTGTATAAATCTACTTCCATCCCGACCGATATGACCTGTGCACCGCCCAGCGGAGAGCCAGAGCAGAACTGAAGACATGGAGGTATTACGAGCACGAGAGTGAACGATGTCAGTGGTGTCAGACATCGTATGCGGACTTCCCTGCGTGAACCTGTTGCCGAGCTTCTTGGAACTTTATGCGGAGACCCGTGCAGTCAAATGTCGACTACCAGCGTCGTCGCGGACTAGATTCGGATGCAATGCATTGATTTAGGGGTGGATACAAGGCACGATACGTTTTCGGGGAAGAAAGAAAGCATGTGTGGTTGGCACGGACGATGCTGAAAGCTGAATTTATCTCGCAAGGGCCGGTTCCATGATTACTGAACATCGGCCGGCCGGCCCGTGTGCTCGACTTGTCGGACTAACTCGCCCATACTCGGGCACCCTGGGAGGTAATATAGTGGTTCAATATGAAATATGAAAGGCCAGCGCGAGTGCGCCGACCGCGGCGTACGAGTACAGTGCAGCCTTAGGAAGAAGCCACTCCTTATAAAGCACCACAGGTCACAGGCTCAGATGTTCCTCATATCGCGTCATCCGACACTAGACCTCAGGATTCCGTGCGAGCCCCTCTTTATCATACTATCTACAAGCTGCTGTCACTGACCATCGCATTGTATGCCTCCCAACCTCAGGTGAAGTCGCGATGACCGACAGCTCGAGCAGCAATTTCTCCAGCATCCCAATACTAGATTGGTCTCTTCTATCCACCACCGAAGGGCACGCCAAGTTTGTCGAGCAGCTTCGACATGCGCTCATCAATGTCGGCTTCCTCTACCTCTCGCATCCACCGGTTGCGCGAGAGGATGTAGAGGCCTTGGTAGAGTATACGCCGCGACTCTTCGACCTCCCACATGAGGAGAAAGAACGCATCCTTATGGCCAATTCTCCCCACTTCTTCGGATACTCCCGGCTCGGAGCGGAACTGACCAAGGGCAAGACGGACCAAAGAGAGCAATTCGATTTCGGGACACCGTACGAGAACCAGTGGAAACCAGGTGACCCAGAGTACCTCAAGCTCTGGGGACCTCTTCAGGCATGTGCGCTTCGAGAGTTTTCAGGAATATGACTGACTGGTGATACGAACAGTGGCCTCCGGAAGAGCTACTGCCCGGTTTCAAGGCGACGTACCTCCGGTACTTGGACCAGGTCGAGCAGCTCAGCTACGACTTCATCAGACTCATCGCCGAGGCCTTCGAAGTCCCAGAGGAGGCCTTTGCTCCTTTTCTCGGTGGCGATGCGAAGCCCAAGCCGGGTGTCTTGCAGCACCGTTCGAAGATCGTCAAGTATCCAGCCCGCAAGGAGGGCGATTCCGACCAGGGCGTCGGGCCGCACTTCGATGGGGGCTTCTTGACGTTTGTGCGTGCGCCCACTTCATAGAAGGCCGGCTGTGTAGTGATGACTGCTTGTTCGGTCTCGCAGCTGCTCCAAGTATCCGACCATCCGGGCCTGCAGGTGCAGAACCTTGCGGGCGAGTGGATCGATGCCCCACCCGTCCCTGGTACCTTCGTTATCAATCTAGGGAAAGGTAGGCTTCTCGTGGTTCCGCGGCTGTGAGGGGTGTATTGTCGGTGCTCACCGTCCGGTCGTCTCAGCTTTGGAGACCGTCACGCAGGGACTCGCGCGCGCGACCTCGCACCGCGTGCTATCGCCACCGCCTGGTTCCACGCCTCGCTATTCGATCCCCTTCTTCCAGAGCATCGCCCAAGAGATATGCATCGGCGACCTTGTACTGGACTGTGAGTTGATCTGACTGCAGTTCACGCCATGAGCATCTGGTTCATCAGACTTGTGCAGTCAAGCCGGAGATCTTGAAACTCAAGGATTCACGTGGACAGACTGGTGTGGTGGATTGTGAGTCTTCTCGCTCGCTGCATATGCTCAGACTGGTGTTTAATGCTTCCATTGCGTATAGCGGTCAACTATCAGGAATATGGGCAGTATCCCTCTGGCTATGTGAACCTGATCGGTCGTGTCAAGTGAGTGGTGACTTTCATCAGCTCGCAGAATGAGTGCCGAATGAATGCGTAACAGGAGCCATCCTGACGTCGCAGAGAGACATTATCCTGACATGTTCAAGCAATTTTTCCCTCAAGGCCTTCCTGCGCAAGGCAGCGCGTACTAGACGGTCTGTATGTGCAAGTCGCCAACGGGATGAGAGCAGACATGTATGGTTTCGAATTCGAAACCGGTATGTTGTATTAAGCCAAATGCACGGATAAATGGTTGCGGGTAATTGATCCGCATAGATATCTATGGAGCCGAGAGAGAACCGAGAACCATGAAAGGAGTGAGGGAGCGTCGCCGGTGTATAATAAGGAGAACGCTGGAGAGGACAACGAGCGTCGAGGCGAGGAAGTATGCAGCGTGATTAGTGACGTTCGAGTTTGACGCGGATACGAGAGTCCCTCCGTTTCCTCTCCACAAGGAGATAGCTCACTGAATGAATCAAATATTAGGCTCGGGCTACCCTGCAAAAACGGATGAGCTCACCAATAAACTTGTCAATCGCCTCTACGATCTCCGGGAGGGGCTGCACCTCGAAATAGGCGTGCTTGGACATCCTGAACACGAACAAATGCCGCCTATGCGGGTGAAACTCGGCAACGGCCTTCTTCTCGGGATCATCTGCCCTCACGAGCTGCAGTCACGCATCACTACAACAGGTTATGGCTCAGCACGGCTCGCAAATGCGCACCTGGAAGCGTCCGTGGTGGGTCTTCCACCTATACTCGACTCCCCCGATGGCCTGGAAAGTACCGCCACTACTGATGACGTCAGTGCGTCGAGTATCAGCACCGACACAACCTGCTCCGAGCTGGAGCGAGAGCCTTTGGGGCAAAGCACTCACACTCGATCAGGGTCGAACTTGAGGAAATCCGTCGCTGACTGCCAGGGGCTCTTGTCGCCACCGAAACGCACGCGAGGCTCACCCGACTGGAGGCCCTCGATCTCTGCGACGGTGACGAGCTCGCGCGTTTCCATGTCGAACTTGTTGATCTTGGTGAGGTTCGGGTGCCAGAAACGCGTCACGATCTCGAAGTACATCGAGTCGTCGTCCGTGGCCAGCGTGGTGTTCCTCAGACTGTTCATCGTGAACTCGAGCTTCTGTGGCGGCTTCGGCTTTGCTGCGGGAGGCATGATGGTGAGGTAGTGCTGGAGATAGAGCCGACAGGCACGAGGTGTCGGTCGATGGAGGGAGGTATGCGACTGTGTGCAAAGACTGTCAGTCTGGGGGCGCAAGGGGGGAGGCTTAGAGGCGGGTACCTGAGTATATAGGGCGGCAGGACCGATAGAGCTCCGAGCATTGTGCGATACACGTCAGTGAGAGTCCCATCTTTCTGCGCACACCGCCATGCGCTTGGTACCCTCCGAGCGTGCGGAGCCGGCGACGTCTCCCACAGCGGGGACCAAACGTCTCAACGTGCCGTAGATTCATGTCGGCTCCCTCTCTGCCGGGTCAAAGGGGCTGTCACTTTTTGTGGGTGATTGCCACCGGAGTCACTGCGCGTGGGCGTGCCGCCGTGAGATGCAGGGACGTTGGACGGGCGTGCCATTGGCGGCGGCTAGGAAAGGCGCAGAGCTGAACCTTACGGAGGCAAATTATCGCACAGCCAGTCGTACGGACCAGTGTCGGTGAGAGGATGTGCGGAGTCCACGGAAATTCGTGAGAAGAGCCCTAAGCGCTGTGGATGTGGAGGGGATTCTATCCCAAAAACATGGGTACGGTATGCTTGAAGTATCGACGTGTTCCAGAACATTCTCAAGGTATGTTGAAACTTGGGACATTTGCTGTCGATCAGGTAGGGAACGCCTTCGTGCGGATGACTGACGGCATGGAAAAACGCAGCGTTGAGCCAGTATACTTCGTCTGGCCGGCTGGACGCTGATGCACGGACATTGACAGGAGTCAATCGCGCAGGAAGAATGCAAGGACGCCGATTGCGTGAGGCCCGGGTATGCGCACTGCACCAATCTGTAACGGGGTGTTTCGTAACGCCAGGAGCGCTAGCCAAGAGCTGGGTCCAGCAGTGCCTCGTGTCACGAACGCCTGCAGTCTGGCTATATTGGAACGAGATGGCGCATCCCGATCTCATTTCCAAACAAAGCCTCTGCGAAGACGTCCGGCTCCTGGTCAGGCGCGTTTATCCACGGAGAGCAGGGGAAGTGAGGGAAGCTGGGCCGGCACATAACATCAGATTGGCTGTTGCAGTAGTGTCAAAGATTGTGATTGCCATTGGAGCTCTCCAGAGGCGTATCGGAGATACTCTTCAGTGCTGGAAGGCGTTCACACGTCCTGGACGTGGCACGTCAGCTCAACGTAATCTATGAATGTCACAGTAAGCATAGAAGCAACATGCGAGAACTTGGGATGCAACCACATTGCGACGCTTCATTGTATGGCAAACCCACCGAGGAGCAGGCGAAACTATTGAGTAGGACTTCAATAGGCAAGGTAAGTAATCTAGGCGAGCCGCCAGCGACTGAGAGTGCTTCTGGAACGCAAATCGGCAATCTCGCCGACGCAGCAGTATGACGTAGGGTTAGGGCTACGCAGCAGACATGAGATATTCGTGACGCACGTCGCATACTTACCAAAGAGCAACGCGACAACAGCAATCACTGACCGCCATCTGTCCGCTCTACCAGTCTCCCATCCCATCTCGTAGTAGGGCGTTGGGCGCCACAGCTTGGTCTCGATGGCTCTTACGCAACGCTTGAAGAAACGAAACAGGTCGGATTCTGCCGTTACAGGCTCTCAGCTGGACGAGCAGCAACAGGCGGCCAATGTTCATAATGAGATTCAAGAAGACGTAAAGGATACATTGAAGGATTTGAAAGGCAAACAGAAGGAGTTAGAAAAGCGAAAAGTATGTGCGCTTTATGTGATTTCCATACCTCCGTCTTAGGGAAGGCATCTCACGTACCCCCAATAGGATGGTCGACGGTTCTACACGACACGCCGCTTTCTCTTTCCCCTGGGATTGTTGTGTGAGCACGGATCTCGCCATCGCTTCTCCCGCGTTAACCGCAAGTGTTGTCAGTGGGAATACTCGTCGGGGTCGTCTTGATTCACCCCAACGACTTTTCGGATTTCCAAACACATCTCGCCCTTCTCATGGATGAATTTGACATCACTATACCCGAATTCTCCCCTCTGGAATTCCCCCTCATGAACTTCACACGGGTTGAAATGGAGTGGCAACGACTATGGAAGAACATTCCCGAACCTTGGAAGCTCAACAACAATGGATTGGAATTCACCGTGGGCGAGAAGATCGCCGCAAAAGGTCTCTCAGCGAAATATCCCGTCGTCCTCGTTCCTGGAATAATCTCAACCGTATGTCGCTTGAGCCTCGTCTAATGAGTCGTATAGTGACAATATCACCACTTTGCCAGGGTTTAGAGTCTTGGTCTACTTCGCTTGAGTACCGGCCGTTCTTCCGCAAGAAGCTATGGGGTGGTTTCTCGATGATCTCTCAGGTCACATTCAACCGCGACAAATGGATCGCCGCTCTCATGTTAGATCCAGTGACCGGTCTTGACCCACCTGGCGTCAAGGTCAGAGCTGCTGAGGGAATAGATGCTGCGAGCAGCTTCATACAGGGATACTGGCTCTGGTACGTTCATGTCTGTAGTAGTGTCCCTGGCAATATAATGGAGAATATGTTGAAACCAATTGGCCTCAGGTCGAAGATTGTGGAGAACCTCGCTGTGGTTGGGTATGACACAAACAATCTCCATCTTGCGCCGTATGATTGGCGTCTCTCCTTCTACAATCTCGAGGAACGTGACGGATATTTCTCTAAACTCCGGGCTACTATCGAAGGCTTTGTGTACGCGTCAACCCCTATGCCATACTCAAGAAAAGGGTGGATATGCTGACCGATTATTAGCGCTCGTGAGAATCGCAAGGTGGTATTGAGTGCCCACTCGATGGGAAGCACGGTAAGTTCACCGGTCGTGTTCGCTGTACAGGTTGATTTCTGAGACTATGGCTGCGCAGGTGATTCTGGTACGTTGCCATGCTGCTGAACGTGTGCATTAATCGATTCTAACTGTTGATGCAGTACTTGTACGTTGGAGTACCGTGACCACACTCAGTGACACTCACCTGATTCGGTTAGTCTGAAATGGGTCGAGTCGCCTCTCCATGGCAAGGGTGGCCCCGACTGGGTCGAGGTGCGACATAGTACGCTTTGAACCTCCGTTCGCCCCCTAATGTATCTCTAAGAACCATATAGAAGCGTTCATCACCATTGCTGGGACGCATCTGGTACGTCTTGTCGGTCTTCCTGCAATGACCGTATCTAGCGGGTGCTGAAGTACGCTACAGGGCGTGGTATGTGCGGCGATAATCCGTTTCTAGCCAAGTCCTTACGCGACCGACGATGTAGGCCAAGGCCATGTCAGCTTTCCTCTCTGGTGAGATGAAGGATACGGTTCAGATCAACCCAGCTGGCGCATACGGTAAAGCAAATCTATCGACGGCCCATGCACAGTAATTCATGGATCGTTTCATAGTGCTCGAGCGGTTCTTCTCTCGTAAGGAGCGGCAGAAGCTCTTCAGGAGTTGGGCAGGGAGCGCCAGCATGTGGATCAAGGTGCGTCGTCGACCAAGAGGCTGTTCGAGGTCAAATTGATTGCAAGCGTACGTTGTAGGGTGGTGACGATGTCTGGGGCAACGTGACCTTTGCGCCAGATGATCGCGCCAACGCAACCCATAGCCACGGGCCTCTGATCGCGTTCCGGGCAAGCTCCCCAGCTCTGGACGGCGATAGCGACCTTTACAACATGACGTCGGGTCCGGCTGGAACGTGGATCCTCGAGCGCACGCCGACTACATTCCAGGTCCGTATCTTTCCCCTGCTATTATCCCTTCTGTAATTCACGGGAATCCCTAGAAAATGTTGGCGAGCAATTACTCGTTCGGTCTCGAGCGAGACGTTGAGAAGCTCAAAGCGAACAACCTCGACTTCACAAAGTGGACGAACCCGCTCGAGATCCAGTAAAGTCCTCCTTCAGGCCACAGTTGGTCGGCCATACTGACAACCGGGGACGTCTCCGTCGTCAGGCTTCCCAATGCACCCTCGATGAAGATCTATTGCGTATACGGCCACGGAAAGGACACGGAAGTACGCACAGCCGTCCATCCCTCTCCCACACTCGCAGGATGCTAACTGGCGGGCGGCGACGCCCGTGCGCAGCGGTCGTACTGGTACACCCAACAAAACTACGAATACGACGAGATCCAGCCGGACTCGCCCGTCGCGCTCTGCGCGGAGGACGACCCGGCGCACGAGGGCAACTGCACCTCGCCGCGCCCGCCGCTCGACATGCCCATGTACCGCGCGACGTACATCGACGCGGAGTACACGGACGAGGCGATCGACCCGCCCGTGATCAACGGCGTGAAGATGGGCGAGGGCGACGGGACGGTCAGCCTGCTCAGCTTGGGCGCCATGTGCGTCGAGGGCTGGAAGAGGGAGCGGTGGAACCCCGCGGGGATCAAGGTGACGACGGTCGAGGTGAGTCGCGTGTATTGTAGATGTCAAGGCGAGTGAGGTACAGGCGAGGCTGACCAGCCGGCCTGAAGCTGCCGCACAATCCGGTTGCGACGATACCCCGTGGAGGAGGGACGACCAGCGACCATGTCGACATCCTCGGCGCGACGGGCTTGAACGAGATCATCCTGCAGGTTGCTACGGGCGCGGGGGACGAGGTCAAAGATTCGTTCGTGTCCAACATACGGGAGTATGCGAAGCGGGTCAAGTGGGATTGAAATCGCCGGGGCCCTTTCTTTGTTACGGCCACTCTAATAATAGGACTTACTAGTAGTGGGAATACTTCCCTACCACATACCTACCGTGTTTGGTACCTAGGAGCCACCCTCTAGACTATGATACGAATTTGATACCAATAGGAACGGAATGACCGGGGAGTAGCCTCACTTCGCTTGAAAGCATGTAGCAGGGACGACTAGAGATAAATGTGCAGCAGAGCGGAGTGAATGGCGCCAGGATATAGAATGAAGTCCGTGCATTGAAGCGACCGCATTATATACAAAGCCTAAAAGGCGAGAAGTCGTTTACAGATCCACACCGGTCGATTGACCTCTTTATGGACTCGGCTCCACCTTCCGCAGGCCCAGCTCGCCCCTCTTGAGCCGCAGCACGTATCCCCCGAGCTCCTCCTCTTCCAAACTGTTGAGCCCATTCCCATGTTCGGCGTGGATCACCCGACGGGCGTTGACCTTGTTCAGCACCATGCGGATCTCCGACTGCGGGTCCGCGCCCGCCTCCGGGATTGCCGCGGGGATGCGCGGGCTCTGCGGGGAAGACGGGAAGTACGCCGAACGGGGGGAAGGCGGGGTCGACGGGGCGGAGTCGCATTCGTGCACCTGCACCCGCAGCTGCCGACGGAGGAGCTGCTCGAGCTCGGACGGGTCCAACAAGGGCGCGCGGACGTCGAACAAACGGGAGACATCGGAGTCGGTGCCGCTCTTGGTCGAGAATGGCGCCCCTGGGGAGGCGGGTGCGCGAAGGATCTCCAGCTTTTGGCGGACTGACTCGTGTTGTTCCGGCGTTGTGGGGTCGAAGAGGTGGACGCAGAAGTCGAGAGCGCGTTGGACCTCGTCTTCCGAAAGCCTGGTGCCCATGTCGGCGCCGCCTTGGATGACTACACGGGAGTGTCAGTGAACCCCTTCGCGTTCGATACCGATAACAATCTCTACCTGGTCGTAAAAATGCAAATGCCTTATCAAAGTTGTTTTCTTGGATGTCGGCAAGTACATTCACTGACTGAGCTCTGATCTGCTTGTATGCACTCAGCACGACAATGAGGAACCTAAAGAAGTTTACCAATTAGTTGAATCGAGGACTCCACAACGGATAGCGTACCTCGTATATGAGAGCGAGACGCGGCTACTATGCCACCGAGCAGCGTCTGCTTCCCTGCAGTGACCCCGGATGGAGGCTGCTATCGAGGCGGCAGCAGAAAGCGCCCCGGTCATGGCAAGATGAACACCCGAAGAAAAGAATGGATCGATAAACGCTGATGGAGCATTGTCAGGACGCAAGCATAACGGTGTCGGGTGCGTCAAAACGTACCTCCAGCATCACCAACGAGTCTGAAGCCGGGACCGGCGTACTCAGTGGCAGAGTAGCTGTAGTCGCTGGCGCTCCTAGCAACGGGTGGTTCCTCCTCGCCGTCATCCTCGTCCGTCTTTACGGCCACAAGCTCCCCATCGCCGATGAGGTCCAAAACTCCCGGAGCAAGCTGGAGAAAGGAAACATAGCGCCCCGCCAGGGTTGAAGCCGTGCGCGCAGAGATAGACGGGCGACGACCGCCGGGCAATGGTGAGTTGGTGGCGGAGGATGATGCCCTGGAACGAATTCCGAGTTGTTTCTGATCCATGACAACACCCACAGACGTGAGGCCCTTGTGGAGAGGAATGAACCACGCCCAACCAGATTCGTCTATGGCGTAGGGTCAGGATCGGGCTAGAAGCGTGACTGAGAGGATCCGCTTTACCACTCAATGCTTCGAAGAACGGGGCGTTCTGACGAGATGTGCCTTCTCCGTACATGTCAGTGTTCTTCCAGTAACCCCAAACAGCCACGTTCTTGAGCGAGGCGTTGAACTTGCGATTCTTCAGGTACCTTCACACGTAGACCTCGTTAGACGTGGGCGGGGGAACGACCGGTCAGGCACACCCACTTTGTGCTCATGATGCCGGCGCGCCCGCTGGCGTCTACGAGATAGTCGAAGGTGATCTCGCGTTTCGCACCGAAAGCGGTTTCGTAGACGACGCTTTTCGGACGGCCGAGTTCCGAAGCGGGCGGATTGGAAAACTCCACTGTACTTGGCCGCCGTTGACCGGGGATACGCTGACCGAAACACGAGTGGGGAGGCTGGGGGGCTGGTTGCAGAGGAACCTGGGAGGACGACGCGTCCTCGAAGGCGACGTCTACGACGCGAGTTTGCTCGTAGACCTTTGCTCCGCACGAGGCAGCGTGCTTGAGCAGGAGATGGTCGAATTGGGAACGCACGACGTTCCAGGCGTTGTTGGTCGCACCGAGGGCGACGAAGTCTGTGTCTACGGAGAAGGCGGCGTCAGCGTGACGTTTCGAGTCAATTGGGTGAGGGAAGCAGTGACAGGGAAGGCCGTCGACTTACATCCTTCTTGCATAAATTGGTTAAATTTGATGGCAGATCCGGGCTGTCGACGAAAAGTGGTTAGAGAGGATGACTGACTTCGGCGATGGATTTACCTTTGGGACGAATCCGTAGGAAGCGACTTTGTCCTCAGCATCGATGAAGCGCAGGTAGTGGCGGACGGATGGCAATAAGGATTCGCCGATGTGGTACCTGATAATGACCGTGTAAATACGCTTTGGAATAATATGTCATGGGGGCGGGACCAACCGGGGGAATTTTGCGGCCTCGAAGACCACGACGTCAAAGCCCTCGCGGGCGAGGACAGAGGCGGTGTAGCTGCCGCCCGGGCCACCGCCAATGACGAGGATTTGGGCGTGCTGGACAGTAGAGATTGGGCATACTAGTTGTAGCATATATAAGGATGAAGGAGAAGGGGGAGAGCGAACCTGTGGCATGTCTGCTGAAGGCATGATGGGCGAGCAAGAGTGTATATATGGCGGACGAAAGAGGATGGTGTGGAGCAGTGGTGCGAGCACGAACAAAGCAGGTGTAATGCGGCCAAAAAGGAAGTGCAATGAAACAAGAAGGAGCGGAGTAGTCGAGGGGAGCAGGACAAGGCGATGGAGGCCGGTGGGTGAGGGGAGGAGATTTATAGCTGCGAGCGGTGGGAATCTGGCGGAGGTTTTGAAAAGAAAGTGCAGGCGATGTGACATCACACTCGACGGGCAGAGCGAATGGCAGACGGGAAGATGCGCTCGCAGGGGATTGATGCAGTGAACGGGGAGCACATCGCGAACAGACGACGACTCGGAAATTTCGATGGTTGTTCACACACGCCGATGCCGAGGCCAACAGGAGCGTTAGAAGGCCGAGCACTGACAAGGAATGCTCTACAAAAGCTCCCCGGCGATCGCAGAGCTTGACCATAAGCAAGACTCTGAGGCAGCCACCGCGGACAGCCCTCGTCCGGAGAGGTCTGTAGACACATGAGGCTGAATGTTTGGAGGTAGGTACAAGAATGTCAGGGAGCGAGGTTGAAGCTGCAGGATGAGCGACTTCCGACGAGAGATTCTGTCAACTCCAGCTCCATCCTCCACCCAATTCCGGCGCCTGTCACAGTCCCGTCACATTCCATCTTGGACAGATCCTCCCAATATTCTGAGTCGCACAGACTTCCGCCACCCGCCGTCGTACCCTTGCGCTGGCCCACTGCAATCATCCGCGGTAAGTACCCCTGCTCTAGCTCTGGCCTCGACTCTACCGTACACAGCGTGTACGTCCCCGCCCTTTGCTCCGCGGAATTCCTTTTCTCTAGATCGCGACATGAACGGCCTTTCTCTCCACACTTTCTACAACATCCCCTTCCCAAAGGCATCTTGCCAACCATTCTTGGCTTGCGCTCGATCTACATCCTTCCAGGCCTTCTCTTTGACCGCCTGTCCCTCTCCTTCTTCTCTTCCAGATCTGGTCCACTATTTCCGAACCTGCCGCCCATATGTTTGTCACCAATATATCTTCCGTCCCCTCACCCGAAGCTCCTCTCCATCTGATCTGCACCCTCGTCCTCCTCTCGTGGCCATGACTGTGCCGTGCCTGGTCTGCCGTACGCCCATGCACATGGCCCGGATCGGACCATGGTACGTTTCGACCCGAAATGAGGGATCTGCGGTTAGGACATAACCATGGGCTTCTTCCCGGACCCGTCGGCACACGAGGTGGTTCCCAGCAGTGCTCGTCGCCCCGGCCTGATCTCGTATGCGCCTGTGTACTTGGCTAAGTTGGCTTAGCAGCCTTCCCTTTCGGGCCAGCTTGCATCCCGCGGCCGACCTCGTCGTCTTTGCCGGTGCCGGTGACCGGCGACGGACGGCGTGGTCTAGCTTGGCTGCTCTGCTCAATTGCGTATGCCATGACGTCGAGCGACTCGATCCACAAATGGATACTCGGCGTACCATCAATCCTTCTCTCTCGGCACCGGACTCTGCCTTCTCTGCATGTCACGCTGTCACATGAATCTCGACTTTTGGTACAAAGGCGGTCAATTTCTAGCTCTGTTCGCTTGTGGGGTGATCGACAACTCCTGCCGGGGTTACTTCTTCCTTCCCCTAGGAGAGGCTCGCCTTCACCTTGTGCATCAAGTACTTTCCGCCTCCCGCTCATCGTTTCTTATCCAGAATGGTCCAGAGTATGTCATATTATGGCTGCATTACATAGCACGTTGGGCTAGATTGAAAATATACCGCTATCTCGAATCGTGCCTGGCGATGCCTGCCCGTCTCACACCGCCGAACACAGCTAGGATTGACATCTGTGACCGAATAGATGTGCGAGAGTCATTGAATTGATTACCGTTTGCGATGCTCCATGTCAGCGGAAAAAGGCAATAGCACAGGTACGGAAGCAGGCGCTATGAAGGTGTGAGTGTGATATTCTGCCGCCTCCAAATCAGGCAAGCCTAGCGCCCATGATGTCCAGGCTGGAGCGAGGCGAGCGATAGTGACCTTTGTCTCCACCCATCCTCCATGTCCTCTACCGACCCCCCTTCGAGTCCTCTGCTCCTCCATGACCCTTCTGCCCCTCAACTCGTCTTGTCCACCACCCCCCCAGAGGATCCCCCACCTCCGTACCCCTCCGCCCGCCGCACACGACAGAACAGGAGAAGACGTGCGCTACAGGACGGCAGCGAACATTCGCACGCTCATGCTCCTTCCGACGAATACGAAGCCGTCCTCGCTCACTCTGGCCAAACTCATGGACACCCACCACATCATGCCGAGTGCCTTGTTGGCCTAGACGACGTGGAGGCGACGGAGACGACGCCCCTGTTGAGTCCCCCTCGGGACCCCGTCGGGAGCTCTTCGCCCCTCGCTGCTGCGACGCTACCCCCAGGCGCCGTTCGCCGGCGACGGACGCTATCCTTAACCAGCACCCTCAGGTCCAGTGCGTCACTGGCGCCGTCATTCGCCCACACCGTGTTCTCCGCCTTCCACCCTGAGCGCGACTCGGACCTCGACCCGGACTGCCGAGAGGGCGGGGCAGACGACGGCGAGCATGAGGAGCTAGAGCCCGAGCTCGAGAGGGAGGCGGCGCGCGAATACGACCACCAGCAAAGGGCGTTCGCCGCAGATCTGTCGGGGTATGCGCATCGTCAGGCGCAGCGGGCGCAGTCCCAGCAGCTGTCGCTCACGCAGAGGTGGAGGAGGTATTTCCGCCCGCTGAAGCGGAGGGCCTACTACTCGGCGGTATTCCACCTGGTCGTGCTGAACTTCCCGTACGCGCTCGCCGCGTGGCTGTTTATCTTCGTGTTCACCCTGGTGCGTCTCTTTGCTCGGTTCTATCCAACCGCGCGGCACGAGCGCATTGCTGACGTCGCGCCTCACCCATTCTCATGTCGCCGTGTCCGTTGACAGGTCGGAACGTGTACGCTGATGGCCTTGCCCCTCGGCGCCGTCTTCTGCTTCATAGACCTCTTCGGGGCGCGCCTCCTCGCGCGGGGCGAGCTCGCTCTCCAAACGACGTACCACGGCCCGCTCTCGCACCCCCTCCCCCACCCCCCGCTCCCGATCTTCACGCGCACGCGCGCGCCGACCGCGTCGCAGATAGAAGCGGGCGTCCCCGCGAGCGCGCTCGTGCCCGAGACGTCGTTCTACAGGAACGCGTACGCGATGTTCACCGACGCGACGAGCTATCAGGCGCTCTTCTACTTTCTCGTGATCAAGCCCGCCATCACGGTGCTCATGTTCCTGTTCTTCCTGGTGGTGGTCCCTGTCGCAGCAGTGTGCGTCGTCCCGCTGCCTGCGGTCCTGCGGCTGGCGAGGCGGATGGGCATCTGGCAGGCGAATGTGGCGGTGGAGGGGCTCTATTTTGCTGCCCGGTGAGGGGCGGCGTGCGTTCGAGCGCTCCGGCGCGCGATTGCTTGCGGTGCTGCGATGGGGCCTGCGCTTCTGTACTTTATGTCCTTGTAGGTTACGTCTCGAGCTCGTCGCGCCTGGCGATGTTACAGACTACGATGATATTCTCCTCTTGATGCCCACTAGATGCAAATGTGCGCACAAGTGGTCACGTGGCTTTTGCTGAGGTTAGGGTCACAAAAGATGGAGGGAGCATCTTGACTGACTCGTCCGACATCTGCTCATCACCGCGAGCCTCCTCCTTGCCTCACCTCCGACTCGGACATCGCTAACGGTTGTTTCTCTGGTCTTCGTGCTCCCCATCCATCTCGGAGGTCGACCGCATAATCGCTGGACCGATCAGAACAAAGATTCACGCCCGTGCTCAAACTTATAGCATCTCAAGCTCGCCTTCCTTCTCCCCCATCTTCTCCGCTCGCAGCAGCAACTGAAGCAGCAGCCATGTCTCTCACGCTGCCGATTGAGCTCGCGCGTCCGCTGGACGTGCTCCTGATCGACAATTTCGACTCCTTCACCTGGAACATCTACCAGTCCCTGTCTCTGCTCGGCGCGGACGTCACGGTGATCCGCAACGACGCGATCCCCGCCGCCGCGTTCCCGCTGCTCAAGCTGAACTCGCTCATCATCTCGCCCGGCCCCGGGCACCCGACGACGGACTCGGGCATCTCGCGCGAGGCGATCAAGTTCTTCACGGGGAAGGTGCCCATTTTGGGCGTGTGCATGGGCCTGCAGTGTTTGGTCGATGTCTTCGGGGGGAACATCGGGTGAGTGTCCTTTGCTTGTTGCTTTCCTCTACTGGAATCCGCGGGTGCGGTGGCGCGAGCGAGGAAGAGGGGGGAGGTCTCGGAAGCGGAGGGGCCGCATGACGCTCTCCTCCCCGTCCACGCGCGAATCTGCAATCGTGTTCCTCTGTGCGCGATCTGCATCACGCTGCTCGCGTGGAGGCATGGTATCTGCTGCCGAACGTCGCGTCGCGTGCGAGAGACGGGCGCGCGAAGTTCTGAGGACGTTCCTCGCTCGGCTTGGATCTGCACCGTGCTTCCAGGAGTGCTCAGAGCGGAGGCGAAGTCCGCGTACTGCTTCCTTTGGCATGCACGTAGCGTCGGACTTGGATAGCGCAGTGGATATGTCCGTCTTCGTCTTCTGCGCGAGACAGGCCTATGTCTGTGCCGACCGTTTCGCGCGCGATCGTGCGCATGTGCTCATGTCGCTTCTTTATACACTCGAACTTAGAGGAGGACCTGGTCTTCTGCAAGGAGACATAAGGTAGCCTCAGTCCACTTCCAGGGTACTCTTTGCTCGGCTGTATTCAACATTCCAGGCGACTGGACTTGTTCGCTTGAGGCGTGCTCCATGCAACGGACCGAGACTAAGTTGGAGTAAGCTTTTGTGTGGGAGATGTTGGTGCAAATGTCAGTCCTTTCGTCTGATGCGTACCACCACAATGGAACGGAATGGCTGTATGTTTCCCCGAGCTCAGCCGCTTGAATCTGGTATGCGTCTTCCGCTAGTCGTCCACTCAATGCTTGTGTTCAATTTTTCCAAGGGAATTCATTGTACACGATGCTGACAACCCGACTCGCAGCTATGCAGGAGAAATCATGCACGGCAAAGTCAGCGGCATTCGCCACGACGGCAGAGGCTGCTTCAGGGACATACCTCAAGGCATCAAGTCGACGCGCTACCACTCGCTCAGCGCGAGTACGAGCACCCTCCCACCGGACCTCGCAATCACCGCCATCACCTCGGACAGCGGCGTCATCATGGGAGTCCGCCATCGCAAATACACCCTGGAAGCCGTGCAGTACCACCCGGAGAGTATACTCTCCGAGGGCGGCGATACCCTATTCAAGAACTTTTTGGCTCTCCGGGGCGGCACCTGGGACCTCAACCCGGGCTTCCGAGTCTCCGACGAGGCCCTGCCCGCATTCGGGCTCGAGGGCATCGCAGACAAAGTGCCCAACGGAAACGCCACTCCAGGTGGCTCCACTTCCAAGGTGCCCACTATTCTCGAGAAGATCTACGCACAAAGGATCAAAGACGTCGAGCTTGCGAAGCAGACTCCTGGTACGACGCCAGAGGACCTCGAGACGCTCCTCAACCTCAGCATAGCGCCCGCACCCGTCTCGTTCCTCGCTCGCCTGAAGGCGGCCCCCAAGAAGCCCGCCCTCATGGCGGAGATCAAACGTGCCAGCCCGTCCAAGGGGCCCATTGCGATGTCGACGAATGCCGCGCAGCAGGCGCTGACTTACGCTCTCGCAGGAGCCTCTGTGATCTCCGTCCTGACGGAGCCTACGTGGTTCAAGGGCACTCTCCTCGACATGCGTCTCGCTCGCCAGGCCATCGACTCCCTTCCTCACCGTCCCGCTATCCTTCGCAAGGACTTCATCTTTGACGAGTATCAGATCGCGGAGGCTCGTTTGCACGGCGCCGACAGTGTGTTGCTCATCGTTGCGATGCTCCCTGTCCCCCGTCTGCACGCACTCTACGAGTACTCCCGCTCGCTCGGCATGGAGCCGCTCGTCGAGGTCAACAACTCGCGGGAGATGGAGGCGGCGCTCGCTCTTGGGGCTAAAGTCATCGGTGTTAACAACCGCAATCTCCACGATTTCCAGGTCGACATGCAGACGACCACGCGTCTCGTAGACATGGTACGCGAGCGCGATGTCGTCCTTTGCGCCCTGAGCGGCATCAAGGACGTTTCGGACGTGCGGGCGTACACCCAACAGGGCATCGGCGCCATCCTCGTTGGCGAGGCTCTCATGCGGGCGCAGGACACGCAGGCCTTCATTCGAGATCTCCTCGATTGGCCGCAAGGGGACCCGAAGGGCAAGGGCCACGAGACGGCGGCTCCTCTGGTCAAGATCTGCGGTATCCGGACCGTTGAGGAGGCTGTTCACGCGGCGGAGTCCGGCGCAGACATGCTCGGACTCATGTTCGTACCGAAGAGCAAGCGGTACGTTTCCCTCGAGCGTGCACAAGGCATCTCCGCCGCCATCCGAGGTCGCCGCTCTCAGTCGCACCGCCCTAGCGGAGCCGAGGCCTCCCCGATCGAGGAGCTCAAGAACGAGCCATGGTTCAACCTCCACGCACGGCGGCTCACGGACTCGCTCGCACGAGATCCGTCCAAACGTCCGCTGCTCGTCGGCGTGTTCCAGGATCAGCCCCTCGACTTCATCCTGCAGACTGTGGCGGACGTTGAGCTCGACCTGGTCCAGCTCCACGGCAGGGAGCCTGTAGAGTGGTCTCGCCACATTCCCGTTCCCACCATTCGCGTTTTCCACGTCGATGAGGAAGGTCACGGCCTCACTGGTATCACCCGCCCAGGAGCGCACCAGTTCGTGTTGCTAGACGCTGTCGCCATGGGAGACGCCACTGGGTTGAGCGGCGGCACTGGGACGCGGGTCGACCTGGAGCTGGCCAAGGCGGTGGTGGAAAAGGGTGAGGTCGGCTTGGGAGAAACGCTCCCAATCATCCTCGCGGGCGGGCTTACGCCGGATAGCGTGCCGGAGGTGATTCGGAGGGTACGACCGTGGGCTGTAGATGTGAGTGGTGGCGTGGAGCTGAAAGATGGGTCTGCGAAGGATCCTGCAAGGGTTCAAACGTTCATTTCGGCCGCGAAGGCGCAGTAAGAAGGGCAGTGTGCTGGTTGAGTATTGTTCATATATCACAGGGTGTATATAGAGGTTAGTGTTCAGTTTCACTTTGTAGACCTTATCGGTCTCAAAACTTTCCAAGACACTATGGCCGAGTGGTTAAGGCGACAGATTCGAAAGCTGAATCATCTGTTTCGCTCTGCGAGCGCAGGTTCAAATCCTGCTGGTGTCGATTTGTTTTTGTAGCCCAATATCTCTAATTTCGCTGCCAGAGGTTGAGATCTTTGAGCGGAAGCAGACAGGTTCGGCGGCGCAAAAGAAAACCAGTGGGACAGTACCGTGCAGGGAATAAGCGCTGTTGAAGCAGGGACGCGCTGGGGAAAGACAAATATCTCATGGGGTTTCAGGATTTATGCCGACTGTACAGAGCGTGCGCGGGGTCCTGGGGAGGCCGCCACGAAACGCCATGAGGATGCAAAACATAAACGCTACCAGACATCCCACCATGCAGACTTGTGATCGGGAGAGCGGATAGGAGCCAAATTGGCATCGTCCTGGCGGGTGGTCGCTTCAAATCGTAGACAGGAGCTTCCTTTGATGGAATGTCCCGGATATATGCCGTTCTTGACGTCGACTAATAAACGCAGCGCTTGTTGTGAGACGACTAAGAAGCCGCGGGCTAGGCGAATGAATGCCGTAGAACTACACGAGAGCGCGGACTGTACGTACTGACACGACAGACGTTCGCGAATCCGCTTCAGCTGCACGCGTCTGACGGGCGTCGTCTGGTTCCGACGCTCATCAAGGGCAGGCACAGGCGGGACAGCGCGGAAGCTTATGAATGTTCGTATGCTTCAGGGTAGCCGCCCAATGGCAAGTTAGTCATGACAGCGGCCGTCGGACGATGCCAGAGAGATCGTTGGATTATCCACTCTGCAGACTCCATGTGCATTGGTGACGACAAATGTACGGGGAGCGTACGGTAAGGGGATATCGGAGCCACAGACGCAACTAGAGAGAGGGGGGGAGAAGGGAGCAGCCTGAGTAGAGAACAACAACCGTTAAGAGGATGAGATAAAAAGAACTAAGGGTAAAGGCTACGGAGACCACTATATCGAACAAGAGACGGATCCAGACACATCGAGGCATGAGCACAACCACGGGGGTGAAGTAGTAAGCTAGAAGAGGTAGAAAGCGTGGACGTGAGGTAAGCGTCGTGGATCGAAGAAATGGTAGTGGGAGGAGACAAATCGGTCTGTGCTCGAGATCACGACATGTGGGCATGGAAAGAGCGACGTGGTGTGCCATGAATCCTGGCGTATAAACTGGGAAACAGATTCCAACTATGTACAATATACTGTAGTGCAATGCCCAGCGAAACGCGTCGGCGACCAATGGCCCGTGGGCGCAGCGAGAAGATCATGAGAGGCATGGACGCCAGGAATGGGCCTAATGGGACACATGAGACGAAAATGCAGATGCGGGAGGTTTGTGTACGAGAATGAGGGAAAATAGGTAGCTAGGAAGAGCGGTGACGTCAAGACAGGCAGAAGGAGGGAAGAAGATGCAGCATACAGAACAACGCAATCATCCCCACACTAGAGCATCCAACCTCCGCGCAACTAGAGAAGACCACATTCCCGCAGATGCAGCTGCAAAAGGATATCCTGAATAGCGCTCAAGACGACTGTTGGCGTTGTTGCGGGAGGTCCGTGGAGGCCGGCGCATCAACGAAACAAGTAGACATGATCGAAGGACAGGTGAGTTGCGCGGGCCGTCAAGTCAGCGACGATGCAAAGCACGAATGACAGGACGTGGGCGTGGCGCATGGATGATCGATCATCAGAACGGAATGATCAGCGGTGTAAAGGGAGGCGCAGACAGCTAAAATCACGTACACTTGATTTGCTGGGTATCTGTTGCACAGGTGTAGTGTGCATAGATCTGCTTGGTTGCTGCGCTCTGGTTCAGTGAGACGAACCGGTGGAGAAGATAGTTGCACGCTGCGTCGTAGTCATCGCCGCCATTGTAGTCTGGGAAGTAGTCACCCAATGGCGACCGCGGCAGCTTCTCGGCGAACAGATCAATCTTGTTGAGGAAGAGGATCTGTGTAAGCGCGGTAGCAAGCGTTAGTCATGTCACGAGAGCCGAAGTTGCCAAGGAACACTGTAACCGTTCGGGCTAGGCAAAGACACTCACGATCGACGTCTTGACGAACCATCTTGAGTTGCAAATCGAGTCGAAGAGAGTCAACGCTTCCTGCATACGATTCTGCGAGGGAGAAGAAGTGAACAGAAGATAAACAAAAGATGAGCATGAAGACATACCACACTCTCGTCCTCGTACAGCATCTGGTCATACTCGCTCAGGGAGACAAGGAAGACGAGGGCAGTGACATTCTCGAAACAGTGTATCCACTTCTTACGCTCGGACCGCTGACCGCCGACGTCGAAGAGCTTGTAGGTGAGCTCACCAACCTTGAAGGTGGTCTCGGTGATACCAGTGGTCTTGACACGAGATCGGAGGATGTCCTGGTCCGTAGGCAGGTAGTTGGCAGCAGCCATACGGTCGATAGCGTTGAAATAGTAGATAGCCGAGTCGTTGAGCTGGAACTCGCGCGAGCGAGCAACAGCTTCCTTCACACCAGGGTCCCTCCACAGGCCGCGGATGGCATCCGCAACGTCGCGCGGGAGCACATCGCCCTCAATCTGACCAGGCAGAGAGAGGACGATGGAACGCCGGGCATCGTTTTGGGGCGAGAGCTGGATGTCTAGATGCGGCATCGCCTCAAGGATGGCACTGCGGGAGGCGTGTTGCAATTGAGCATGAAGGATGCATGAAGCGCGTCGATGGGACATGCAAGGAAACGTACCGCATAGACTGGATGGTGTTGGAAAAGATGATTTCCTTGTACGAGTCCCGCTCCTGCTCGTTGTATCCACCGTGGTGAATGAGCTTCATCTGCTTGAGGACAGTAGACTGTTGTGTGACACGGCTGGGTGAGCAAGCGGCGGTTTTGAGATTGACAGGAGGGAAAACTGACCTTGCCCGACTCTCCAGCTCCCAAAAGCAACATCTTGATCTCGTTCTTGGCCATCATGCGGTCCCGCTTGATCTGATTCTCGATCTCATCATTGCCTGGAGGGAGGAGGGGTAAGCGGGACAGGTAGAGGAGAAGAGGGGAAGGCGAGAGTGGGGCAGGGGTCGGGCTGGGATGTAGCTACTCACGGGCCTTGGCCTCGTCGTCGATGCCGGAAGACTGGACGCAGCCCATGGTGAATGGAGAGAGGAGGGTCGGGGAGAGGGGTGTGGAACGAAAGAGCGACGGGGAGCTGGGGCGGGGCTAAACGCCGTGGGCGGGGAGGTGAAGGAGAAGGAAGAGGAGGAGGAGGGACAGGCCCAAGGAAACAAGTCCGGGCGCGGCCTGCGACGACGCCCGTCGCCACCCACCGCCCCCATCCGGACATCCCCTGATAGGCGACCGCCTATTCCTTTTTCCTGCAGTGTTTCCGGGGTCCTGCCTCTCCTTAGCCAGCGCTAGCCGCGTCCATCTATCAAGCCCGTCTATTGCAGAGATGCTATTCATATTAATCACTCGCATAATCACTCGCATACACTTCCGTGTACGCAACCCAATATATTCTATTCCAACGTCAACTATAACGTTCCAAGACGTGCTCGCTACTGGGGTCGATCAAAATCGCCCTCCAAACAGCGCGAGCTGCAGCACTACATACATATGAAGCACACTGAGATAATACTCGAGCATCGCCAACACTTGCAGCACCGCGAACCCGCCCGCGTGCCGCCGCGCAAGCATTGTCCCTCCATCCTCCTCTGTGCCCGTACTGTTCACGAACGTCCCGTCGGACACCGGACGACGTTCTTCATCAATGTCCGCGCCGTCGGAAGCCTCGTCACCACGGCTCGAACTGGCGAGGTCCTCGGTCGGTGTTACAGACTTTACCGCCGCGTCGTCGACCGGAGAAGAGAGTCAAGCCGGCGTGCCTTGCACTATACTGACCCAGGTCGTCCCAGACCCGACACCCTGCTCCGCGGCGTCGCCCTCGTCATCCGACGACCCATCGTCTTCCCCCGCAGGTGCGTTGCTGCTTGTGTTCTCCTTGTTCCCGTCCTCCACTACCTGCACAGGCGGCTCATCAAGCGACAGCGGGGCCAACACGGGGGTGACCACGGAAAGCACAGCGGTGGCCTGCTCCGCTACTATGCGTGCCGCCTCGGCCTCCTCGAGCTTCTTGAGCTCAGCGGCCTCCTTCTCCTTCTGCAGAAGCTCCTTGCGGCGCTGCTCACGCTGGGGATAACGGAGACGACGTCAGCATCATGGTCACGGTGGACGAGAAACATCAGATTCAGAACAAGACAGAGGGTGATGGGAGAAGGCAAGCGCCAGTGGGATGAAAGGGCGCTAATCGATGTGGATCGGATAACTGACCTCCTGCTTCTCCTTGCGCTCGCGCGCCTCCCTCTCCTTCTTCAACTTTTCCCTCAACGCTCGCTCGCTCTCCACCCATGCCGTCGCCTCGTTTGCTGCAGATTCTGGTCGTGACTTGTTCTTCAGCAGATCTGTCAATACGCATCGCCCAAGCAAGCCATTCCGTCAGCACGTTGTCTATGCGCTCCATCACACGCACCGTCCCCGTGAAATGAAAACTTCTACGTAATCTCCGCAGCCGCTTCATCGACCAAGGATGAGCGCAAGAGTGAAGAGGAAGGTCGCAGTAACAACCCGCGATAAGTACACGATCGAAAATTGGAACACTCACAGCCCTGCAGAGCAGCCACGCTGAACTCCTCGTCCGGGATCGAATCCGCGAACTTCTTAGCAAGCGCCGCCAACGTCGCGCCGTCGAGCGGCTTCGCGGAGTGCTTCGCATCCATGATCTCCGCCTCTACTGGTGGAGGCAGGTACGCCTGGTTCTGCAGACCCGCGTCGCTCACTGTCCGCGTGCGCTCCTTGTTCTTCCCTTTGGCCGCGCCCGCGCCGGTTGTCGAGCTCGTGCGCGAGCGTGCCGGAAGACCTTCCGGAAGGGAAGGAAGAGGCGACAGAGGGCTTGACGATCCAGATGGGGTCGTCGGGACTGACGAGAACGTAGACGACAACGAGAAGAGCGTGGAGCCGCTCGACGACGCGGCTGACGGCGACGGCGGTACCATGGGGAGCTCAATGCTATCAAGATCACCCTCTATGGGGACGTCGTCCTCGTCCGTCGATGGGAAGAAGTTGCGGAACAGTTGCTCAGCTTGCCACTTTGACGCATTCTTGAACTCGATCCAGACGTCCATCCGTCCGGGACGCGACAACGCCGGGTCGAGACGCTCAAGATGGTTCGTCGTTCTGCGACAGGGTCAGGATAGGCACCACTATATGGGACGAAAGGACTTACGCGAATAGTAGTCGTCCTTCTGACGCGGCTACACCATCTAGTGCGTTCAGCAAGCCACTCAATGTGAGAGTGTTGACATCTGACAACTGTTCTTTCTGACGTGTCCGGCGGGACGAAGACGACGTGGTCGTAGTTTGCTCTGCCGCTTTCTCCTCAGACTTGCCGTCGGGGTTACCTGTCGAGCTGCCGTCTCGCGATGTGCTGCGCGTGAACGCTGCATCGAGGTCCTCCAGAAGAACTATGCATCGCGCTGGCACGCGTCCCATCAGCGTGGTGAGTGTGCCGTCGTTTACCCATGAAGACGACAGCGACACGACATATATGTCAAGCATCAACTCGCCCGCAATGGCGTGGATCAGCGAACTCTTGCCAGAACCAGGTACACCGTACAGCAAGTATCCCCTTCGGAACGGAATGCCGCGGTCCGCATACCACTACATTATAATGTAACTCGTCAGCAAACATGAAGACAGGGCTGAGGGCTGATGGGGCTGTGAGGACACCGAGGTGCGTGTAGCAACCGGTCTTCCTCACATGACTGCAAAGCTGTACACACCTTCTCAGACTTGAGGAAGTCCTTGGTGTCCGACAACAACATCTCCTTCACGCCGGGGTTGAGGACGATGGACGACATAGGCCGCTTATGCCGGGAATCTGTCCATCTCCAGCAGCCATGCGAGTCGGCGAAGTAGATCTGTATCCGGTGTACCGCCTCGGCCTCATACTCCTTCTTGGCCTGGAGAACGAGCTGCTTGAGGATCGAGTTATTCCGAGCGACGACGGATACCGAGATGACTTCGCTGCCGGTGTCACTCTTCCTCCAACGCTTGACACGGAGCCAGTGCCCGCGATAGTAGATGGTATGGGTCGTGTTTGCCGTCGGCTGGAAGACGACGCGTGTCTTTACGCGTCCAGGAGCGTCGTCATCCTCCTCGTCCTCGTCGCCGAAAGAATTGTCGGCTATCCGCGACCCAAAGCCCGGCGTTGAGGAGCGAGTCGTTGTCTCAAACTCGCGCGAACGTTGCCACTCGGGACGACGAGAGAGCCAGAGCATCAACCAATCATATGGGTAGTCCTCTTCGGAAAAGTGGGCGGTAAGGAAGAAGGCTGTCAAAGGATGGGGGGCGAGGTGAGTCAACGAACGGTGGCACCGGGCCCGGATGTGCGGTCAGTACTCACAATTAATGAAATGAGACCTGGGATGCGATTCGTGGAGTCGTCGTGCATGTACGTATGGTGGGCGAGCAATGGTCAGTTGGGTTCGCGGGAGGGATTGACGCAAGCGTGCACGTACCATCCTGAACTGGCAACGCGACGGGCGGTCTCGACAGTGCCACCGAGGACGACAAGCTTCATGCCGTCAATCATTGAGGAGCCGCCTCCGCCGCCGACGAGGGGCTGCACGAGGGATCTGAGAGCGTCCATGGAGGTGTAAGTGTATACTGGGGGTTGGCAGAGCCAATGTTGCGTGTCTTGCGAGGGAGGATATGGTGGAGGCGAGAGAGGAGGAGAATGGGGAGATGGTGGGGGTAGGAGGGCAAGCAGGCGGCGCTTGGGAAGAGGTCGAAGGCGGTAGACGATCGGGTCGTATGAGCCTGTGGCGGTGGTATGCGCCTGCTGCTTTCGGAAGCTGCGTCTCGTCCAAACGCAGCCCTCCCCTGCCCCTCCACCGGTTGCGCACTCTGTTTGACTCGACCCGACTCAGCTCGACGTGCCCAGTGAAGTTCGCCTGCCGAGGGCGGAGGGCGGGAGGCGTCGCGAGCACACGCGAGGGCGGCCGCGTCAGCAGGCGTGGGGACGTGCGTACGCCGTGCAACGTGTTCGGGTAACGCCCCCTCGGACGTCCTCCCGCAGCCCAGCGCCTCCCGCCCGGACAGCGTCCGAATCCTCCCCGCTTCCTGTCCCTGTTTCCAGGCTGTCATCTCCGTAATTTCGCTCCAGATCACCCTGTATGTATCTCACGCGCACGCAGACCTGCAAGCCGTGTCCGCCAGAAGTACATCGCATCAGTATGTACCCCCCCCCCCAGCTTGTATCGGCTCCCAGCCCAGCAAGGCGTGCGGCTCGGGTCAGAGTTGAGCAGAGAGCGGCGAGAAACAATGGGCGCAGAAAGAGGAAGGGATGGCCCGTCGGAGCAGCCGAGAGCCATCAGGCGTTCCAATGACCGCATCAGTCCCCAATATCGAAATCCCTCAGCCGTTCCAGCCCCGCCCCTCGCCAGTCGCTCCCAGCAAACCCAATCCGGCACACAGGATACGAAGTCATGATCTAAACACTTCGCTTCCCACCCAGCGCAAATCCAGCGTGCCACTTCCGATATCCCAAGCAAAAGCCAGGTCGATACCGTCGTTGGCCATCTGAAGATAACCCGGTATGAGCTTCTCGCGTACTATGCTTCCCCATTGTGCTCTCATTATACGATCTCAACTTAGGGCCTTGTGACCTCTATGTACATCGTCTAACACCCCATGAAACTGTCGTCCGCCCCATGAGCTACGTGTGAAGCCGACGGAGCCACGCCGACGTTGGCACAATCAAGGTTATCTGCAGCTCGTCATATGCCCAGAGTCGTGCTAACGACTTCCAACGATGAGGATCGCAGCGCTGCAGCAGCAGACAGCCGCAGCCGCGCCTTCTTCCGACCTCCCGGTTGAATCGAAGTGCTGCTGCGGTGAACTGTCAAGCTTCGCACGACCACGAGTTGTGGAGGATTGTGTTCAACGTCCACATCCGCAACTTCACTTTTCTCGGCGATGTGAGTGTCTGGTCTGGTCTTGATTGTGTTCCTCATGTAGAACTGCCTGGTACTAATGCGAGGCAAGCGCTCGCATCCTAGGGTTCTGTTCAAATCACTGGAAAGCGATCGATGGCTACACGGCTTATCGTTCATCTATCTCCTGGTATTGCGCCAACGTAGTTCGCGGAGCGCGGGCGTTCTGGCTCGAGACATGCCTCTGAATTGCCTGTGGAGGCTAAGAGGACGCTCGGAATCTGCCCCTTGATATATGACGTGGTCCATTCCACGGTTCTGAATTGTCCGCATTCGTGCGCGGAACCTCTTTGTGGTTGCGAAGCTTATGACTGTGGTCTGTGCCAGGATGTTGAATTCCCTGCGACGTCTGCATGCCAGGCACGGCAGGGAATTGGGCGTGTTTGATCGGACGCACAAAGTGAACTCTTTGTGGAAAAGCCGCCTCGCCGGACAAAAACCTTTGAAAGTGGCTGGCGATCGCCTTCTGCGTCCCTTGTTCTTATGGTCAGACGAGTCAAGGCACCGTATGGCGTACCGCTGCATGCGTATTACCCTTGGAGTTAAACGAGCGACATTAATACAAAGTCAATCGTGTCGTCATTTGAGCCCGCCTACCATGCACGAAGGAATTCTGAAACCACAGTCAAGTACCGTGCGGTCGTTCATCTGTTGTGTGTTCCTGAACAATGTTGCGGACACTTCTCTTCCTTGTCGTGGAATGCAGTTTATATGGCATTCCCCTGTACCGTGCCAGCGGAATGTCATGCAAAATTAGCCTTACGGACCCCGGTGAGAGTGTGATTTGAACAGGACTCAGTCTCACGAAATGGGTTCGCCACTCGGGTCCGTAGAGCCGCATGGCCGACGGGAGTGGACAACACAGTGCTCGCAATGCAGAAGCGACTATGCCAATCCGAGGACAACGAAGGATTACAGCCCCAAGCTTCGCAACTACTGTTCAGCTTCTGTTCGGCCGCCGAACGGCGTCCCCTGCCCACATCTTCCACGCAATATATGTAGACGTTTCACCCCAGAACAACATCGTGTGGCATAGCGCCCCATTCGGGCCCGGGAGAATCCATCGCGCATTTAGAAGCAGACAAGCTTACCGTTGCTGGCGGCTGCTTACGTCCTATGAGAGGGCTTCGAGCGGCTATAAGGGGAACGACGAGACGCCGTATTGCGGTAAAGTATGGACAGGTATGGAAGAGAGAACGATCCGGGAAGCTGACAGCGTGAGTGTCCGACTGAACCTGCATCAACAGCTTCCCAGGTCTGTTCAGGGCCAGGGACGGCGTGATTCTCTTTGTAGAGTACATGCGCCGTCTGCATGAGTAGATAGGTGGTATCCGGTGGGCGGATTGGAGGTTAAGGACATACGGGACGCTCTGCAGGATGTGACCCGGAGCTCGATGGCATGCCTACACCGGTTGTTGGATCTTGCATGCTGTAGGTACATCAGGAAGTTTCGTAACTACCCTTATTGCGGTAGTTCACGAATAGCGACTTAGGTCGTTGCCACCACGTCCGTTCAAGATTTAAGAGAAAATCTCACAGGCCGTCCTTTATATGTGAACATGGGCCAACAGGTTGACAACAGAGGGCTGAAGTAGTCTCTGATACCCGTCAGTGCGGTTCCCGCCCGAGAAAATCAATTTCTCGATGTGCATTACTGTCATGGAAGTCGGAGGAGGACATTGTACATGCTGTCACTCGTTGTCGAAAGACGGCCGGTGATGAAGGGTTTGACGAGATGATCGTACGACCGGAAGCTATAGATAGTACAATTACAAGCGACCATTGCGAAGTGCCCCGGTTCATAGCGAAGCCTGGCCTTGTGGCGGAAGGTCGATGACCTTGCCCACGATATCATATCTCTTCCTGGAGGGTGACAAATTGTGAGTCCCGCATAAACTGGCGAGGCATCGGGAGTGTGAGGTGAGTTACTTACGAGAAAAAGTCATACCAGTCGTTGAGAGTCTTCAAGTCAGCCTCGGAGAGCGTACTATAGTCCGACACTGCGTCCTCTGGTTTGAGGCTAGACATGCCGAGGGCACGGGAGGCGTCCTTGCCGGCAAACAGATTGTAGGACTTGCCCTTGCCGTACGTATCCGCCTTCCGGGTGACATCGAAGACAGTGCCTGAGGGAACGGCCATGGTCAGGATATACCAACGGGAGCTGGATAAGTGAGAGGAAAGGGCGGCGCACCCTTGATCGCTACGTATATGGGCTTGGAGAGGTCGGTGCCGTCAAACTGCTTGAGCTGCTCGACAGTGAAGGGGTCGTGCTTGGCAGGCGCGATGTCTGTTCTGGGCGGCTGCATGACGGGTTTTTGCTCTGAGCTGCTCTCTGCAGGCTTGGCGTCTGGTTGGGGGTTTGCCTGTTTGCGATTGCGAAGGAGCTGCTGCTGGTATTTGCGCTGCTCGTCGAGGGAAAGGCCGGAAGTTGAGCCGAACGCAGAAGACTCTGGAGAGTGGGCGGATTCGCGGATGAGGACGGACTTTGCGAAGTAGGCGAGGAGAGCGGCGACAGAGAGGGCGACGATGAGGGCGGCGAACATAGCTAGCAGCAGGAAGTACCAGAGGGTCACGCCAGCAGCGCTGAGCAAGCTTCGATCGCGAGTAGTTGCCGAATCGATTTCACGGGCCACACCGGATGTCACGGCCCGGGAAACGTGGCCACCGACCGAATCCTTGCGTCACTCAGGTCCGCTCCGCCTTCATCTGCACCAGCCATGCTCCATCCCTTGTCTGCTCGCAGCACGCCTGCTCTTCTACTCCTACTCTCGCCATTACTCGCACATCGCAATGGGTGGTTCTGCTTCTGAAGAAATACGCATCTTTCTCATCGGAGCAACCGGTACCCCAACGGCATCTTTCCTCTCAACATGTCTTTCGTCTCACTCTTTCAAAACCGTGCAGGGTATATCGGTTGCGGCGTGCTCAACCGCATCCTCTCTGATGGCAAAGCCGCCGACTTCCAGATCACGGTCCTCATCCGGGACGCGGCCAAGGCTAGTAAGCTGGAGCCGTTTGGCGTCAAAACCGTCGTTGGTTCCCTAGAGGACACGGACGAGTTAACCGCCCTAGCAGGCGAAGCCGACCTGGTATTCAATTGTGTGAGTCATACAATCTCTCCTCTGGGTCTTGCTTAACTCAGTACTACCATGTAGGCGGATGCAGACAACATCCAGCCCACGAAAGCCATCCTCGCCGGTCTAAGGAAGAGACATCAATCGACCGGCAGGGTCCCCAGTCTGATACACACTGTATGTCACTTACTTATTCTATTCCCCGTCACCTGTGATCCTGAATGTATTGCATCTAGTCTGGTAGTGGTGAGCCAATAACTGGTGTCGACTCCGGACACACACTCAGAGGGACGTTCAATAGGCGTCCTGGCCGACGACGCTACCGGCATGTACTTGACCGAAACAGTGTATTCTGACGATGATGTCGACCCCCTTTACAAGCTTCCTATCACCGCCCCACATCAAGAGGTCAACAAGGCTATCCTCGAAGCCGATCAAGAAGGTGTGAGGCTGGCATTCAAACGCGCGCCCAGCACCCAGCTGAACTAAGCCCCAGGTTACATACGGTCATACTTGGTCCTACCTCCCGCTGTTTGGGGCTTAGCACAGGGTCCGCTGGTCGACGCACATATCATGAATCCACAATCCCAGGAAATACCGGCACTGATCATAGCCAGCATAGATCGCGGACGACCGGGCATGGTCGGAGAGGGCAAGAATGTATGGTCGAATGTTCACATAGACGATGGTGAGTCTTGTGGTAGCAGTCCGTGTGGCCACTATTGATTCTCTCTGAAAGCTGTCCTTCTATATGAACTGATCTGGAACGCTATACTCGGCGGCGAGGAGATTGGGCACGGCAGCCAAGGCTACTACTTCCCCGAGAATGGCGAGCACCAGCTATACGACGTCAGCAAAGCGATTGGTGCGGGGCTCAAAGATCTCAGATTGGTCGAGGACCCAGAGCCGTCATCTTTCACTACAGAGGAGCTAGACAAATATTTCGATGGGGTGAGCATTTTACTGTCGTACTCTTGGGTGGAGCATAGTTAATGCGCCAGCGATACGGCTTGCACTCCGAAAGCTTGGGATCAAATTCGCGGTGCAGAGGGCAGAGGGCGAGGGCGATCAGGTGGAATCCTAGGAAGACGACAGAGGACATGCTGGCGAGCATCAAGCCTGAGATCCAATACATGCTGTCGAGGGCATCTTAGCCTGATGGATGTGTCGTACTTATGGAAGGATGTATGGGTACTGGTCTATGTGGACGCCGCTAACTTGTAGGATGGCTTATTGCGGAGGATAGGACAGTGTTTCTTTGTCATTGAAAGCCTCCGTGTAGATACAGTTGTGTGCCAGTTGGACAATGCTAGTGATCATGATATCCGATAGACCGATTGAACGAAATCGAGTTTCGTTTGGAATGTGTATAGAGGCTCGGGGCTGCTTTGTGCGTGTTTGAGACGGGCGTCTTGGATGGCTCAGGCTGTGGCGCCCGGCGGTGAACCACATTCAGACTGCTCATCCTCCGCCGCACCTGCACCTTCCGCTCCCTCTCTCTCTCTCCATCCCAGCCTGCTCCGTCTTCTGTCCTCCATGGACTCCAAAAGCCTCTCGGAGCAGGAGAAGGATATTCGTGATCTGTTGCGACGTGCTGAACGCACCCCAGTGAAGACCTCTGCTCTTGTACGTCTTCCATCCGCTACCTGCCCCCAGTCCAAATTCCGAAGCTGATCACGCACCGTTTGCCACCAACAGCGACGAGATACCCTCAAACGTCTCATAGACCTCGCCCACTCGACTCACCCTTCTCTCAAGGTCATCGCCGCCACAAACCTCAAGCTTTTCATCAAAGACTTTCCTGACCTCGAGGACGACGCAATCAATGCCGTGTACGACTTATGTGAAGATATCGTACCGAGTGTGCGTGCTTCGGTGTATGCTGCGGTATCGCTCTCGGCCTGACCCCTCCTTCTAGGTTCGTATCAAGGGTTACGCCGCCATTGTAGATGTCTCTAGAGAGCAGCATAAATGGGTCAAGAGAAACGCAGACGTGCTCGTACAGCTACTTCAGTCTGGTGAGTCCTGCGTTCTACCCTCGTCTCCGACCTTCTTTCCAAGCTCTTTCCGACTCGCCCCAAAAAGAAATGCCCTGTCTCGTTTCTCGCTGCTCAGAGGGATGTACTGGTGAAACCCATTGCTAATGTCGCAACCATTACCTTCGGCCAGACGAGCCCGAGGAAGTGACTGTCGTCAAACGCGCCCTCACCCAACATCTCGACATGGATCCCGTCATCACCATTGGAGTGCTCTGTGATCAAATTGTTCCTCCAGATGAACCTCTCGATGAGGAGGAGCAAGTCATCCGGGACCGTCTTCGTTCACTTGTCCTCGCCTTCTTGGCCGGAGAAGCCAAACGTCCATTGATCGACCGCCATGCAAATACTCTTGGGACCCCTGCGGAGGAAGCTCTTGTATCTGGTCTCTTTAAGGTGAATGCCGCTACAACATAATTACATATGGAGAATCAAAAGATTAACACACGCAACACGGGACCACATAGGCTATCATGAAACTTGCTCCGAACGACGTCGACTTCGTCGTCAAGGATATTATCGCTTCTTTACCTTCCTTCAAGCCCCCATCTTCCCGGGGAAAGGAACTTCTCGACCTTCTGTTCACTCAGATCCGCGCCACTCTCAAATCTGACATCCCTTCTGATGCCGAGCGAGGGTCGTTGAGCAATTCACGTTACTACCTCGATCTCGCGTCGTTCGTCGCTGTGGCAAAACGGCTGGCGCATCCTTCGCATCTGCTGAGCTTCTATCATGCTACCTTTGCGCAAAGGAGAACACTGGACCGTCTTCCTGAGCAGGACCGACTATATGTGATTGGCGAAGTGGCGCGTGTCTTGTCGGCCTGTGGAGAGGCAGGTGGGCGTGCGCCGCCAACAGCACCCGCTGCTGACTCCGGGAAGGCTTTGCGTAATGCGAACGACAGAGCTGAGGACGGTAGCTTCCGTAGTCAGGTATCGGATATCTGCGCCGTGCTGCTACAAGTGAGTCTCTCTCGACTGGACTGATGAACGAAAAATGGCTGATACATGAATAGGCATTCGCTGAAGTGGAATCTGAAGAGAGACCTTGGACAGCTTGTTTGACATTGGTGCAAGGACTCGTTCCCGTAAGTTCGAGTACGCTGCTAGTTTGGCAAACGATCGCTCACGTCCTCTCCCATGTAGAGTAAGCGCGACAGCCGCTTGCAGATCCCGCAACCCACCATATCCACCCTCGAGCGCATTGGATCTCTTTCGGTTACGCAGGACGCGTCTACCGAGACAAAAGCTGCACAAGAACAAGTGCACAGCGTTATCAGGGTTCGCAATGGGCCGCTTCTCGTTCTCGCCGCATTTGTCCGACGAATCCCTCTTTCTTTTCTATTCTTTTATATTTACAGTCACTCCTCGAGCCGGTCAAACCTCCGGTACCGTCTACCGACGGGCGTGCGAGCGCCCGATCGAAACAGGTCAAGCGGTCCGTGCCCGCTGACGACGGACTGAAAGGTAACGTGAAACACATGGCTAGCAAGGCAGCTGCGAGCGGAGACACCCACACTGCCAACGGGACCGCAGGTACAAGCGCAAGCTCGACTCCGAGCCCAAGCGACCATCGCATAGCTGTTGACGCTCGTAAGCGCAAGTTGGACGCTCCTAATGGACCCCCATCCTCCACCATGCCTTCCGGTTCAAGCAGACCGAGAAGTCGAAGTCCAGCTGGACCCACCGTCGCAACGGCAGCGCGGGGGCGACTGCTGTCGCTCCCACCACGGCCCTCATCTGCAACAGTGGCGGCTAGCGGTGTTGGTACACCCAGCGCGCCTCGGGCTGATCGACAACGGCACGTCCCACCCCACCTGAAAGGCCAGGCTAGGGGTACCTCGCCTCACGCTTCAAGGCAGGCTTCAGGCTCGCTAGTTCTGCCGACAGGCGGTTCCGCGGTGAGCACGGCCGACTACACAACCCGACACTCTGCAGACAAGGTCCAAGCGGAGAAGGTCGTGGGTAATACTCAAGATGATAGTAGAGTCACTTTGGGAACAGGCTCTACCCAGAGCGCTGGTGGCCTCAGCGTGCGCGGAGCAGCAGGTAGAGGGCAGGCAGCCTACACTCCAATGCTGAAGGTGGAGGAGGCCAAGGTCGTCCCTTCCCTGCTCAGGCGCCTTGCTGGGGAAGCGTCTAGTGGCACTGGAGCTGTGCCACCAACGCCCGATCACGAGCAGTTGCAGAAGGGCAAGGAACGGGGACAAGGACGAAGAAACAAGCGCGAACGCGACGAGGGACGGGATCGTCATAAGCCATCGCCACCATCCGTTGTACCAGCGAAGCGACGCGCGGATGCATCGTCACCAGCAGTCGTACCGCCCTCTAAAGCCCCCTTCGCGCCGGTCTCAACTTCTGGGCGTGTAGGACGGGGGCCCTCATCTACCGATCCTGACAAGGATCCCGTAGTCGGCTTCAGCATTCGTGGGGCAGCTAGTGGAGCATCACCAGCCACTAGGGAAGGCAACCGTGGCCCAGGGTCATTGCTAGAAAGGTTACAAGCCGGAGACGATGTCGGTTCGGAGTGGAGTGGAAGGAGAAGGAAACGGATCAAGCAATCGTAGGAGGGAACGAATGCAGAGGTCTCGTGGATCGATAGGACGTCTTTTGTAACAAATTGTCATCGACAATATTGCGCACGCCGTTGTGGTCGACACGCTGATGTTATGAGCAGGCGTGTATCAAGACCAGAGTGACGAACATGGTTAGGATCACTCTTGACTGACGTCAACACATAGGGTGATGGGGCAAGAAGTATGTGGAATGATGTTCCATTGTATACCCAGAAGAACAAGGACAGGTATCTCAAAAGACAATCTTCAACGCTACACCGGATTAGTTACGAACGGCTCAGGTGGCGGAGCTTCGAAGAGCCTCTCGAAAGCCTCACGCGACTCTCCGATGACACCAAATGCGTCTTGCAAAGTCCTCCCTAGATAATCAAGCTCCTGGATAACGCCCTTCATGGTGACAGCGTAGGCGAAGAATAACAGATGACGGGACCCCTTGACATCTCGGTTCCGCACCACATCCAGCTTGCGGATCGCTTGAACCTGACGGGTAACGTATCAGCTCAGTTGCCAGCGGTGCCATCAGTGTTTGAGAAGCTTACAAGGCGTTCTCGAGCGCTTTCTGCGGGTGGAAGATAGGGCGGGAGGGGAGACTTCAGTCGGAACGCAGCGGCGAGTGTGGAGAAGTACAGGATCACGTTTCCGACCATCTCACGTCGCTCTTTGTTGACTGGAATTATGAAGTCCCTCCTCACGGTCTAGATTAACATCGTTCAGCTCATGCGGGTAGTGGCAGACACTGGGGTGCTTACTGTGTGCCTGTGAGAAGGTCAGCGACGTCAACATGGAAGATAATCGTGAAGTGTCCTAGTGAAGCGTACCATTCCTCCCGAGACGTTACACAGCGCATACTGTGCAGTCTATCCAGGATAGCCTGCAAGCTGGTCAAGATGGAGCGATAGAGCGCAACGGGGAATGGTCCTTTCAAGCGCGGCTCGTGTTGAGTCTGCGACAATAAGCCTTGCAGTTCGATAAGCTTGATTTGGAGGTGCAATTCCCTTCATAACGACGTCAGCGGTTATATAGATTCAGGGGGACGAAAAGACATTAGAGACGTACATAGCCATGAAGTCTTGGATAGATTGGGAGAGAGCAGGGTTGGTATGTAGCAAGTGAGACTCCTCCGTCGGTGATTCCTCGTCCTCACGCATGATGTGTAGATGGAACTCTTCGTCCGAGAATGAATTGAAAGCCACCAGGCGGGTATAGAGCCACCCGACATTCAAACAAAACCTAGTTTTGGCCAACGTTAGGCAGTATATGCTCACCGTCGTTTGAGATACGTACTCTCCCAGGGCTCTGCTGAGCTCACGTCGAGCTTCGGCAGGCCACCAGTATCGTGAAACAATAGCAGCCCACACAACACCAAGGATCACTGATATAGCGCGTTCATATGCGATGTCAAATACTGCTACGTCCGTCTGACGGATGTTGTAGCTACGTAAAGGAGGTGTAACTTAGTATGACAGCAAACAATATCCATGCCCCGACTCACCAATATAAGCATGTCAGGTTGTATGTCAGCAAGACGCAACGTACAGAGGTTGCGTATTGCGGTTTCGCAACGATATAGTAGAAACAAGGCACTGAGTAGAAAAGACCGAAAATAGACAGAATGTAGGGATCCTCCGGAAAAGCTGACCAAGCCAAGTAGGCCGTGGTCGCGCCGAGTCTGAGCGATGTTGCGATCAAGACATGGCGTCAAGAAAGTGCAAGCGAAATCACTCACAACGTTCCAAGCACTCGAAACACGCCCATATAGTTGGTCTGATTCGCGGTAGCATGAGCGTGAAACCTGGTCATGTGGATAAGATGACCTTACGGCACCAATCGTCGGTGAAATGACAACAAAGAACTATGAAGAGAATGAGTCGATCTCATGCCGGCTTCCCGATTTTCAAAGGCTTACCGAGATCAATGCCCATTCGCCACGGTACTCTACAAATAGCGGCCGCGTCTCCTGGAAAAAAGCTGGTGCCGCAAGGATGGCGGTAGCCATGCCTACTTTGAAGGCATATTTCATGTCTTGCTGTTGTAGTCGTGCTCCGAGAGCCCAAATTGATTGTTTCACTCGGCCCATTAGCGTCAGATATTCTCGGGCTGGTGTTTGAATAGTGTTGGGAGCGTGCGGCGTGACTTTCGGGAAGGACACCGCCTTATGAGGTCGTTGCGGGACGAAGTAGGAGGCTGATTCGTTGGCAAGCTTAAGTGGGATGATACAACCGGGGAGGGGAATCAAGTAACTTACAAAAGCGTTTCTTCATACTGACCCTTTTCGCCTGACCTGTGCGGTCGCCTTGGCGGCGCAGAGAAGGGCCGAAACGGGCCTTGATTCGCCTCCACACCCCACCTCGAGCTGCACTCGCGCGTTCGATACTACAGATGCGGCTCATGGCGTCTACAAGAGAGATAAGCTCGCGTGCGTACTCTTGGAGCGTGAAGATGAAGCTGTAGCGGGGAGCATGAGGTTTGGACAATACCCACAGAGAGCGAGCGAGACATACAAATACACGAGGAAAATGGTTTCACTCTCGTCGCCCATAAGGAGTTGGTTCTCAGATGGGAAGGATGCGATCGAGGATCGGGAGTGTTCCAAGGCGACAGCTTGTCCGCTTCGGTACATGCGTAAGACAGCGTGATTAGATGTACTTTCGAAAGCGAACAAGGCTCGTTCGATGTTATCAGAGAGCTCAGCGAAGTCGGCCGGTCGCATGGCTGACTGGATATCGCGAGACTGAACGAAAGCTTCACGAAGACACTTGAATGTTGAGACGCAATGTGTCTGACAAATCGGAGTGTTAGAACTGACACTCGATCTTCCGCATATTCATTGGAAAAACTGTACCGAGAGGGCCTTGAGTGGAGGCCCTAGATCATCGAGCAGGTCTCCGAAAATGGTCGCCGCAGACTGTAGCAGAGCGATCTCCTCATTGTCCATCGAAGAAGAGTTTTGATCATGACCGACTCCCTTCCCCTTCCCGTTTCTGTTCTCCACGGGCTTCTGGTTGATGCTCGAATTCCTCAGAGTGACCTTGCCCTCCCGGTGACCTCGGATCAGCTCCTGTTGCAAAGTAATGCCACTGCGCAAACCGTTCAGATGTTGCCCAAGTCGGTTAAGACTGTCTATTGCATCCTCGTACGCCTGACCAGAGCTTCCCCCCAACTGTGCTCCTTCCCCAGATTTACCTGGTCCTCCGAACAGCCGTTCCGACTGCGCTTCGATGAGACTCTTCTTGAGAGAGGTGAAGGAGGCTTGGTGATTGGTGACGGCGCGCTGGATCCGGTCGGAACTGAAACCTCGAGGCTCTTCGAGTAGGAACGTCTGCGTGAGCAGACTTAGGAGAGTTGAGAAAGAGTCAAGAGTTTGGGTCATATTGTTCTGCAGATTCTTGGTCGCGCGTTGAGGCCAGATGAGGAGGCAGACGACGTTTGTGACGAGAGCGCCGACGAAGACAATGAAAGACACTTGAAGGAGAGTGTCAAGCCCACCTTCCTTCACGACCCTTAACGAACGTAGTATGAGCTTAAGGCTGTTATGCCAAGTCAAGAGCCATCTCACACGACAAATAAGATGATTGCGGTCATGCTACAAGCTGGTATATAGGTCAACTTCGCTGTTATGCTGCAGTCGAGACGCAATTGCATTACTCACCGGTGTTGAATGACGGCTTCGCCATCCAGACCTTCATCCATGCCACGACCGACATTCCGACGCCAATCATCAGTAGGACCAAGACGTCGGCCAGCCAATCAAGGCCACCCTGGCGCTCAAAGAACCAGTATACGCTCATGCTACTAAGGGACACGAAGGAGGCGAAGACGAGACCCATCGTGCAGAAGACATCGGCTTCTACCATGCCCCCCAAGGTCTTGGCTGGGTTGAAATATACAGCGCTGCGTTTGTACAAAGGGATAAGTATGGACTGAGAGGGTGGGGATGAATGAAACCACGACTCACACAGTGGCGACCATGTGTCCAGAAGGGGAGGAAGTGCGCTCTCCTGGATTGTCACCCGTGATATCGGCAATGAAACCCGACAGGTAGGGCGAGAAGGTGAACAAGGACGCGAGAAAATACGCAATGCAACACTTGAGGATGTTACGATGAGTTGTGGATAGCTCAGGTAATTTGAGGAACGGCCACTTTGAGGATGAACGGCCGAGGTTGCGGTCTGCATCCGTGGTGGTGGAGTTGTCTTCGTCGGAGCCTTCATCATCCAAGGTGATTGCGGACGGACTAGCGCGTCCGGATCGACCGTGTTGGTGGGTCGAAGCGTACTCGCCTTCGTGTGCACCATGGTTGCCGAAGGCCGAAGCGGGATGGTCGAAATAGGACGACGCGCCATCACTGAGTGCTCGAGGGGAACTCACGGTAGTGGAATGAAGGGTGCCTGGCGTACGAGGAGCAGAGGCAGAGACAGTACGACGCCTATCCTCATCCGCCATGAGTTGACCGAAGACGGTCCACTCACGCTCTTTGGGGCGATCATTGAGTGAGCCTCGGAAGAGGCTAGAGGCCAGCTCCTGGACGCGTGTCACGTTGGCTCCGCCCTGAGTCGCGGTGGAAGACGAGACGGTACGGCGGACGGAGGGTTTGGCATTGCTACCTGGATAGTATGGAGATGGGAATGGGCCAATGTAGGTATGAGGACGAGAGGATTGTTGGTCGCGGAGCTGTTCAGGTGAACCGACGAAATGCGAACTGTCTTCGTGGAGGTAAGTTTGTTGAGCCGGCGGAATAGGGATGGATATAGGGCTGGTCGATGACGAGCAAGATGAATCACAGGGATCGGACATGCTGGGACGCAGACTGCGCTTTAGTTCGGCGCAAATCCCTCGCACGCCGACACGCGGACGGTCTTGGTCGAGACTAGACTGCACTCGAAGAACCAAGGACAGACACAGCTGAAGTCGACTTGGGCTGTTGAGGTGAGATGGAGGCAAGCAGTCCTACTGTGTCGAGCGGACCGTCGAGAGCAGCACCGAGGCGAGGGACGTGGGGAGACGAAGCGAAGTCAGGAGAAGGTCGCCGTGCATTCGGCGGTCGGCTGGCGCAGGATGCTCCACGTCCAACATTACCGTGAACGGGCAGGATGCTTACGACAATGCTCGCTCATTCTTGTCGTGACAGCGGTCCTGCGGACATTCGCCTCCTACTTACAGGAGTATGTATCTACTCATCACAGTACAGGTGTAGTGGTGATTGGCAGCACCCGCTAGCCGATGTGCAGCTTATGTAACGTGAACAGGTGGTCTCCGATCCCGACATAGTACGCGTCCATGGTCCTTCTGTTGTCCTCGGACTCCAGCTAGTACTACACGAAAGTCGTTGGGAAAGTACTAACTTTCATAACCTGCCCTCAAAGCTTCGCGGGGTTTCCGCGCCTATGCAATGTGAGCTGGGAGCTGCCGTATAGAATCTTGCTTCATATCTAATTGTGTTCAGGACGCTGTCATGGTGTTGTTACCTTCACGCTAACCTCGGATCTCTTAGCAATCCAATATACCAACGCGACCTGCGCTATAACAAAACGATTGGCGTGGTGACTGGGCGTTTATTTCCCGAACGCTGCTCGAAGTCTCCCCGCCACCTCAAATTCTAAGCACTGTGTAGCTGTAGCGTGTAGGAGGCTGAGCGCCCTTAGCGGTAGTTTGCGAGTGAACGTGTTAAGGCCCAAATTCATCCAGATATCTCAACAGATTGAGCAAGAATCGAAAATCCGTTCCACAGATTTTGTTCATGAGGAGTTCCCCACTGATTCCCTGGCTATGTAGGTGTCCTATTAAACCACCGTCATCTCTGGCACGCATGTTTCACCTCGGTTAGGCCGGCGCTGCCAATCCCCCGTGTTTGGCTAATGTCGGAAGGGAGAGTCTGCCGAAGGTCGCCTCTGCACCTGATCGTCACGTGAACGGATGTTTGATTCGAACTACTGCTATTCGACTCCTCCGACCCACCCCCTCGCCGCTCAATCTATATACTATCCTCGTAGCAATGTCGAAACATACACGTCGCCAATCAACCGTTCACTGGCCTATGATGCGCCTAAAGAAGCCAGTGATGGCGAGGTAGCAGATAACACTTTGGTTCTGAAGACTAACTCAGGATTATTTGAATCGATAATCATGGTGCGTAGTGTGCGGTCCGCACTGAGTCGGCTGGCGCGTGTTCTACTTAAGGTGCAGCCTCCTTGCCATCCACTTCCCGCCATCCTTCTGCTTACGCTACTCTCCACCCCTACCCGATCATAGCCTGATCTGGCGATCGGTCTCTAATGATGTACCCGCTCTTTTCGTTCTCTCTCCTCATATTATCCCTTGTAGCGGGCACTACTCGCTCGCTCGCCCACCCACGCAAACCTCACGGCGCTGACCCGCACAACCATACTAATGCTTCCCGCTCGTCGTCTCTCGTTTCCGCTGCCTGGTATGCTGGATGGCACTCGGATGACTTTCCTCTCGCCAGCGTCAGCTGGAACAAGTACACTCATCTCACCTACTCCTTCGCGTCAGTAGTCTCCTCATGAGCCGACCCCTTACCCCTGTCACCACCGCAGTTCATATGCAATGATGCATCTTGCTAATATGCGCTCCCTATGTAGCGTCACCACTCCAGACGTGAACACCATCTCCCTCGACGGATCGAATCCCGATGTTCTGCCTCAGTTCGTGGAAACCGCCCACAACAACGTACGTGATGCCCTCACCACCATCCCTATGCCCTTCATCTCATGCGTTTTCCTTGCGCTCCTTCGTCAGGGTGTCAAAGCTCTGGTGTCGGTCGGCGGCTGGACTGGCTCACTTCACTACTCGACTGCCGTTGGCAGTGCCAAAAATCGCACAGCCTTCGTCAAAACCATCACCGACTTCGCCACCAAGTACAAACTTGATGGCATCGACTTCGAGTACGTCTCCGATGTGCTCTAACCAGAGCAATCCTTCTGAACTTGAACGCTAGCTGGGAGTATCCTGGCACACAGGGTATCGGTTGCAATGCTGTCAATGCTGACGATACGACCAACTTCCTCGCCTTCCTCCAGGAGCTTCGCGCCCACCCTGTTGGGAAACATCTTATCCTCACTGCTGCCACTTCTGTCTTTCCTTGGGTTGGTCCCGATGGCAACCAGCTTAGCGACGTCTCCGGTTTCGCAAAGGAGCTCGATTGGATTGCCATCATGAACTACGACGTCTGGGGTCCTTGGAGTGCAACTACCGGTCCCAACGCCCCCCTCAACGACACCTGTGCTTCTGCCGAGAACCAGCAAGGTAGTGCAGTGAGCGCCGTCGCTCAGTGGTCCGCTGCCGGTATTCCGACCCATCAAATTGTCCTTGGTGTCGCGTCTTACGGCCACTCTTTCCACGTCAACGTCAGCGATGCGATCGACGACAGCGGCTCTCTGAGACCCTATGCTCCATTCGATGCTGCGTTGCAGCCGACTGGCGACAAATGGGATGATGATGCCGGTGTAGATGAGTGTGGTAACGAGAGCGGTCCGGGCGGTAACTTTGACTTCTGGGGCCTCATCGACGCCGGATTCCTCACGCTATCGGGTGATCCTGCACCTCTGACTGCCTACAACTTTGACGTATGCAGCCAAACGGTGAGTCTGCCGCCGTATTGAGCTGCGTCATGGACCTCACCCTACTACCCCTTCGCTGCAGGCATATGTCTACCACGAGGAGTCTGAAGTCTTCGTCTCGTTTGACGATGCTCGGGCCTTCACGGCGAAGGGGCATTTTATCAAGGATACGAAGCTTCGCGGCTTCGCCATATGGGAGGCAGGCGGTGATTTCAACGACATCCTCCTTGACGCCATTCGCTCGGGGGCGGGTGCAGCTTAAAGGACTCACTTGACCACCAATCGTGATTTGACCGTCCTCGCCCGGTATCTGTAGTCACTAAAATGTGAGCTTGCATGTACGTCCTTGTGAGCGAATGTGGGGTCCATACTGGCATCTCCTGTGTCACGGAATAAAGTCGTGGTTTCTTGGTGACCTTTCTGCTTACGTGAATTCAGATTGCCCTACTCAGAGTGATGAATGTAGGATGGAAATAAGGGGAAACACAGTAGCGATTTCGCCGCGAGGCCAGACCAATCCGAGGCAGCGTTTTGGTATCGCTCTCGTATTTTCGCACCGTGCTGAACAGCGCTGTTGACCTTTGCACGCAGAGCTCGAACGGCGCTCTCCGTCCTCAAAGTCCGGGAATAGGAGTCCCACGTCGGCGTTGAGACGCCTTATCCCTCCTGTGTCTTCATGAGTTCAACGACATTGTCGTGGTCGATCGTCTTGTATTCAAGATTCTCACCTACACGTGTACAAGCTTTGCTCGTCATCAGAATCCGCCTTCCGACAGCATGGAACCACCTGGCGAGTGCTCGGCTGCGTCTCTTCGGAGGTGTGTTCTTCGCACCGCAGAAGGGGAATATTAACGTCGAAGACATGTGACTGTCCTGGGGCCGCGAGATACTGCTTCAAGCTACTCATTCCGCTGCTTACTGACTTAATTTATTGCAATGTGGTTCTACCGTGAGCATCGACCTATGTCACATAGTGTCCTATCGCACATCTATCGTAATCAGAGCCACTGTAGGAACATCACCTGGTTGTTCGTCCTATCACAAGACATTTGGAAGGTTTAATGAAACTGTGTTATATACTAATCCCATTCGTTGTGCAGGGTGCGGCTGGCGTGAGATAAAGGAGCGACGTGAAGAGACATGGTTGTCTCAACGTGGCTCAGGTCACGATATCGACACGTCTTCCTATAGCACAATGTCCCCGGTGATTGTGACTTGGCCAACCTAGCTTGGGACGAAATAATCCTGTAAGTCAAACAGGTACCCCATGTCCTCGAGAAGAGACAGCAGGAGGACAACAACACGAGGGGTATTCTGGACCTGCTAATATCAATAGTTAGCTGGCGTAGGACTTGTCCGAATACCCACGATCGGGCGGTTGAACTTGGTCATAACGCATTCTGACAGATGGCCGTGAAAGAGAGATTTCTTGCGCATCTGGTGCATATACTGCGAACTGGCCGTATCATTAGCGACATGTGAATGGGAACCAGGCCTCGAAGAAAGACAATAAAAGCATGAGACTTCGAGCCATCAGCCATGTGTATCTGCGGCCTGTGAGAGCGATTATGGGCGAAACACACCCGACGTACCATCCAGCAAGCCCGCTAGGAGGATTACTCCTCTGACTGAACGTGCAAGAATATGCGGGTATGTTAGACAGACTCTCACCTTAGCTAGGAACATTCTGCAGTTTATGAGCTTGAGTTTCGTCTATCCCCAGGTTGAACAGGCCAGGATAACGCCGATGACGAAGAATGAATGGGAAGGGTGCGGTTTACCTTGGATCCCGGACCGGGAATTCTGACTCTCTACTGCAAGATTTTCAGTAGCTATCCAGCGTGCCAAGTCATGACGAGTGCTGCCAACGCTCACACCTGCACCGTGAGAGCAAGTGTCCAAGCTGCCGACAGAACATGAAGAAGTCAACTTGCACAGCCGAGCTGTGGGTAACTTCTAGGCTAGGGCGCTCCGCAATCGGAATAAGTTGAAGCCACCATGCTTACAGAGCAGAACACAGCCACTATGAACTTGTCACAAACATTGAATAGGAAGGGGAATACAGTCCTCCCAAACAAAACGAAACACCCTCAGGTCAGTCAGAGAGCCGACCTAGATGCATGTTCAATCCGCGGCCAGGACGCCCGAAAGCTGAGGACGCCTTGAACACTTTACTCAGCAGGGTTCTCAGGACGTCAGACGACCTAATGAAGGCTCGGGCCCGCTCGCAAACGGTCACTTCGGCTGCTTACCCAACCCGAGGGTGTTCTTTTCGAGAGGGACTAGCGTATTGAAACACGCTGTGAAATCATGTACGCTGCGATATTATGTATGACGCCTATGGGGACGAAACGGTACTGTATCAAAGACAAGATGTGAGCATATGGCGAGAATGAATTAGAAGGGCGCCTCTGATAGAACGGCGGCGATCAACGCATGAGGGCAGTGTCGGAGGACGAGCATCAGCCCCACGGCTAGAACGTGGCCGGTGTCATGAAACTAATCAACGTGTGCTTCCGAAGCATCCAGAGCGGCCAGTGAGAACGCATTGGCATCGCTGGAAAGTCTTAACGGCGTAGAGCTGTGCTTCCTATGCAGCAATACGTGATGATCAGTAAAAGCTACAGATGCCTCACTGCTACGCGACACATCACTGTCTTGCACGGACCCTATACACTTAGTGGCAATGAAGAAAACACTTGTTCTGCGAAGGGCAGTGCGTTTTCGCGTTTCGCCGTCGGTGATACGGTCCGGTTGTCAAGTGCGGGAATCTGGAGATCAAACGTAAGTAGCTATAGCCTTAGGCTGACGGTGAGATCATTGAGGCCGGTGGGGGTTCGCCGTGAGTTGATGAACACCGTTGGTCGCGTGCTATTGGAATTCAATCAGGGGACATTGTGCAGTCAGACTTCAAGAGTTGGGTGGAATAGATGAGCGGACTTCACCTGAAGCAGGGTCCGCGTTTAGTAGTGATAGCTATGTAGAGTGGGGATGCAAATGCACCCGACCGTACTTATGTCTTGTCTTCCACACGGCCGACAAGGCGGCCGTGCCATATCAAGCGCGGTTGTGGCGCGTGCGCAATGTTCTACGGCGGCCGCATGATGGCATGGCGTCTCATAAATTTTAGGCATCCCTCTAATCATGACAGCGCGATCGTATCGGGCAACTTTGCCACCCGGATGTACATCGGCATAATGGATAGACTCGATGGACGGCCCATCGTAAGGCCACCAAACAGGAGTTACTTGATTTCAAAACGCACAACATCTTATCTCACTGGGACATCCCTAGAAGACTGGTGAGGTTTCTTTGTTGTGAGTACGAGCGATGGTGTTGATTCTCGTGACAGCAGATGGAGTTCCATCAGTACAAACACGCATGCATGCTGGACAAGTGCCAAGCACCCGGTTCACTGAACCATGTACGCTTGCATATATGTATATCCTCAAGGAATGACCAGGGCAACTTGGAAGCGAATGACTTACCAAAAGGGGGAAAATAGGGGAACTCGAGGTCGACGAAAGGGCATCTCGATTTGATGAGGTAGCCCGTCGTGATGGGATGCATCTACTCTTCCGACGAGATTCTGCATTCGGAGGAGTACGATGCAGCTAAGTATGTCAATGGTCCTCAAGCTCCCGCAGTATGTGTGGTGCGCGATGGTCGCATGTGTGTCCCACTGGGATCCATACACGCGTTGGTACATAGATGGGACGTCATTTTGTCGACAGACGACGAGGGCTCCTGGACGTGCCATACGATCGGCCGATGTTTGTACGTCTAAGCAGTGTCTCGGGAAGAGGCGGAAGCATATGAAGATGATGAGTACATCAAGAGGCGAGGTGTCGCTGAAAGTTGTGGTCGGAGAGGGATTGTCTCCGGACACAGGCGGCGATTATCCACTATGAAAGTGAAGAGCTGTCGAGCGCGGAAAGCCGAGGGTAACTGTAGTGGTAGGCACAAAGGGACAACCCTTTGTAGAGAGAAGACACAACCCACGGCGGGAAGTAGGTCAACAAAGTATGAGTACGATCGAACCGCGATGAGCCACCAGGCACGAAGGGTGGTAGTTGGGTATGCACGCGAAAGACCCTGGGACGTGGCGCAGGGATCACAACAATTAGTCAGAATCGGCTCTCAGAAGACCCTCGGCAGATCGCGATGGTCCGAGACTGTGGAACGCGCGCGTGGACGAGAGGACGCGTCAGGGCACAGGCGCAGAGCGTTTAGATTGAGTTTCAACCGTCGATCATCCGGCCGCACGGACTCGAAAGCAGGAGGCGACGCCGACGGGCGGCGGGACACCGGGGTGGAGACGGTGGAGGGGGATGAGGGCGGGAGGTGGGGGGATGTGTGCGTGTGCGGGTGCGGGATGGGCGGGAAAGGGAAGGATGGGAGGCGGGCGGGGGTGAATCGAAAGACGGGGATGATTGACCGGAGTGAGAGCAGGCGGGGGGTGCCAGATGGGAGACGGGCGACTGGGGCTGGGAGGCTCTGGCGGAGCCGTACGGCCGTCTCTTGTCCGGTGGGGGTTCGTGTGCGGTGGGCTGGAGGGGAAGGGGGGATGGGGGAGGGAGGGGGAGGGAGGGGGAGGGAGGGGGAGGGGGAGGAGATGATGGAGAGGCGCTGAGCAGGCGAAACGGCCAGATTGGCGCGGGGGCCGGGACAAGGCGACGCTGGGCACGTTCCGCGACATCCGAGAGAGAGTCGGTCAAACACATACAAGGCTCCCAATCATACTTAATCCCAATGCGCCTCCGCGACCCATCCCTGCCGCCGTTCTCTTCTCCCCCTTTTCCGTCGTCCCCCCCCTTCCTCCTCTTCCCGCCTTCGCCCCCGCCAGGGAGGCCAGCGCCCCGCACGCGTACTCGCACCCCGACGCCGCGCACCCGATCCCCCGGCTTTCTTGGTTCAAGTTGTTCCGCAGTTCCCCGCCCGCTCCCCGCGCCCCTCCTTTCTCTTGACTTTTCTACTCTACTATTTTTGTAATGGCCGAGGAGCGGAAACCAACTTCTTCCACCGGCCCGGTCCCCCTGCAGCGAGGTGCGTCCATGTCCTCACCTCCCTCTCTCTCCCACACATCGCTCATCCTGCGCGCATCCGTCCCCACTTCATCCCAGGCAAGGCTTGTCTGCGATGTCGCAAGCGCAAGATGGTACGCATCTCTCTTCCGCCCCCGCCCCCGCCCCCGCCGTTCCATGCCTCACCGCCCTCCCTGTCCCTTCCAGCGTTGTGACGGAGGGAAGCCCGCCTGCGCCCAGTGTGTCCGCGCCAAGAAGGCCGACGGGTGCGAGTACGACGACGGAAAAGGCAAGACAAGAACGCAGCTCATGAGAGAGCATATCGCCCGTCTCGAGATGCGCGTCAAGGAGCTCGAGAATCCCGAGCAGTCTGCTCCCTCCATGACCCTTTTCGATCCCCATGCGCTCTCACCATACTACTCCGAGTCCTCGTCGTCTTCCAGCTACGATTCTCCCGGGAAGCTCAGCTACTCCGCCTCTGCCTCACCAACCCCTTTCCCCATGGGCGAGCAGGACCCCCGCAGGAGCATGCTGAGTCCCATCAATTCGAGTGTGTCGGACGTGGACCCCAGTACATGGGAGCAACTCAACTTCGAGTCTGTGAGTCCCTGTCGTACCGTTCACTCCAACCCGTCCTCATGCATCCCAGGACTTGGCCTCCGTTTCCGCTGTCAACTCGTTCATGGAGGCACCGCCCCTTGATCACATCTTGTCAGTGCGACCACTCATCCCAGTCCCCCAATCTAATAAACTCCTTTCTCCCCGTCGTATAGGCTGGAGATCTTCCTCCCTCATCGGCATCAGTGTGGACTGGATGTTCATGTCGGTCGTCTGCGCGATTCCCTCAGCCTACCGTCCTCTGAGCAACGGCATCCCGCATTGATGAACACTGTCTTTCTATGGGCATGCTACCTCTCAAGACCAGGCTCTCTAAGCCAGTATGAACAGCTTTACTTGTCCCGCGCTACCGCGGCGCTCGGTGACGCGTTGCAGTACACATCCAAGGCAGTCGATCTCATCCAGGCCTGCTGCCTGCTGTCTGTATACTATATCTCGAACGGTCGATTGCTAGAGGGCAGCTATTATTCTGCGGCAGCATCGACGTTGGCAGTCCAGTGCCGTCTTCACCAGATCGGCTCGGAGAACGAGCTCATGATCCTCGACAACTGGGACGCCTCTTTCGAGCTACCCGCTCCGAAGGACAATATCGAGCGTGGCGAGAGGATCACGACATTCTGGCAAGTATACAACTTGGACCGGTGCTGGTCCGTGATGCTTCGGAGGCCCGCGACCCTCCCTGACAGCGATCATCCCTGGGCTTCTATCACCACTCCCTGGCCACAGCGGATTGAAGATTACGAGAACGTGAGTCACACTACGCCTTGCGGGCAGAGGACATCACCTGACGAGTCATTGTTGATACAGGGTGAGCTCGACGTCGGTGTAGGTTCGCCAACCATTCGCGCATTTTTTGTACACCAGGCGCAGTCCAATTCGCTCACCGGATTCACTACCGCTGCTCTGCGAGTGAAGGCGTCGGCGTTGTTCGAAGGCGCCAACCGGCTGTCATCGAGCTGGAGTCCTCGTGAGTGACTCGATCTCTTCCGGTCCCGCTCAAGCGTCTCCCGCTGATACCGTGGCTTCCCGGCGACAGGCTCGCTGTCATCTAGCGCCTTCTCGGAAAACTTCAGCGCGTTTGAACATAGCATCGTCCGTTTTGCAACCACCCTCCTGCCGCTTCATCAAGTAGGAGGGGCGATTCCCGAGGACAAGTATGCCTTGATCGTCATCCACAGCCTTGCGCACGCTTCCATGATTCGCCTCCATGCTCCGTTCATGCGCGATGACGGCGTCTCTCGGGAGAAATGTCTTCGTGCTGCGCGGTCGTTGATCCATGTCATCAAGCTCATCACAGATACCGACTTCGAGTTTCTTGACCCCGTCATCGGTGTACGTATCTCGTATGTCTTTCTGGTTCGAGGCTCACGAGTTTATCAGTCTTGCTGGGCTAGTGCTGCCAAGGTACTCGAGAATGAGCTTACGCGGCTGCAAACGTCTTGGCCGGACCCTCTGAACACTATGGAGGTTCGCGGAGACCTTGAATCACTGCTCTACGTGATGACAAAACTGGGTGCAAAGTTTCCCCTTGTAGGTGCGTATCAGTTCACTCCCACTGTATGGTGTACGGACGGATCTCACCTATCCTCGCGTAGCGTACCATTCAGCAAAGGTTCAAAGCTGCTTGGACGGCGAATAGAGGGATGCTTTGCATCTTCTACGACTCCTCACATGACAGGTCAAGGAGCTCACGGCTGGCTGACCTAACGAGGACGCATAACAATGCACTCACGTTCGTTTACGAGCCATTACGTTCATTTCTTTCACCTCTTCCATTCCAGCTGTTGTAACTTGGCGCTGCATAAGCCGCCATTTACGCGCTTCGAGAGCGTTTGACTTTCGAACAGGACTTACGCGCCAATGGACATTCGCCTTGGGACTATCACGGACTTACCTGAATTTTGCCGGACATTACCCCTCCTCTTTTGGACATCGCTTTCTTCACGCTCGCACCCAACTTAACGAGGACTTCAGACATATGTACTTACGTTCAGCGTCGGACCTTTGCTCGGACACCTTGCAACACTGTACTTCTAGACAATCTCGCCACGTAACCTTCGGACTTTCCACGGACTTATCACAGATTCGCATAACTTCATACACTAGCTCCTTATTGTTACCGTAGTGTACTTCGCATACGTACCACGTACGTACTACCGCTAGCCGTTTCGTTCACCTACGTCGACGCCTTAGGTTTGTAGCGCATAGTAGCTCTTGCGTCATCCATTCTTTTTAGTTTGGCTTCCGTCTTGACGACTTTGGACTTTCATCCATTGCTTTACGTTCTATTCGGACCTCTATCCTGTCGTCATCGCTGGCCCAGACGTAGCTTTGCCGGACATTCTCAGCGAAAGGGACTTTGTAGGTTGTCGGATACCAAAACATCATATTGTGTAGCGGTTCGTCTATACCTGGACTAAAAAATTTCCGTACGGACACAATGTCATTACGCGGCCACCCCTTCTAAATGTCATCCAATCACCCTCTCACCGAGCGTTGGAAGCGGGAGTTGTTGCAATCGCTCGCATCCGTCTGGCACTCTTGAAGATGACTGAGGGTAAGATACTGGCGGTAAAGTTGGTAAGGCGTGTTTCGCAGCTCTGAGCTAACGCTACTGTTGGGCGCAGTCTCGAATTATAGGGGTGTATATGGCCTCAAGAGCAGGAAAGAAGTCACAGCTAGCGAGCAAGCCAGAGATTGTCCATGTCAGCCAGTGAAAATGGATCGTTCACTGCAACTGACTCACGGTAAGATGAAGTCGTCCAGCCAGAGTCCGCAACGAGCCTTACGGGGAGAACGAAACAACTCTCACGGATCTGGAGAGACCCGCTATCCCTTGGAACCAATTAACGACAGAAGCGACCCTACGCACAACAGCGTCACTTAGTCCGACTCGAAGGTCTGGCCGGAATTGGCTGTCTTCAATCGTGGAAGGCATGGCGCGAAAGCACACCTGCAACCTCGAGCGTAGCTGAGGCGACGCCGAGCATGTGATAGGAACGGCGCCTGAGGCCATGTTCGGAGTGGATTCCCATGAAACGAGTATGTCTTAGCGCGGAGCGATCAGTGGCGGCATACAGCAAGGTGATGCCAAAAGACTCACTTTCCAAGTACACAATGTCCCCCTTTTTTGCGCTGGAGGTGGGTGGTTGTGAGGATAATCCTGACCACTCTTTTGCGACGTCGCGCCACGCAGTGAGCTTGCAGATCGCGCCCGAGTCATCACCAATGATCATTTTGAGTAGGGTGACATCTTTTCCAGCTTCTGGACCCCTCTTGACGATAATGGTTTCAGGCCCCTGGATCTCGAGGACCGCAGCAAGAAGGTTGACTGTGCGAGAAATCTTGGCAGTATCCTCCGGTTTGTTTCCCGTGGCATGCCTAATGAGAGACCCGATGGTAGAGAGGGAGTGGAGATTGAAGTGAAAAGCCGGAAAGTTGGCGACAGAGGATGCGTCTGAATAGTCGTACGAACAAGTGTCTTGGGTTCCTGTGTTATCAAGTGCTGACCACGTGCGGGACGCGATAGGGAAGGTTCGGAGGGAGGCACGAGGAATCTCACTGACATCCTTCGGCGACTGAGCATGGTCACTGATGTTAGGCAAGGTCGTGGCTGTCGTGGGTAATTGAAGTCAGTCGCTGATTCAAAGAACACTCGGTCCTACGTGCCTTGCCATGCGTCTTCTACTGCCGACTCAGTCAGACTGACAATACTCTCGTCGCTCTCGGGATTGAAAATGACGTGATTGTAAAGCGTCGAAATCGGAGTACTAGCTTCTTCAAGCGTGGAGGAGGGGAGTACAGGGCGGCCACTATCGGAGTCCCCAGGGTATATCGTCGTCGAAGCAAGCCAGCAGGTCGTGCCGGGTAGCGAGATCCGAAGATCGTATTTAGTGGGGGCTCCTACGAATAATTGATACCTCGTCCGACGTTTTGTCATCGGAGAAGACGTGTCTGGATGGCCCTGCCAGTGTGCCATGCCTTGCATTGAGACTTGAATTATCTGGTACAGTATATCATGGAGGCGTCTAGTCTGGAGATACGGTCCAGCGCTGAAAGCCACGTGGCGTGTTCCCGTTTAGGAAATGGATAGCTCCCGAGAGCACGTAATCCAACCTTTCCTCTCTGGCAGTCCCGTCCGCGACAACAACAGCGACCTCCTCAAGCAATAGTATCATGCCGGTGAGTTTCTGTTTGTTCTCAGCACGTCCTGAAGTCCCGTCTTCGTGTTTCTGCTTGAAAGAGCTCGGCAGAATGCTCGTTCTGAGGATGGATGGCCCGGGCCTGGTTCGGATGACGGAGCGTGATAGTTACTTGGGCCAGGGCTAGGGTCGTCCGAGCGTATCGATTGTGGGCATCGGGAGGTTGCGATTGCTGACGCGTCTATACGTTTATAGGCCCAACCATCGAACTTCAAGCGATTCGTCGAGGTCGGCCGAGGTATGTGAGTCCCTACTTTGTGTTCTATCTCATCTGAACTTAGCATCCGCGACGCCAGTCGTCCTCCTCAAGTCCGGCCCTCAGGAGGGTCAAATCGCCGTGATTGCAGAGATCATAGATCACACCCGAGTACGTCGACATCCATAGTTCTTTGGCCATCTCTCTGTTTCTCAGGCATGCTGCTATTGTCAGGCAATCATCGACGGGCCCACGACAGGCGTTCCCCGTCAGGCGTTCTCCTACCGCCACTTGACTCTCACCCCGTTCGTTCTAACCTCTCTCCCTCGCGGTGCCGGTACCGGCGCCATTCGAAAGCAACTCGAGAAGGAAGGGACGGTCGAGAAGTGGCAGAAGTCGAGTTGGGCGCAGAAGCGGGAGGCGATCGCGAAGCGGAGGTCGCTCAGCGACTTCGAACGTTTCGTAGTCTTAATCGCGAAGAAGGCACGGAGAGATCGGGTCCGCAAGTCCTTGGCGAAGGCATCTGCATGAGGTCGAGTGGGTCCGTCTCCCACGTCGCTGCCGTTGTCGGGTGCCGCAGCGGTATGTCAGAGGCGATAAAATCATTGGGGCGCGCTTCCTCGCAATGCAACCATATTCCTCGCGTCCATCATTCGCTCTGTTATGTACTCCCAGCATGCATCTCATGTCCCATAAGTCAAACCATGTGAACCATTGAAGTGGAGGGATTAGGGGAGGTCAGAGTGGACGATTCTGGTCGATTCTGACGACGATTCCAGTTTCGCTTCGACTCCTGAAGCACTTTCGGATTTGTTCGGAAAGCGAGCGCTTAGAGCGATTCGAGGCAGAATCGTCCCTTTTGCAAAAGCGGCTCGGGAGGAGCTTTTGCCTTGGATTCTGCTTCTGCTTCTGCTTTCGATTCTGCTCAACGCATTCATAACAGCATATGATGAGTAGATTCAAACCAGATAAGTCCATTTCGAGTACCTAAGTAGGCAGTCTATGCAATAAACTGTTCTCGAGGTTGACCTGATTGCGCATGTCAGGCATCAAAGCTGTTGTCCTCTCAGAGCCTCATACCACAACTGTTTTGCTTGTACTTTCCATTCAGTAAAAACCTGCCTCATTCCCATGAGCCATAGCCCTGCAACAAGCCCACAATTGTGATGCCCACATCAATGGGCAAACACCGCATGCACAATGTGTTCCGAGAAGGAATATGACATAATCAAACAGGTCTGCACTCGCTGCACCCATTAAAGGCCTCAACACCTGCGGAATTGCAGTCGGACTCATGCAGAATCACTGTGCATGAAGGGGGTAGGTCAAACCTGATTCCGATTCTGAGACACTTCTCTAGGTCACTTTGGACGAGAATCAATTGAGAATCGAGGCAGAATCACAGGCAGAATCGCCCACTCTGACCTTCCCTATTGCGCCATGGCACTTGACAGCAACTAGGATCAAGACAGTGTTGTTGCTATGACCCCGGTTATGACCGTTTATGTCTAGTGAGAAAGCGCTCAATTCAGGTCGATATCTGTTGATTTCCCCCGTATATACACAGTGTGAAGTGGCAGATTTGGGTGGGAGGGAACATGAAGAGAAGGAGCGGATTCTCCACACATTCCCACGACCTTCTCCACCATGTTCTCCAGGATGGGAAATGTGTGGACTATATGCTTATTGCCTCAACATTGTCATCATGTTCTCTCGTGCTTGTTGTGGAAGCCTCAAATAGTTCTAGATAAATGATAGTGAGATAGTTTCCTGTCTGATAGGCTATTGATGCCACGGCCTTAGACATGCATATATTTGTAAAGTGTGGATTGTGTCCATGTCACGATCACAAGTTGTTCGAGAAGACTACCACTCTAAGTCTACCGACCACCACTACATCCACCTACTATTGATCCCAGGCTTGCACCATGCTCGACAAGTCACTCTGGCAACCATTAGAACAAAGCAAGTGCAGATGAAAGAGTCAAGAGCAGATCTGATTGCAAAGACAACCTGGAGAACTGTCGAGCAGTGGATATGCATAGACTGGCTGCCCACGCAAGGATGCATCCAGTGTCAAGTCACAGGCCAGAAGGGTGGAGCATTCGGGTGCAGTATATTGTCGATGGTGTCAGACGACTCAATCTCGCATTGTTATGGTTCTTGACAACATCTTCCAGCTGTAGTGTCATCTAAATTGTGTTGCAACCTCATCTGGAAAAACAGCCTTTGCGAATTGATGCTAATTATCACTATTCAGATAATCTCATCTATATTAGCAAGTGTTAGCAGAGATAACATCTACATTAGAGCTACTATTCAGACGCACTTCTTCAGTAGTGCAACTAAGCACTAATTTGTATACTTGATACTAGTTAGAACTACTCTTCACTTGGAAGGTGATGCACACAACTACATCGAGGATTACATCAAAACAGCAGCAAGCGGTGGATCCCTTGGAACCTGGACCGACTTCATTAATCGGCTCAAGGCAGGCTATCGTCAACTGGCTCCAGAGAAAACGGCACAAACATCCCTCGAAGAATGGTGCTCGAAGACCCATGCTACCATTATTCAGTGTTACGACTGACTGTCGAGCGAGCAAGTGGAGACGAGCGAGGCAGGCAGGAGCACTGACGAGCTCTGATTGCAGTGAGACTGGAGCGGAGCTCAACAGGCAGGACTGGAGACAAGTTGTGTATTGAGCGAAGTATCTACAGAGCGAAATACACGATGGCTTACCTGGAGACAAGAGGTCGAAACTAGAGTCTCCAGGTAGCAAGGGATCCAGCTATATACAGGGAACGAACAATGGGCGCTAGAGAACAATAGCGTCACCATGGGTACGGAGTACAAGGGGTGTAGGACAATAGCGGACGTGGGGAAAAAGGGAGCTATTGTCCATGTGCGGACAAAGGGAAACCATAGCGAGTAGTGAACAATAAGGAAACGTACGAGGCAATAGTCCAAATCGAAAAGGAAATGTAGCGCCGTGAGGGCGGTTCGTGACAGTACCCCCCTCCAAAGGATCGTGTCCTCACGATCGAGGCTTTGAAGGAAACTTGGCGTAGAATTTCTTGACCAGCTGAGGGGCGTGCACCAGGTTTTCCGCCTGTTTCCAGCTGTTGTGCTCGTTACCCCAGCCTTTCCAGTGGACGAGGTACTGGAGTTTCTTCCATCGGCCGAAGTGTCTCGAGTCGATGACTTCGTCAACCTCGTATTCTTCCTCCCCCTCCACTTCGAGAGGGGCTGGCTCGGGTGGATGACGGCCTGGGAGATCACTGTGCTGGTGGGGTGTGAGGAGCGAGACATGGAAGACGGGGTGGGTTTGCATGTCCTTGGGGAGCACCAGCTCGTAGGCCAGTGGTGCGACCTGTTTCTTGACCACATACGGTCCAGCCAACCGATCTACGAGTTTTCGCGGCATCCCCGTGATGCGCAGATTGCGGGTGTCGAGCCAGACCTTCTGTCCAGCTACGATGGTTGGTAGCTCTCGAACGTGTTTGTCAAAGTGCTCCTTCATTTGTTCGGCCGCCAGACCCAGTGCCGCAGTTGCGTCCTCCCGTGCCTTTCGTAGTTCCTCTCGCTGTTCGTCCGCCGCTGGTACTTCCGTGTCGAGAACCGGAATGTGAAACTCCGGGTCGTATCCGTACATCAGGAAGAAGGGCG